GTGACATGACAAGTGACGCGAACCTTCTCACTTGCAGTAGTGTTCATGGAGACACCGTGCGTTGTGGGCTATAGCGCCCTTAGGGGTCTCAGCCATTGAGTCGGCGATAGCGGCGTAGGATCTCAGAGTTACCTACTCCTTCTGTTTCGTTTCCGTTACTCGTGCGATGAGGCAGCGCTGTGGTAGGTGACCCGATGTGCCAAGGTGGTGTTGTTGGAGAGGCAGAGCTGCTTAGAGTTAGAGCTTATTCAGCAAAGGCGTCGAATGAAGTGTACACCAGGATACCGATCCTATCCACGGAAGGAGTAATGGAATGCGGTGAGGCAGCAAGCCCGTAAGCACTGGTTTCGAGAATCCGACTTCAGAAGAGGCGTGAGGTAAAGGGGGCATTGCTGTAGTGAAGGCCAAGCCTGGGCGATAATAGTCGTGTTAATGTTCTCACTTGCAGTAGTGCCAAGATAGAGTTTCTCGTGTTTGCCTGCAAGTGAAACGTGGGAACGTTAGCGTTATTACCCGCATTTAGCGTGGTGGCCACCCTGGAATGTCAAGATAGAGTTCGTCGGTTGTGCATGCAAGTGAGATCCGTGAACGACTGCGGTATTACCCGTTTTTTCAGCGTGGCGGGTCGCCCCGTGTGTAAGATTAGCGTGGGGATTGTCATGGTCGCTAGAGAGTTTTCGGTCAGCGTAACTTTTACCGCGTCGCGATAATGGAGCACATTGCTAGCGGTGTGCCGTCCGCCCTTGCCGGATGCTACGCCGTGCTCTTTCACATCCAGTCTTTGTTGTCGTTGGTGATTATTTCGACTCAGCTGTGATCAAAGAACAGTTTCTTGCCCGCTGAACGCCATTGTCCTCTCTGCAACTTCCAAATCTGTCTTTGGAGCGTCAATATGACACAGTATCCTCATCCTTTCAGCCAGGCTGCGAAGCTTGATTCGAGGATCATCCCTCGTCCGGCCTATGACCCTGAGCTCGCAAAACTCCTCGATGCTACTACAATCCCCGAGGAGTTCGATCTTGACTTGATGCGTGGAGTCTCGAAAGAGGAACATCAATGCGCACATGGAGAAACGGGGGAGACCGAGTTCAGTGCGGGGACTATCCTCAAAGACAAACCTTTCTTGTCTCATGAGGAGTATGCGATTCCTGGGCCCGACGACACTACCATCATCCTTTCCGTCTTTACGCCAAAGGAACCCTCGAGCGCTCCGCGACCAGCTTTGTACCATATGCACGGAGGCGGACTGGTCAGTGGCGACAGATTCACGGCCCTCACGCCCATCATTGACCTTCTCGAGGGCATTGACTGTGTCGTGGTGTCTGTTGAGTATCGCTTGTCGCCCGAGACTCCCCTGCCGGGCCCCAGCGAAGATTGTTATGCCGGGCTTGTGTGGCTTTCTGAAAATGCCAGTAAGCTCGGGGTCGATCCCGCGCAGATTGTGGTTTTCGGCGTCTCTGGCGGGGGCATAGTGGCCACGGCGACGTGCCTCATGGCTCGCGATAGGAAGAATCCTGCCATCCCGATCAAGGGTTTGATGCTGTACGCGCCTCAACTCGATGACCGTTGCGAAACATTGTCAGACCAGCAATACGAGTACGGCAACCCGACCAGCACGCCGTGGGTGCGTTCTTGTTGGGATCTCGCGCTTCCGAAAATTCGTGGCACTGACAAAGTCACGCCGTATCACGCACCGGCCCGCGCTGAAGACTATTCCAGCCTGCCTCCGACGTACATTGATGCTGGTGAGTGCGAGGTTTTGCGCGATCAGGCAGTGCAGTTTGCGACGAACATGTGGCGGTGCGGATCTACTTGCGAATTGCACATCTGGCCTGGTGCATACCATATCTTCGAGATGATCAACGATGGTAACCACTTGGTCATTCAGTCGGCCAAAGCGGCCAAAGCCAATTGGTTCAAGAGGATGATGACGACTCGGAGTGTGTGACCGTGCCGGTTAGGACTGTTTACGTAGAGGTCAGCAGCATGAATGGATAGAAGCAAATAGGATTCGATCGAAATGAAACTGTGCACGCTCGCAAGTTCGTAATAAGTGTCGCCATTGGCCATGAAGTGTTGTGATATCCTTTCGAACCTGTATTGGGAAACTTTGGCGAGACGGGCCGAGCGGACCGCTGCGTCGGTCGCTGAGCAAGTTGTCAGTTACCGACGCAGCGGTTCACGGGCGATGCGGAACGTGAGATCTCAGCGCTTGGAGCGGGCTAGGCTGACTTAGGCACAAGGGGGACCGTTGTGGCTTGGGCACGAGTTTACCCGGACTGCTTGGAATGTCTGCATTGCCTCCATCAACGAATTGCATTGATCTATCGAATCCATCCGAAACGCCACAGAACTCAACAACCTTGATTATATTCAATCTGATGAATGTGCACAAAACGCACTGGGACTTGAAGATGTCTACCATGGGTACTCTGCCCCACCAACCAGCACACTCCCAACGAATTCGTTGCGGGCTGCCAAGGGGCGCTCACGAGCGCCTCCGTACTGATTTCTCCAGTACTAAGAGACCCCCATATCATTCCTAATTCAGGAAAGATAGGCTGGCGGAGGTACTGTAGCCCCGTTTGTAAACGAAGATGCTGACGCGTCTGTGGGATACACCGAGGGCAGTTGCATCTTCTCCAATTGGATGTACTTGTAGAAGGCCCCTACAAAAATGTGAGTCAAGGATGAACTTTCGTAGCAGGCAATGATGACTTACGCTGTAAGGCCAGTGCATCAAACCCAGGAGCTGACGGATCGGCCGCATCTGAAGTGACAGGGCCGTCGACCTGCTCCGCTGTTGCTGAGAACTTCTTCTTCAGCTGAGCCAGCTTGCTCTTCGTCGCCTTGCACTCCTGAGACTTGTTCCAGACCTCCGACCAGTCTTGTGTCTCGTCGGAGTGTTCAGTTGAGGAAGTGACATCAAGCGTCCACTCTGCAGGGTTCTCGTTGGCTTTGCATGGCCTGGCGCCATTCTTCTCAAAGTAGCTGATCATGGTCTTGCAGGATTGACCAATCTTGCCAAAGTATAGCTGCTTCCCTCCTTCACCTAGTAGAAGCAGGCGATCAAAGGTTTGGAGAAGACGTGCAGAAGGCTGATTGACGACACAGAGGATGGCTAGGCCTTTTTGTGCCACCTTTCGCAGAAGCTGACAGATGGAGAGGGCAGCTTGACTGTCCAACCCTGCAAGTGGCTGGTCGAGCAAGAGCAAGTTGGTTGGTTTGGCAGCAAGCTCAATACCGATCGACAACCGCTTCCTCTGTTCGCTGTTCAACGCTGTCGAATTGTAAGTAATGGATGACTCAAGAGGGCTTGCGACTGACACTCACCAGACACTCCGATAACTGTATCGGCAAGAGCATCCAGACCGATAAGGTTCAGCACACCTTCGGCATAGGCAATTTTCTCGACGACAGGGGTCGTCTTTGGCTGCCTCAGGAGAGCACTGAAGATCAATGCCTCCTTGACCGTCGCGGCAGAAAGCTGCAGGTCTTGCTGGTAGACTGTTGCTGATACACTCTTGGAGTTCGAAGTCTGACCATTCACTAAGATGTCGCCATGTACGATTCCTGAGTTCGACCTGTTGGCCAATACATCGAGCAGGACGCTCTTTCCAGCCCCGCTGACACCCTGTAAGTGCCAATTAGTAGTTGCCGTTGAGATGCTGGAGTCAAGGATCACTTACCATCAAGGCCGTCAACGTTCCGCCCCGCAGCCACCCGTCCACTTGATCTAGCAGTCGCTTCGTCTTGCCCCCATTTTTGGCTTCGTAAGTCAAGCCTTCCCACTGGACGAAGTCCTCATTCCTCTCTGGCTCCTGAATCTCATCCACTACTGGCTTCGCAGCCAGCTTTGCCGCCTCCTCTGCCCTTCTTTGGTCTTCGAGGAACTCTTCTTCAGTCATTTCTCGGAAGTAGCTTGGACGACCATTCTCCTCAACGACCTTCATCCTGGGCATCTCCTCGAAGTCGCCCTTTGGTGCACTTGTCCATTCTCCATCAGTCTGCAGAGCGACACTGCAATGCCAAGGAGTTGTGTATCCTGTCTTAGTGTTCAGCAAGCTCATCGAAACCTTGTGCTCTCCAGTAGACTGATGGATAGACAGTCGCAAATAGTTCGGGAAGTTGTGCTTGATTGCTCCAGCAAAAGCCTACATCGTACTGTCAGAAATCCACCCTTGCCCTGCAATACGGCCTCGAAAAACTTACAACTCCTCGAACAATCATCTGTTTGGCCAGATACTTCGTCTCCCGTTTGTATGCAGTACTGTTCCGGTCGGCTCCAAGCGTGAAGATGTACCTCAGATCTGACATCAAGAATCGCCGATATCCCTGGTACGTTAGACGGGTGTCTGTGTCGGTAGCAATGAGTTGATCAACGTCTAAGCCGTCCTTGCCGAACTTGTTGAGAATGAATCGTCGAAAGTTTGTAGCGTTGGCGACGTAAGAAATTTCGTCCATCTTGTCTGGCAACTTCAAAGTCGAATCGGCAGGAACAAAGTCTCGCAGTCGGGAGAATCTAATGTTGGTGAAGCCTTTTTCAACAGCCATTGCTCGCAGAGCCTGTCCATAAATCCAGGTATGTCTATCGGAGATGCTCAATAAGTCTATTCATGCGTGTCAGCGCGTACTGCATGTGCATGGCGTGGAACCAACCGTTGTAGACAAGTCCATCGGAGATGATGACAACGTTGGCCCCCGGCGTATAGATCTCCTCAATACGTCTGCACATGTTGTGTAGTCGTGACAAAGAGAGCTCCTCCGCCTTGTCGGGCAGAAAGCCCAACGCCTTATAGACTTTGTTCGCTGATTTGAAGGGGAATGCTGGAAGAGCCATATCAATCCGGGACCCATTTTTCACAAACTCGTTGAGCACTTCAATGAACCTGGGTCTTCCGACCTCAAGTCGCTCTCGAGAGTCGTCGAATTTGTTCAGAGCATAATCAAAGACGATCTCCAAAATCTTCGTTGACATGAGACTGACAGCGTCGTTCTCATTGATCGCGCTGCCAGGCGGCTTCGACATAGTTTTCGAAGTTGGCGAACTTTCAACCGAGTTATCCGTTGACGAAGTGTCGGAAGAGACCGGTTCCACTGTGATGGAAAGTGCTGGCAGCGATTTGTTGACCAGCACTTGACCGCTGGTTACCGGCGATGTAAGTAGGGCAGGAGCCATTGTTGTAAAGTAAGGGCAAAAATCCGGATGTAGAAAACTGATCAACTTGACCTTGTTCGATCAAAATCTTCTCCTGGACACTCGCATCCGTGGTCAAGATTTATGTAGTTGCTCCCTAAACTCGTGCTGTGCCACTATAGCATGAGTGGCTTCAGATCCCCGCCAAGCGCGCACAGTAAGAATACAATCCTCTGTCACAAAAATTACAGCCAACCTCAGTTACAGTCTGGAACACTGCATGACCAGGTCCACCAGCTGAAGGACACGGATCTAGCAGTGCTGACCGACACAGCTCACAGTCACACCGCATGAACGCCCCCACCAAACTTTAAGTGTGCTCAATCCTTCGCATCCGCTTATTCATGAGTACGACCGGAGGCATAATCTTTGTCTGAAGGAATAAGCTCGCGATCCAAATGGTTATGAGCGGCAGAGCTCAAGGGCCACAGCATGGACGCCTCGACGCCTGCACTAAACCACAAATGAGCTCATTCCTTCTCACTCGCTTAACCACAACAACGATCAGAGCTATATTCCTCAAATTAATCCCTGAAGGATTAAGCTCTCATTCCTTCTATCCATCTTTCCATCAGACATTGTCGGTGCTCGTGTTCCATTGCGTGAGACTAGTGGGTCTCTTATCTGAAGGACCACGTTCTCGTCCCTCCCATACACGCCACCCGCAGGCATCCTCAGCAATGCGTAAGCCATCGAGTGCTAGATCGACTGAGGCTGACGTACGAATGAAGCTGCGGAAGAGCGGTGGGGTCAGTGTGTTGTCTGGCTGGGACATTGTCGATGGCCCGCGCATATGGAGGAAGTGTTATGCAGACTTGGACAGCTTGCTCACATTACTTCGTTTTCGCAAAGACACTATTGTATCAGACAGTGGGCCGGTCTAGACAGGACCCTTGCCTCTTGCCTCGTGGCGAACTTAGTCAATTGTGCTGTCATAGTATCACCACATGTCTCTTGCATGGCGATTGAGGCGGTCTAAGCCGACCATGCACTTGACTCAAGCGCCCGAGACGAATGTCCCAAGGCAGATTTGATGACACTAGAAAATGTGAAAGTCAGATCCCGCCGAAATCTACGCAGACTTGACAAGCTATCGTTGTACAGCCATCAAATTGTTAAGTTTCAACCTTGGGACCTACTCGATTAAGGCGAGAAAGATCAGTTGTACACTCAGTATTCTTTTCTCCGGTCACTATGGCTATCGAGGGCACCCAGAACTATGGCAAGAGGTTGATACCTCAGATCCTTGATGCTCTAGCCCGCTCCGAGCCCGATCGCATCATATACTCGTTGGCATCATTTGCAGATCAGACTGCTCAGTTTCAAACGATAACCGCCGCTGAATTTGCAAAGGCAGTGAATAAGACTGCTTGGTTCCTGCACGACCGGCTCAAAGAGCATCATGATGGAGCTGGCCAGAAGATTGTGCCCGTAGGCTACATCGGCCCTCGTAAGCTATACTGACAACCCAGCGGCCAAGCGGTCTATCTAACTTGAACCATAGATGATTTGCGACACATTCTATTGATCTACGGTGCCATCAAGGCCAACTGCGGGGTATGCTTCAGTCCATATCACCCCCAGAATACGAATTTGAAACTTACACTTCTGCTGACAGGCTTTGTTCTTGTCCCCGAAGAACAATGTTGAGGGTGCATTGGCGGTTCTCAATGCCGCCAAATGCGACATATGGATCAGACCTCATGGACAAGCAGCGCTTCCTCTTGTTGAGGCTTTCACAAAGCAGAGGCCTATGACGATCCTCGAGCTACCTTCGTTAGAAGAGCTTCTAGATGCGGAGACCACCAAACCATTTCCATTCACGAAGACCTTCGAAGAAGCCGCGCACGAGCCCTTCTGTATCACACATACATCTGGCACGACCGGAGTTCCGAAACCCATCTCATGGACCCATGGATTGATCGGGTCATTGGACGCCGTCCGCTTGCTGCCCCCAACGGATGGAGATCAAGGTTTCAAGCCGTGGACTGATAACTGGAACGAAGGAGACACAATCTACTCTTCATTTCCTATGAGCCATGTGAGTTGAACCTTTTCACCTCATGCCACTGTATACTGGTATTACTATATTCTGTCTAGAATGCTGACTTCTGGAACCTTAAGGGTGCTGGCATGCTCATGGACATCGTCGTTCCCGCTTTCTTCAAGCTTCATTGCGTTCTTGGTCCTCCGCGAGTTCTACCCAACATGTCGCTGATAGAAAATATATTGGACCATGCCAAGATCGACATTTGGCATCTAGTACCATCGCTTGCCGACGAGCTGGGCGAGACTCCAGCTGTGTTGGCGAAGTTCACAAAAGCCAAATTCATATGCGTCTCCGGTGGTAAGTAACTCCGCAGTGTCTTACAATATGTATCATGAAGCTGACTCGAACCGTCACTTAGGTCCTGTCAGCCCCAGCATTGTCACAAAAGTTAATGACGTCGTCAGAGTTCTCAATCTGACCGGAACCACTGAGGGTCTATTCATGGGCGTGCTTTGGCCGACGCGAGAGGATTGGCATTGGTTTGCCTTCCATCCACTCGCAGGATTCGAATTTAAGGAAATCGAGCCAGGTGTCTACGAGCACTGGGTTCATCGCAAGCCTCAATGGGACCTATTCCAAGGCGTCTTCTACACATTTCCGGACCAACAATCTGTCAACCTCAAAGATCTCTACAAGCGACACCCCACCAAGCCATATCTCTATGCGTACACTGGAAGAAGCGATGATGCTGTCGTCTTATCCAATGGATACAAAATTGCGCCTCTGGAAGCAGAAGCATTGATCACAACGCATCCTGCAGTCGAGGGCTGCCTTGTTATTGGACAAGCTAAACCGCAGGCCGGACTGCTCATTGAATTGAAAGATCCCTCCACCAGAAACAATGAGTTGTTCGACAGCATCTGGGAGAAGGTGGAGCGCGCGAACTCGTCAGGTTTCCAAAAGATCAGGTTCCATAGGGACTATGTTGCCTTCGCTGAGCCAGACAAACCCTTCATACGCACGGACAAGTCAACGCTCAAACGCCGAGCAACTCTGGACCTCTACAGAGACTTCATTGATCACTTCTACGCTACGAGAGATGATGTACAGCTTGAGGAGTTCGACGAGTTCACAATCGATACAAGCTCGGATGAGGCAACCTTGAAGTCGGTCCAGAAAATCATGGAATCAGTGTTTCCAGACATCGAGAACGCCGATCCAGATGAAGATGTCTTCGATCTGGGCCTAGATTCTCTCGTTGTATTTCAAGCTATCAGAATCATTCGAGGATCTGCAGGGTTACAGGAACAAATTGCCCCGCGGCATTTGTATGCCAACCCAACCCTGGCGAAGTTCTCATCACAGCTGAGAACACTACTGCAGCAACAGGCAGCATCGAAGACAAAAGGACAACTCAATGGAAAACCCAATGGACAGGCCAACGGACACTTGAATGGGCATGCCAACGGGCATGCTGATGGCAGTGATCAAAGCCAAGGCTCGGAGAAGCCCAACTTGGAGCCCGTCAATAGGTTCCCGAATGATCACGGAGACCTTAGACATGCCATACATGAGTACCAACGGCGCATGGGTTTCAAGATGAACCCGTTCGATGCAGTGAACCCGAACCATTACATGGGTTTTACCTTCTTCTTTGCTTTGCCTCCTGAATCAAGCTTTCAAAAAGCCTTCGAAGGACTACAAGCTGGTCTTTGTCGGGCTTTCCAGATCATGCCAGAGCTTGACGGAAAAATGATGCATGCTTCGGAGCTTGAATTTGGGTACAAGAAGGGCGAATACGCCATCACAATGCCACCTCCGTCGTTGGCGACCACATCCAACCCCAGACAGTTAGTCTTCAAGGATATGACGAAAGCCCTTCCTTCGTTTCAAACCATGCGAGACAACAAGTTTGCACCTTCGCTCTATGAGGACAAGACGGTTCTCGATTGCTATCCGTTCCCAAGCATGCCCGCTGATGTAATGGTGGCTCATGCAAACTTCGTCGAGGGTGGATGTATACTGGCCACGAACTTCATGCATACTTGTTTCGATGGTCAGGGCGCCCTGGTGGCTCTCAGAGTCTGGGCAGACTGCTGCCGATACGTGCAGGGAGATCAATCTGCAAAGTGTGACTGGTACGACCCTCAAAGCTGCAACCACAGCCTACCCGAGATCCTCTACCAGCATGAGGGACATGCAAAATCGGTCCAAGAGGTTGACAATACTGTATGGGACTTTCTTCCATTCTTCCCGCCCGACTACAATGCTGAAGAACGGGAAATCAACAACAAAGCGGTCATCAAGGGCGCCTCACTCAACGATCTAAGACCGGTCTACCGACGACAGCCTCAGTGGCCAAGAGCTCCCTCTGATCGTTCTTTGTCAAGCACATTCTTTTTGATCTCCCGCGATAATCTGCAGAAGCTCAAACAAGACGTCAACGGCCACGCTGACCCCAAAGGACACATTCCTTCCATCAGCGACATTGTCCAGGCATTCATGTGGCAAACAGCTGTCAGGGCAAGATATCTTGTTGCTAAAAATCACCGAGGCCAGACTTTCAGTCCGGATGATATGTCCATCCTCGAGATCCCAATAGATGGAAGGCTCTATTTCTCGGGTCATCTGCCGTCCACCTATACAGGCAGCATGCTCATCATGAGTCGCACGATGATGCCCGTAGAAGAGTTGTGTTCACCGAAGACAGACCTTGCTAAGGTTGCATCCCTCATCCGCAAGACAATTGCTAAAGTCAACACTGCATTGGTACACGATGCGTACACGCTGCTACGCTCCATGACGGACTACACGAAGCCAGCAACCGCCAATATGGGTCTAGAGCACATGAACGAGATGATTTCCAACATGATCCTGTGGGAGCAGGAGGACAACATCTCCTCATTTGGCGAGGGCATTTTTGCCGGAGGCAGACCAACAGTCGTGCGACCACAGATTGAGCGGGGGCACAGGCGCTTCCGATTTTCGCTCATCCACCCGCTGAGGGCTGATGGCGGTGTGGAGCTCGAGCTGGGCACCCTGCCGGAGGAGCTGAAAACGCTGCAGCAGGATGAACATTTCACGAGGTATGCGAGACTGATGGACGTCAGACATGGGGAAGGCTGGTAGGCGATTTGTAGACAGTGTTAGTTCCAGTACTTTGAAAAATTCGCCCGTATCGTCTGTTCGCAAACGCTCACTTAGCTCGTGCGCCCTTGAAAGATCCCCAGATCTAGTTTATGCGCCACGATTCGCTTGTCTAGAATGAACTTTCAAGGGCTTATCTAAGACGTGCGGATGGATTGGCTCCAGTAGATAGAAGCTATTTCAATAGTACGCCGAATCCCCTATATCATCATCTGTGTTCTATAGGGATGCCTGCATCAGCTTACGCGGGTGCACAACCTCAATCCTTTGAAACTATCTCCGCGGGACCCTTGCGAACCAGCCGACGGCGCGCGGAGCTATGATTAGATACCGTGGGATGAAGGATTTTCGTTACGTTGGTAGTCGTTTTGCCTCACTGTACGTGAGCGACTATCTCTTTCCTTGGCCCTGCAGCTACTAAACCCCCATACCGAGCTGACACCCACCCCACCATTGCTCATCCCTGAGCTTTGCACTACCGGTGACCAGGCTCAAAATCCCCACGCCCTGTCGCTCGGAAGTGTTCGCACGGCGTTGTGTGACTGCGTACCACGTTGCAGGTGCCTCGCTTAGAGTATTTCCGTTTAGGCCCTGCAGTCAGCAAAAAAGGTCACCACAGTCAGCGTTGAACATCACATCACATTACTATACAATGGCGTTGTATAATACGGCGGTGTTCTAGAATTAGGTTTCTTTTAACACACACCTCCCAATTCGCTTCGGGCCCTCTTGGACTAAGGATTTTGATGTTGAACGCGTGCATGGGGAGATAGAAACTTGCTCACTCATCTTCTAGTAATCTTTAAGGTTCTTCCTCCGGGATACTTCTGTTGACATCCAGCCTCCAGGCTGTAAGCGGGTTGTCGACCCGTGTTACACGAGCCATACTGAGTCGTGCTTATCGTCTCGGGCTGAGACTCAGTGGGAGAAATCCTGTTCATGCATAGTGAGATTGCCTTATTTAGGGTTGAGTCAATTCATCAGCCGTGTGCTCATGCATAGTGAAATCGCCTTCCACTGGCTCAACTCTATACATCAGTTATCCACTCATGCATAGTGTCATTAGAGTATATTTCATGAGTTATATTCATCGGCGATCTACTCCTGCATACTGAATTTAGCGTATATGGGTTGAACTTTATTCATCAGTTACTTGGCATTAGATCCTCTTACGTGAGTTTGACAAGAAGGGTCCGGGCTGGAAGCGCCTGGAGCGATGGCAGGATCTTTGGTGCACTGAAGCGGTGTAGCGTCTTCACACTTGCTTAACTAACTTTTAGCGGATCTCCTAATCGTTTAAGAGACTTGAGCTTTGTTAGACTTAGAAAGACAGCCCGCCATTATTTGAGAGGCCGTGTCTGAGCCCGTTGTTAGATCTCCTCAAATCGCCATGCCGACCGATTCGACCATGAAAGAGACACCCACAGTTGATGTGGATGAAACCAAGGGCGAAGATAGCTCTTTCCAGGCTTCAGATGATGCTAGAGGTAAATTCCGTGGCTACTATTGATACACGACCGGGACTAACCAAAATATAGAGCTACCTGGAAGCAATGGTTCCACCAGCGGAAGCGAAACTCCGAAACCGAAAGCAGGCGAAGACGACCCAGACCAATATGCGACGGGATTCAAGTTGGCGATGATCGTACTCAGTCTTCAACTCACGAATTTCTGCATTGCGGTTGACAATACCATTATTGCCACCGCCATACCCAGAATCACAGATCACTTCGGCTCCTTGGGTGACGTGGGATGGTACGGCTCTGCGTACCTCTTGTTCGTCTCAGGCTTCCAGCTGTTCTTCGGACGACTGTACAGCTTTCTGAACATGAAATGGCTCTTTATCGCCTGTGTTGTTGTTTTCGAGGTTGGATCTCTGATTTCAGCGGTCGCTCCGACCTCAGCTGGACTCATCGCTGGTCGAGCCATCTCCGGATTTGGTGCCTCAGGCATATTCACCGGCTGCCTTACGACCATATCGACAGTAACACCATTGGAAAAACGTGGCGCGTTTATTGGACTGATCACTGCTGTCTATGGGGTAGCGAGCATAGTGGGACCGCTGCTGGGAGGCGCACTGACGGACCACGCCACCTGGAGATGGTGCTTCTACATCAATCTGCCGATCGGAGGAGTAACAGTTCTCATCTTGATCTTTTGCCTCCAGTTCCCGCCTTCACCACCAAAAGAGAAAAAAACCTTGAAAGAGTACATTCTACGATTCGATCCCATCGGTACAATCCTGTTCGCTCCTTCGATCATATGTCTTTTGATTGCGCTCCAATGGGGTGGGACAACATACGCATGGAGCGATGGCAGAATTATCGCCCTGCTGGTGGTGTTTGCTGTTCTGCTTCTTGGTTTTGCAGTGGTACAGCCCTTCATGAAAGATAACGCGACCTTAAACAAGAAAGCCGTGACCTCGAGACACGTCATGTGCGCTGCACTTTACTCCTTTTGCGTCAGTGCGTCTTTCTTCGTTATGGCGTACTTCATTCCACTCTGGTTCCAAGCGATCCGGGGTGCTTCGGCAGTACGATCCGGAATTGACCTGTTGCCATTCATGATCAGTCTTATCTTGAGTATCATGAGTGGCGGCTTCCTTGTTAGCAAGATTGGCTGGTACCACCCATTCATGTTCGCTCCAATTACTCTAGGATCTATTGGCGCGGGACTGATTTACACATGGGACATTGATACTTCCACAAGTCGACTGATTGGATATCAGATCCTGTTTGGCGTGGGTGTTGGACTTGGTATCCAACAAGGGATCGTGGCTGTCCAGTCGGGGAAGAATATCGATATTGCCAGCGGCATAGCACTTCTCTGCTTCGCCGAAAACTTCGGTGGTGCGGTGTTTGTGAGCGTGGCCCAGAATCTATGGGCCAACAAACTTGCAGAAAAGTTGCAGCGCATTGCAAATCTTGATCCAGCCCTCGTTGTCAAGACTGGTGCTACAGAGATCAACAGCTTGACAAAAGATCCCGAGACGTTGAGGTTAATCAGAGTCGCCTACAATGACGCTCTGTCGCAGCCGTTCTTGGTCGCACTAATCTTGCTGTGTATTGCTACTATCGGAACCCTGGGAGTTGACTGGAACAACCTCAAGGCAAAGAACGAGAAGAAGGCAGATAGTGAGCAGGCTAATGACGCTGAAGCAACTGTTGGCGCTGATGGGACGGCAATGGAGAAAGTACCCGAGAAAGGCACTGAGACAGAGAATTAATGAGGATCTGGGATGATATGCGGGTCTCTTCGCGGTGGATTCAAGGAAACATCAGATTGGAACTAGGGAATGGTTTGAAGTCTCGATGATGGAGAGATGGGATCACCAGAACCTTTACAAGTAATATTCCCCATAACCAGATAGTACTAATCATGATGCATTAATATGGACCATGCTTTCATGCACAATGCAAATGTCTGCTGCCAGCTGTGCTTATTTTTTTTCCCTCTGAGAGGCTGCGAGTCGAATCGCTCAGGCCAGTTGATGGCGAAAGTGCGATGTACCTTTAGGACGCACTTTGAGATCTTTCAGCACCATACCCAAATACAAAGATAGGCGGGAGGACACCTATCATCTGGATCATCCGCAAGCACGACAACTCTAGGGCTGATCCATAGCGTCATTATACTCTAGAGAGCCAACGCAAAAGGCTTTCGAATGCTGCTGTCAAGACACACAGCTTTTCGGATTTGCATCGGCCCCCAAAAGAATGCTTGGCTGAATCTGCTCGGCACCAGACTCTACATAAGCACAGGGTGCGCACGTGTCTACTCGTACACACCCGCTCTGCATTTACTCGTGCAAAAGCCCTCACTCTAGGTATGTAATAGTAATTATACGATTAGACTACACGTACAGTACGTGTTGACTTGTAAGTAAGTATACGAGCTAATACGGCCATTACTTGCAAATGCCTTATTGAACTACGGCTGGGGCCCATGCATCTCACTGCTGTAAGCGTGGGATTTGCATCGTGTGTTACACAATATGAGCAAGTTTGAGCTGGTTTTCTTTGAACATGCAGGATCGGCTAATCAGCCACACAGAGCGGACAACATGCTCACATCAATTGATGAGCGGTTTCTTGCCGTCTATGTCGCTTCGCTCGAGACCGCAAATTGACCCATGAAAGCTACATTGAGTGTCGAATCGCATGCCCCCGGCGGAACGCCTACATCCTTTTGGCGATATTGCTCCTACAAGTGAGCGACCCTGCCCTTATTACATATAGCCCATCAGCATATATGCCATCTTCCTGCGTAGAGTTCCCATAGATTCTCTCTAACTTTTCTTCAGGCCTATTTCCTTCATCACCTTGCTTGCACGAAGCGCAAGTCGTTCTCCGTTAGCAACCAGGAGCGTCGGCGGCGAAGAAGAAGACGACGACGACGACGACAACAACAACAGTCATTAGATGAGGAAAGGATAGGAAGGTGCACCAATCAACCATGGCTTCAAACAATTCCCCCGCATCGAGCGCCATCGAGACCAAAGAAATTGGCACGGTCCACATCTCGACGGAAGACACACCTTCGGATCTCGAGCACAGCGCCGACAAAGTCCAGGGCAACGCGGCCAACGACCACTCTGTCGATACAAATTTCCAGGCCGGTGTGCAAAAGGCCGAGGCTATCACGATTGCGTGGACACTGAAAGCTTTGATCGTGGCCTACATCGCAATCTGGTTCGTCTATTTCGTGCAAGGCATCGTCACCGGAGTCAGCAACGCATTACTTCCTTACGTCACATCCGACTTCGCTTCTCACTCACTTATGCCAACCACAAGTGTTGTGAGCTCGGTGATTGGCGGTGTTACAAATTTGTGTATTGCTAAAGTTCTGGATATCTTCGGTCGACATCATGGATTCCTCTTGTGCATGGGACTTGCGACTATCGGCCTCATTATAGCGGCTTCTTGCAACAGTGTGGAATTGTATGCTGCATCCCAGATCTTCTATACCGTCGGTATCAACGGCCTTGGATACTGTCTTAGTGTCTTTATCGCAGATACATCGTCGCTCCGTCATCGAGGTCTCATGCAAGCCCTGTTGACGTCCCCATACATCATCACGTCATGGCTGGCAGGACCTATCTCCACCTCGTTTCTCAACCGTGGCGTGACCGGCTGGCGCTGGGCGTTTGGGATGGAGAGTATCCTACTCCCTAGTGTCGCTCTTCCGCTCTTTGGGCTGTTCATGTACCAGTACAGGAAGGCAAAAAGAGAAGGCATTGTCCCTATAAAAGCAACGAGTGGTCGCACATTCTTGCAGTCGACCATGCATTACATGCAAGAGTTTGACGTTGTTGGACTATTACTGTTATCAGCTGGATTCGCCTTCTTGCTCCTCCCGTTTAATCTGTACACAATGGAAGCAAAGGGCTGGGGATCCGCGATGATCATCTGCTTTCTCGTCTTCGGGGTCTTATCCATCGTCGCATTTGTCGTCTGGGAGAGATCATTTGCAAAGGTCAAGCTCACCCCGTGGGCTATCCTCGCCGACCGCACGGTCCTCGGCACTTGCATGGTAGCGTTCACGCTTTTCGTAAGCGCCTCGTGCTGGAACTCATACTTCAGCTCGTACCTGCAAGTGGTGCATGGCTTGGACGTGACCAATGCAAGCTACCTCAATCAATCCGGCACCGTCGTACAGATCTTCGCGAACATCACCGCGGGCGCAGTCATCTCCCTCACCGGAAGATACAAACCCATCAGCTTATTCCTCGGTATCCCACTGATCGTGCTTGGGACAGGCCTGCTCATACACTTCCGCGAACCCAATCACTACGTGGGCTATATCGCCATGTGCAGCATCTTCACCAACTTCGGTTTCGGTATCCTCATGCTTACCGTCGAAATCAGTATCTTAGCTGCTGCCGCCGCTCAGCAATATTTCGCTATCACTATTGCGCTGCTGAATCTCTTCACTTACATTGGCAGTGCTGTTGGCTACTCCATCTCGTCTGCGATCTGGCAAGGCACGTTACCCAAACGGCTAGCACTATACCTTCCTCCCGAGGCCCAAGGAAATCTCACCACCATCTTTGGCGTCATTGAAGAGCAATTAAGCTACGAGTGGGGCTCACCCACTCGTCTGGCCATACAACACGCATATGGGGATACGTGGAGATTTCTGCTGATCGCCGGTGTGTCGGTATGGGCCCTGGGGTTGGCGTGCATGCTTATGTGGAAAAATACGAATGTCAAGGGCGTGCATCAGAACAAGGGCTATGTGGTTTAAGTCGGCCATTGGAGTTCCCTCGTCTGCTTGCGAGTGCTTTGCTGTTGGAAGGCGGGTCATGTCAGCTTGTCAAGGTCTGCAGTTTGTCCGTGACTTCCCTAATGGTCTTGATTGGGGTGAGGACGCAGTAGCAGTTGCCATAGCTCGATGTAGGTGGTGGAAGATGAAGCACAGTCATGTAAACGCAAAAGGCTCTTCTGCGTCGAACTTTCCCAATCGCGCAAATCAATTGAAGCGAAACGGTTAAGTAGCATCGGAATCGCAATGTTGCAATGCACTGTGGTCATTCAGGCAATGTACGCTTCTCTCAAAATAGTGCCAGCCCGTAGATCAGCTGCAGAAACTCGGACGGACAAGGCCGTTTCGTAGACGTCTGACGTGAAGTATTGGTATATTCATAGACGCGTTAGGTGGTCGTGGTAGGGCACTCCGAAGCCGGTCAGACGCGAAGTTTGTTTGAGGCGTTGCGGGTATAGGCGATTTGACGAGCAGGATTACGGATGCACGTATCTGCTAAGGTGTCACCATTGGTTCGTCAGCAGGATCAGCCACACAACATATAAACCCCTTCCCACTCTCTCACTCTCACTTCTCAGAACTGTCTCACCGATCGTTCCATTACAAAATAGTTGCCACAATTACCCGACACACCGGAGGCAAGAGACTACGCAGAACACCTGCAAAGTATCCATCGTTCATACGTGCCTTGTGTAGTAGGAATATTTTGCATTGTCAACATGAGGTATCTGCATCCTGGTCGTCGGCTCTAAATCACTATGCCCTCTGTATCTGACGCATTGAAGTGCGACGCTTCCGACCAGATATGGAATGATCGTGTTCAAAGGATTTCAAGCTCTTGGTGCGTTGAATCCTTGATCGCTCCTCAGCATCCTGCCACTGAACACCTGAGCTCATACGCAACAGATGTCTTTGGCCCCTTGAGCACGCTGAATGTGCTCTCTCGAACGCACAAGATGGAATTAGCCATCATTGCCGAATCCACGAAACCGGTTTCGACGCACCCTGAGCCAAACCCCGGGTTCCTGTCGGCGTCTTTTGGACAAGAAATCGTTCCGACGCACACGTTCGAAAACGCCCCCGAGATTGAAGTTCTGCTTGTTCCTGGAGGTTAGGATATCAATGGTGCCGAGAAGACGACGGTAATGGACTGATCAACGACTGACTTGATATCAGGCTTTGGAACTCAGAATAAAGATGTCATGGCTCCGGTTGAAGCATACATCGGCACCGTTTTTCCAAAGGTGAAGTACGTCATCACCATATGTACGGGCTCTGCTGTTCTGGCAGGTCTGGGACTCCTGGACCATCGGCGCGCGACTACGAACAAGTGTACGTGGGACGCGAATGTGAAGCTCGGGCCGAGTGTAGAGTGGGTTAGGAAAGCTCGCTGGGTGGTGGATGAGACTGCGGGTGTCACGCCGGTGTGGAGTTCGTCGGGTGTCTCGGCGGGGATCGATGTGACGTTTGCATTCGTTGAGAAGCTATACGGAGGAGATACGGCTGAGCGTGTTGCAAATGTGATGGAGTATGACAGACATTTGGATGACAGGTGGGATCCATTCGCGGATATATGGGAGACAAAGGTGTAACAACATGTGTTACTGTACATGGTATTCTTTGGCTATGGTGCTGCAAGGTGCTGTCTGTCTGTGTCGGCCGAGAAGCAAACGGTAAGCTCATTTTAGGATGAGTCGACGTGGTTGCAGTCGTTAAGAGGATGTACCTTGAGGTTGAAATCTGATGAATTGTAGATTGTAGTGGGCGACAGGTTGAACATTCTTGAGAACTCGAACCAATGAGATTCTGCAAGGGCGAAACATAGGGCCTGAGATGAAGAAATGGAATTCTAGAGCACCTCACCCTGTGGTGACTCACGGCATGATACGGGTGTAAAATAATAATTTGATAGTCTATCCCGAACATCGCATAGTTGTAAGAAGTCCAGCTTTTTATTGTCAGCGACTGTGAGAGATGGTGGGGCAACGGGTCGGCTAATCAGGCTGGCCTGAAGGACCCACCAGCGCTATTGGAAGATTCTTTCGCACTTTTCCTACTCCTCATTTGATTGCTTCTATATTAATCTTGTATTCTTCACGTTTTCCATCCAAGAACACCGGACACCAAGTGTTCAATACGGACCGCATCTTTGGTCCAGCGGTAGGATAATCGCCTTCCACGTCAACCAGTTTATCTCTGGTTGTCCGTTAGCGATTGGCTCGGGTTCGATTCCCGGAAGATGCAATTCTTTTGTCTTTTTGCTCTTATGTTGCTTTTATTGATGAATCGGGGCGCTCCAGGTGCGGAGTGCTGCGCGCTGCTGCGTCGCGCGTTGCTCATGACAGTGACGCCGCACACGCGCAAAATACTCATTTTTGCGCACATGCAGACAAGACTACAGCATGAACATTGATTTACAGCCGATCAGTTGCGGTCGCGTCGGGGCGACCGAATGCATCCTGGACACGCATCCTTCCCTGAGGACAGTCCGGTCAACCACTCACAAACATCCCGTGATGGCCATCCGTCTACAATTCCGACCCGGCGCGCAAAAATGTCTCGTTTCGAAACATTGAACCCATTCTGCCCGCGGCGCGGGTCCGTTTCAGTCCAGAACGGCGACGCATAGAGGCATCACCAGGATTCAGGTGACGAAGTGTGCACGCGATGCCACCCAAAAGTCGCACAAAAACCTTGGTTCCAAGGCAGCAGCCTCGCCAGCACGTCCCCGATTGGTGTCGCGGACGTCAGCCTTGTATCTGGCCCGGGCCCAACGGGTTCTAGGTTACTCTACTCGGCTGGATGCGCTGTCGTTGCAGGCGACGAGCCCGCTAGGGCTGCACATCGTCGAGCGGGGAGTCGGTGTACTGGACTGTCGAGCGTGAGTCCTGTGCGCTGTTTACGTGGGCGGAGGGCCCCGTGTGCGAGCTGATTGGCCGGTGACCGTTCGTGCTCACCGTATGCCTCACGGGCGGGATATGCGAGAACATGCGCCAAGCGTGGGACTGTGTCTGTTGTGTCCTGCGAGCAGGAGGAAACAGAGATACATAAGCCTGGGAGGCGGCACATATTGCGGCGAGTCCGGATATCTGTCCTGAAGTCTGTTCCTCCGCTATTCCGTCTCTATTTCAACACGTCTCGCGCCTCGACTTCAACAGCGGAATCGCAGAGAAGCTGAACACCCCATCCATTTGTTCCACGTAAGACTGCCAACTATGCCGTCCTACGACCACTTCCAGCCCCCGCCGCCAATCCGCACCGCAACCAGTGGCTCGCAAAAGTCACACTCCTCCGACACTGCATCCCCAGACATGCACTCCCCCACATCGATGTACTCGCGCTCGCCGACCAGCCCCGGCGAAGACTCATTCTTCAGTGCCATCAGTGCGAAGATCCGCAGCCGCTCGCGCAGCCGGTCCCGCGCAGCGTCCCCAGAGCACTCCACCTTCCAACGAACCCCCACCGCACATCCAACAAGCCCAACATACGCCACGCAGCACCCCAAGCAGCCCCGACACGTCTCGTCTGCCAGTCAGGGTTCCATCGGGTCGTCGGCCGCGAAGGCACAACGACCAACCATGCCGATGCCGTCACGACGCAGCACGAGCAATAGCGACCTGTGGCGCGGGCGACACTCCAATTCGTGGCTTTTCAACGACTTCTCGTTCACCGAGACGGCGAGCAAGGCGTTCAAGCGCAGCTCGTGAGAGGACCTTTGCGGGGCGGTCCGTGACTGTCCTGCCTTTTGGCCAGTAGCTGCTGGCTAGCTTCACACTCGCTGGGATGGGTGTCCGGTGGCCTTGCGACTCGTTATGGTATTGATGATGATGCAGTGGTAATTAGGTTGCGTGGTTGGCGGTTCGCATGATGCCCGCCAGGTGCAGAGCAGATGATTCTTCTTTCGCTTGGATTGCTGGGCTTGAATAGGCTGAGTTAGCGTTCGCTATATCTTGTATATTAGTACAGAGTAATTGCACCTGGTGCTACGTCCACTAGATTTCAAGCCTGTTGTGCGTTGTTGATGCGGCTTTTCGTGATCAATGGGTGAGGGTGTGCCCATGGAAGCATCCTAACTGCGCTTTAGAGATGTGCGAAGGGCAGTCTCGTCTTGATGTAAGGCGGTGAATTGACCTTGAGTGCCAGGAGAAATGAAGTGAGGTCGGAGAATTTCGCCGTTCCAAATCCACCTTTGCACTGCCCCCTTACTAATATGGTGCGAAACTCTGTACCTACACGCCAGGTTGAACATCCGAACTACACCAGCAGCCGGGAGACGTGCTATATCGTATATGTATCAGAATAAAGACTTAGTCCGAGGTGAGATGATGCAGTTAGGTGCTACAATGAAGCAGGGACATGTCCTCGCGAAGAGAGGGGATCATAATTTAGGTGGTTGTTTTCCAAGTGATTGTAACAGGTGAAGATCGTTGGGGGTGGCTCGCACGATATATAGCGGGACTTCGTCTGAGTTGAAGTGTTTTCTTAAAAGACATCGGCGCTTGGTGCTTGGGCAAATGGAAGGCGACGCGCTGGGGTTGCTGCGCGCGGCCTTGCAGTCGCGAGGCATCGTGGATGGCACAGCCCCATATATGATGACAACAGGCAGCTCTATTCCCCGCCTGCATCCTTATCAACCTTTGTAGCCTTCTCGTCACTAGCAGACAAGACTCCGGCTATTTACTTTCACGATTGCATATCCGCGTAAAATTACCATTGAATACACAATGACAGGGCCATACGTGCGAGCGCATTTTTCTCAGTCCGATAACGAGATAAGGCTGCTGCGCATTCGGCGGAGCGAGACGGACGAGATAGAATGCTCGTTCGAGGTTGTTCCGATTGATAGATTTCCGCGATATATTGCTGTGTCTTGTGTCTGAGCTATGATATTCGTAACCGTGAAGTGAGCGATGAAAAGGTGAAGGTGTAAAGTCTTAGTCGGAGTGAACCTCTACTTCTTTCTTCGGCGTGTTAGTAAAGAAATTGCGAGTCGTCGATACTTGACGCACTTTACATCAACTAGTGCGACACTTTGGAGGAAGGTGCTCAAATCTCATTGATGAGAGATATGTATTTCAACGCCTCCCGGGTTATCATATGGCTTATGGAGTCATGGGCAGCGCCACTCTCAAAGGAGACGATGGACTCTATCCAGCAATCCAAAAGCAGTATTCCACTTGTTACACCGGCCCTCCTCCACCTCGCCATTGGACACATGTGCAACAATCCATATTCGTCTCGTGTGAGGGTCGTCCACGAAGTGATTTGTGTGCGAGAGCTTGTTATATACGTCGGAGATGAACCTACCGAATGGAATGTACTTGCTCGCATTCTCGAGGACTGCAAAGCCGGATCGTATAAAGAAGTCATCCTGGATCCAGCAGTTTTGATCTTCGATGCCAAGGAAAAATGGGAGAACTCTCACTACATTGTCTACTTCAGAACCATCATAGACTGCGTTGTTCGGTGAAACAGGATGCTGTGTACGGTCTCATGGGGCTCGAGACTAAGGAAAGCACGGTGGCGGTCGAGTACGACAAGTCATACGAAGTCGTCGAGGAAGTCGTGGTAAAGGCTTGCCAGACTGGGTGTTTTCAAAATGTGCGATCTACTATGCCAGTTATTCAGCAGCTCTTGCCATCGTTCTATGAAGGTGGTCGATTTTCGCCCGGGAGGGTCGAAAGGATATTCAGAAAGGCTGGCGTGATAGCGGAGTGGCGAGAGTGAGTGCTCAAATGCCGTTAACCATGTGCAAGGGGAATATCCAATGGGCAACGGAATGGCTGACAATCCACATTTAGAGCCCTCAGTCCAGAACCCTGGTTAACGTGCGAACGGTGTTGTGGTGCAAAATCGTTCAAGTGCTGGGTAGATCTGATGCGGCATTGGATCAGTCGCGAGAAGGTCCCATCAAGGGGTCTTCAGGAACAACCAGCTACAAAAGTACCCATCCGAAACATCGGAGCAGAAACCACCGAATTTTCGACTATTTCGAGGAAACTGTAGATCGAATGCCTCACACTCGCGCGCGTAGATACCCGAATGGCTAGAACGGACTTTCTGAACTCATGAGATCTCGTTGCAGTGTCATTGGCACACGAACCCTCCTCTTCATGTACGCAGGCATAGCTTCAGATGCGGCGTGTACTTGTATGAACGTCTTGCATTACTCAGTATCACAGCTCGAGGTGTATCACCCTCGCATCCGCCATCTCACCATCTTAAACCCCAGCGTATACAGCTTGCAGCGGTGCGTGCAAGTCCGGCGTCCACTCTTCCCCAGCTCTCTACTTCTCCGCACGTCTCGCAGCGTGCCTCACCGAACCTCCCCTTGAAAAACAATGAATGATGTACACAAAGTAGTGCATGGATATCTCGCGCCCAAACGCCCGCTAAAACTCCTCATCCCAAGCCGCATCCCAAAATCAAATATACGCAAACCCCACAGCGTTACGCTTATAACCACGTCACCCAGGTCGCAACCACCAGCACTAGCGGCGCGAGCAGCGAGACATACGGGTTGAACTGGATGCTCAGCGGCGCGGCGCCGGGGGTGGTCGTGTAGACCATCTGGAAGCCGATGTGTTCGTCAGGCTGGGTTGAGTTGAAGCAGTTTGTCTTGTTGACGTTGGGGATCTCTGGGTCGCCGTCTTCCGCGAAGGTGATGTCTGCGCACTGTATTACACCAGTTAGCACACCTTCCTCTCTACCAAGCGAGGACGAGGTAAGGGTGAAAACGTACGTTATACAGACTCGCCCCGTGCTGCGCGAGCTCGATGACCTGAATTGTTGCATTGTCGCCAACCTTGGGCGTGTAGTTCGCCGGTAGCGGAATCTGCGGCAGGCAGAAGGTGCCGTTGTACTGCACGTTCGAGGGACCCGTGATGCTGAAGACGGGCACCGCGACGTGGCTGTAATTCAGCGGCTCGTTGCCGTAGCCCATGTTGATATAGAATTGCGCGACGGAGTGGCCGGGGAACCATCCGGGCTGCAGGCTGACGGCGCCGCCAGAGATGGGCCATTTCGTACGATTGGTGGACATGGGCATGCCTCCGCCTGTGTGGAGTTAGTCGTATTCTGGGTTATACATGAGGTTGGCCACAGTCTGTGTTGGTTGGGGATTTGTGAGGGGAAGACGTACATGGATACATCCACTGCATTCCATAGGGGAAGCCATAGGTACCGTTACCCTCGTAGTTGATGCCCAGACTGCCTGGTTTTATGCTCGCGTCCGTCTGGGAGACGGTGCCGTTGGTGTGGATGTTGTTGCCTCTCCAGCCTGGATAGACGATGACGGTGTGCGCGGCGGCGAGCGACGCGCATGCGGCGAGCGAAACAAGCTGTGCGAAACGAAACATGGTGGCAGTCGGTGTTTTCAGCTCTCGACCTCAGCCTTGCTCTCAGTGTCCTGTCTCTTGCTTGGACACTCCGTGTGCGTAGGAGGGGTCCTTTCGTCCGATGTAGGATTATCGCAACCAACGCAACGCAGCGCAGTCCTAGGTATGCTGGAACGTCCGCGAGATGGCGACAGCGAGCTGGGCACACAAAGCAAAGGAACACAAGCTCACGCACGGGTGGCGGGGCGGCATCGCCTTAAGACAGCGCTGCGTCCCTGTGCAACGCCTCTCCGCAACCCAATTCGACCCAAGAAGCTCCCGGCGTCTTGGGAAGACGCTGCTTGTCAGCGCGACCATGCCAATAGACACGCGGTAGTGATATTAGTGCGGTAGGGATCGCAGCCAACGAGCGGGCGGAGCGGGATCGCCGGGGCGCGGCTGGTGTGATGGCCCTGCAGCGCTCGGCAGAGAGGAAAGGGCGCCTACGCGCCGTGCAAAGCCGCGCCGCAAGACTGCATTAAGAGTCCATGTCGCCTAGCGGGATCGATGGAAAAGGGAGGTTGCGAGGCGTAGCCGCTGTGGTGATGTGACTGAAGCATGATAGACGTGCGGATGAACATGCTGTTCCGCGGTAAAGAAGTAGATGTCGCCACTGCCAGCGCTCCCGAGGTCGACTCCACATCAGCATCAGCATCCGCCCCCAAACCTCTTCTGCGTGCAACCACACCCATCTCCATGTCCCGCTGCGCATTGCTGCACCTTTCCCTAGAAATGCAACGAACCAGCCTGTCTTTATCGTCCTTTCTCTTATGCCCTGGTCTTGTCCCGCGGCGTCCCAAATCCAATATCCATGCATGAAGCCCACAGCAGGTGCTATTTGCGGTCGCTTCGTCTCCCCCTGTGATTGGATGTTGCTTTCAAACTTTCCCGCAGCGCCGTGTCATTGGTCGCTTGTTTCGTCCCGCAGCTCGTCCCTGGCAGAGTCGAGAACATGCGCCACTCATCATTGCCGCGGCAGGGCCCGATTCGCTTCGCTTGGGAGTTGGAGGTGTGTGTGTGTGTGTGCTGCCAGCCTGCGTTATGGGGTGTGATCATTGATGCGGTGTGGTAGTCGAAGGGTGGAGAGGCGCGGGACTCGTAGTCGTTGAGCTAAACTTGGGTGCGAAACGTAAGCGGCAGTCACGATGTAGGACGGGCAGGTGCATTGACGGTACCGATAGCCCTCAAGGTTGCCATTCGCGCTTCAGCAATCAAAGCATAGAGGAAAACTGCAACGAAATTCAAGAAATCCGTAGCGTAGTCTGATCTCAAGCGTGTAATCCGATGCCAAAAGGCTTAGCACCACTGTGTATGTATCCATCGTACGATGTAATGCTTGTCCCTCCCAATCCCGTGGGCGACAAAAGCGCCGAGGAACCCATTGCACCTTCCCGTCACACCTGATCGACTACGAAAATGGTGCTTGGAATTCCATTTAGCCTTGTGGATTGCGCAACACCACTTGCAGCCGCCACGTGCAAGATATAGAACCTTGGAAGTTGCTTGCTGTTGTATCGAGCCTAAATCACAACACTGTCGATCGCAATGGTTCCAGAACGACAGCGCTCATCGAACAACCCCACCGTCGGTTGTCTGCAGCAAATTCATTGTACACCACCATCGCACATCCCATCAGGCTAGTCGACGTACAAGTGGTGGATCGTCGTCTTCTCTATCGCTCCTCGCGAGCCAGACGGGGAAGTCCATGCGTCAGATAAATAAGGTGCCTTGGTGTGCGTAATGTTGTATGCGCACCCATTGTAAAGCGATGGTGCATTACGCATTTCATCGACGAGCGTAATCAGGTCTCCCCGAACCAGGCGCTAGTGAAGTCTTTCCTTTTGAGTGTTACTGTGTATGTTGAACGTCATGGCCTACCTTTGAGTAGCAGCGAAAATGCAATAAGCAGAAAAATCGCACACGACACATGTAACCCGCAAATCATGAAAATCTTTTCGCTCCTTCAGCAATGCGATACCATGCGCCTCACGTACCTCCACAATCCATGAAATGCTACAGGATAGCACGTTCATTTCGTTCCCTTTCGACGCATTCAAGTGTGACATGAAAATAACATTCTACTGTCCGTCCCCATGATCAACACCAGTCTTCCCATGCACAGCCCAGCATTCCCAAAATGCCACTATGCCACCCGCCATTTGCAAGCTTGATCGCCATGAAAAAAGTATCTCATGAACTGTACTATATAGTCCCGGCTGCGGCTTGAAAAGGCCCGTTAGACTTGTTGCAAGTACGCTAGAATGTACCCAGTAATAAAGAATCGGACAATCTACCCTCTTCGTGCTGCCACCTCAACCAATTCCGCGCGCCATTCAGCTCAATTTGCCTGCACGCGCGTCAACTTGGGGAAGAAAGCGCGTAGTTCCAAGTCTGGGTTGTAGGTAGGGGTTGATCTTGGCTGACTGAGGAGACAGCGTTTAGCAGGACGACTGGATTCAATCCACGGAGTCGGCATCACGTGAATCAGTTACAAGTTCTCTAAGAACCCAAGGATCTCCTTGACCACCGCCTCAGGCTGCTCCTGCTGCGGCCAGTGTCCCGCGCCCTCGATTATCCTCACACCCTTGAACTGCGAGCAAGTCTTCGGAAACCCCTGCAGCGCCCCCGGCTCCTGGTAGTTCCCCCAGTCCTTCGCCCCCGAGATGAAAATACTTGGACACTCAATCTTCCTGCCCGCGAATAGATCCATGTCCCTCTTGTTCTCTGGATCCGCCATAGTGCGGTACCAATTCAAGCCCCCTTGGAACCCCGTCCGCCGCCACTCCTGGACGTACACCTCGAGCGCCTCGTCAGACAGCCAGCGCTTGCTTTTCTCCGCGTCCTCGCCGCGCATCATCAGCTCGATGGTCTCGGGCATGGACTTGGCGAAGGGCATGATGTAGTAGAAGGGCATCTTTGCGAGTTCGGGTGCGCTCCAGGCCTCCAAAGGCTGCGGATCGTTGCCGTCCCAGTCCGCGCTCTTGACGTGCCAGTAGCCGCGCAGGAAAGCGGCGAGCCCCTGGTTCGGGGAGTACCAGTGCAGCGCCGCGGTGGAGGTGGCGTTGTACCACTTGTAGTGCTTCCTTGGCTCCGGCAGCTTCGCGAGTTCCTTCTGGATATCAACCTGGGGAGGTGGCGTGCTGGGCTCGCCGTGGAGCAGGTCAAAGGGGAGCCCCGGGTGCTCCTTGAAGGGGTGCGACATCATGACTACGCTGTGGAACAGGTCCGGCCGCATCCACGCGCACATGCTGGACGTGACGGCGCCGAAGTCGTGGCCCACGATGCACTTCACTGCGCGGTAGCCCAGGGCGTGCACGAGGACCACGACGTCGCGGACGAGGTTGGTCACGGTGAATTCAGCCATGTTTACCTTGGGGAACGGAGAGTTGTCCCAGCCGGTTGTTCGGCCGTAGCCACGCTGGTCAAAGGCGACGACGTAGTAGCCCGCGTTGGCCAGCGCGGGCAGCACTTTTCGCCAGGAGAAGGCGAGTTCGGGGTAGCCATGGACGAGAATCACGAGGGGTTTTTGCTTTTCCGGGGAATATCCGGCCTCGAGGAGGTGAAAGGTGAGGCCGTTGGAGGGGCATTGGAGATAGTGCTCTGTCACGCCGTCTGGGAGAGGCAGCGGTGGGAGAGGGTTGCGAGCCGGGCTGTGTGCTGCTTGCGGCATGGTGGAGATGGGAAACGTGGTTCTCTGGAAGGGTCCCGGCTATGACATCGCGACGGCGACTGCTGGGGAAGGCGGGGCCCTCTCCGCAGGTATCCGCCGCGGATCCGCGGTAGCGGTTCAGGCGTTCAGGACGTGAGAGCCATTGGCCGTGGGCGAGGATGTGAGCATGTATGGCATCAAATACGGCGCGACACGGAAGCACGGAAAGACCGTGGTCGGGGGGATAGGGAAGCCGGCTGTGGGCACCGGACCTGTCTCCGACGGCGAGGCTGCAAGTGCAGCAGTGCAGTGCACAGTGGCCGACAGTAAAGACGGACTTCTGTAGCTGGATGAATGTATGACATCTATCATATACTAGTTTTACAACTGTAACACACCAAGTTCCTACAGAATGGACTGCTCTCCACACGTACGGTTTTCTGGGTCGGCCACTTTGCACGGTTGAGTGAGGCATAGCGCTGCTGGCCTGCCGCAGTCGGTCTACTGTGCATATCCTCGGTGGAGAGTTTGCTACGCGTTCGTGCGCGAGACGCCTCCTGTAGCTCGTTCGTGTTTTGCAAGGTGTTTTGCAGCATGTTTGCAAGAGGCACCCTATTTTGGACACGCAGACGTGGCACCGCCCACGCCTGTCAGTCACAGCAGCCAGCACGAGCACAGCGCGCAGCCTTGTTCGCGCGCCACGCCGGGGTTGCAAGATCTAGGGCCCTGTTTCACGGCAGACCGATGCGATGCAGTGGATGCAGTGGAGTAGGGGCGCCGTGATCTGCAATGACGACGGCCGCGCCAAGGCGTAAATCCTTGGGAGTGATCGCCGAAGCACTGCTTATTGTCGCGTCGTCAGGCCGCCGCCGCTGCTCGTCGTCTCTCAATTTCCTCGTGTCGGCGCACTAATTTGTCGCCATTGCTACCGTCTGTTTCTGCGCGAACCGCGCCGCTGTCCTTGTTTCGGTCGCCCTCGCTAGCCTCGCCCGGCGTTTCTCATGGCTCCTTGCATGACATCACTGGCGTAGATTGTCGCTCCCCAGAGCCACACTTGATATCCTCGCGGAAAGGGGATGCAGTTGCGCCTCCTCTAACACCGCATCAACATGTTGGGCAGTAGCCGCCGCCGACGGGCCTCGAGCGCCTCCAACGTACGTGCCATCCGTGTGCTCTCGCGCAGGCCAACGACGCCGCTTCCGCGCCCGCAATGGCCGCCAGCGCACGCTGCTAACACGTCCCATGCAGGCCTCGAGCAGGACCCCGAGCGCGTCCGCCTCCCTTGCTGCCACCAAGGCCTTCCTCCGCGACCGCGAGTCCAACGGCGCTCTATCCTCGGCCGCTGCTGCCGCTGCGCTGCGCACCCATACGCCGACGCCGACCCCCGTGGGCGACACGGTGACGAAGCGGATGGTGCGGAAAGCCTCGGTCTCCTCGCACGGCAGCGGCAGCCAGCAGCACCCAGGCTTGCGCCGCCACTCCAGCTCAGGATCCATGACGGAGCGCTCCTTCCGCGACCATTCCCCCACCAGGACCAGCCCCGTCGACCCCAATGCGCCGCCAGTCCCGGCGGTCCCCAAGAACGTGCCCCAGACCAGCGTGGTCCATCGACGAAACTCGAGTCTCGAACCGCCCGCGCGCGGAGGGTCGCCTGCTGGGAGAGGAGGAGGGCGTGGCGTGAGTTTGGATCGGGGAACATCCAGCGCCAGCAATCGCGGAAGGGGGCAGTCGCGAGCTTCGGCTCTCACCAAAGTGGTAGAGGACGAGCAAGACGGCGCGCAAAGATCATCTATCAACTTCTCGCGGCCCATCTCTCCTCCAGCGACATCCTACCCGACCCCACGACCGGTTGCCTCGGCGCGCGGTGCCCAGGGCGGCTGGTTTAGCGGGCCAGTCGTGGACACTGAACAAACCTTCAGAGGCGAAAATCCGCGGCCAAAAACAGCTGACGGTTCCTCTGCATATGCCACCCGCCAAGCCGCTCAGAGTGTGCAAAATGCCGCGGATCGACCTGTTTCGACGCGGGCTGCGCACATGACCAACGGCGTCGAAGGCTCACGCTTGGCTACGGGAAGCATGCGAGCGAAACCGAGTGGAGCAGCGGTAGCGCCGCGTGTTGTTGATCCCAAGTCGCCCTTTGCCGTGTACGACCCGTCGAGCAGGAAATTCATCCATAAGCAGGATGCTATGAACCTACACCGGGCAATGAGCGATGCGGCAGATCCAGCGCCGCCATATGAACCCCAGCATGCGCCACAGCAGATCCACCACGAGCCGCCGCAGTACAGCCAGCCGACCAAGCAAGCTCCACAGATCAGGAACATTGTTCAGCGGTCTCCAAGCGCATCCCCGGTACGCGATCCGGTTCGAGATGCTCCACGGCCGGCAAAATATACAAGACAGGAGCCTGTTGCAGAGCCAGCTCCTATGCCGAGTGCCTCACCCCATGTGGCCGCATCGTCTCAATACGGGCCTGTTGCGTTCATCACCAAAGACTTCACTGAGGCAGGAGACCCACTCCCCGCGGATGCTAACACCAGCCGAAAACTGGAGTCGCCTGCTCCTGCGTCGATCGAGGAGCCAGAAGAGACGGTCTCTCCCAAGTTGCCTTCGAACCAGGACAGTCCTTATCCGCGCCTCGCACCACCGGGTACCCGCACTCCATCTGGGCCGCCCAGCATCGAAGGAAGCGAACGGTCGGCGAGGACGCATTCCATGAGCCCTCCGCGCAATGCGCACTTTGCAGCGGTGGCTGCAGACTTGTCGAATGGAATCAAGCACCAACCTCCAGGCCGCTCAGTGTCTCCGGCCAAGTCCGCTCTGAAAGCCTCGCCATCAGTTTCTGGTCGAAGCCGCTCACCCCTCGTCAACAATGGCCGTCTTCTGAACCACGGAGCACAAAGCGAGGCATCCGATGCCCTATCTGACGATGGTGGAAAGAAGAAAAAGAAGGTCCGCATCAGCTTCGAGGAGGAACCCATAGTAGTTGGCACATCGGCATATAGCGATTCGCAGCCGCTGATGGCGGATGATGACTCAGAGGAGGACCTAGACGACGTTTTGAAGCCTACTCCGGTTCTGCCATCATTTGGCAGTATCCGGGACACGAATCGCCGGTCGAGAGATGATCCTGAAAAGGTCACGGAGACTGTATCTTCGTCCTTGTCCAATTCGGCTACCCTCATGGGAGACTCGACAGAGCTATCGCGTGACCACAAGATCGGTGCTGTACTTGCTCAAGACTTTGCTGCGAAATCAGCGGAGCGGTCATCGGGGAACGACCCTCTTCCGCCCGAGGTTACATCTGTGGAGGGAAGCGGCTACTATTCGGAATCGAGCGAGAGCGAGGCTGACGTGCCTGTCGTTGACTATCAGGAGACACACAAGGCAGAGTCGACACCGGCACCAGAGCCAAAGACCTTGACTAATCCTTTAGATACACGCTCAACACCCCTTGAAGTACCCATTATCGCGGTGCAACCTGCAAGCCCGCCTCTTCCTAGGGACCCTGAGACTGAACCGACATTTGCACCCCAGCCTGTGCCCTTCCAGGATGTTACCAAAGTACCGCGACCGTTCGTGCCTGGTGGATGGGATGACGACGATAATTCGGAGCCTGAACCCGAGGCCAAGGGGCCTGAGCCAACCGTCTCGGCACCCAGCCAACCCTCTATTACGATTCAGATACCTCAGCGTCCTGTAGATGATGACTCTTCAGACGACAACAGCAGCGTGTATAGTGACGCTTACGAAGACCTGGATGAGGGCGAAGGCTTTGGCTCGATCGATGCTATAATGGAGAGCCCGGTGGTGGCTCCAACCTCCCGCTTCGCGTCGACGAATTCGTCACCTACCGCGCGTAAGACGGGACTAGAAAGCTCAAAGTGGGCTCCTACCAATTCTGAAGACATACAGGAGGGCGTCATTGAAGAACAGCGGAGGGCACAAGACGCTGACTGGGAGAAATCTCAGCAGCATTGGAGTGATCTGCACAACTCGCGGAAGCAGCAGCCAAAATCCGGACTGCTCATTGACAACCTTGGCACCAAAGAAGAGTCCAGGGGCGTCACCCAAGCTGCAGTACCCATCAAACAGAAATCGGTCGAGCCGAAGCGCAGCGATCAGCAGGCCGCTGAGCCAATTCCCGCGAAACCAAAGGAGCGCAGAGTCAAGGTGCAGCCAGCCGTTGTTCCTGTTCAAGCAGCACCCACACAACCTGCGAAGGCGCCAGCACAACCTCGCAAGTCTGCTTTGAAGAAGTCAACACCTACCTCCCCGCCAGCTGAGATTCCTCTTAAGAAGACGATGCGTGGTACTGCACCTTCATCCAATGGCGCTGAGCCGCACATGCGAACGACTATGCGTGGCACTGGCGGTGGATTTGCTGGCAGAGGTTCATCGGTACCAGCTCCTCAACGACAGAGCATGCCACCAATGGACACTAGACCACCCCGAGGTGCACTGCAGAAGAAACATCTCCCGACGGCAGCAGCCGGTGCAGCTGCCCGGCCTCGTCCACAGAGCGCCTCAGGACTCCCTACTAAACCCAAATATGTCGCTCCTCCGGCCCCAACGTATGATAGCGACTCGGATGCCTCGGTCAGCAGCTTCCAGCGTGAGCGACAACGGAATCGGGCATCACGGAACAACAACAACAACAGTGGTCAATACACTATGCGCGCATCCATGCGCTCGGGTCCGACACCAACAATGCGAGCTGCGCCGCCCGTACGATCGATTTCACCACCTCGCACTGCCGCATCGCCTCCATCGTCAACACTTAGGAAATCTATGCGACCATCTTCTCCGACACCTGACTCGCCAAGTCCCGTAAAGTCCTCTCGTTTTAGCATCAGGTCCCTGTCTCCCGCGGGTCGTTTCAGGCGTAGCAGTACCTACGAAGCCGCACCGCCTATGCCACCTGCACCTGTACAACCTCCTCCAACGAAGGCAAAAAAGCCGATGTTTGGCAAACCCGCTCCGTCGAAAGCCCCAGCGAAGAAGGCAGCAAAGCCGTTCAAAAGTCGCATCAACGATTCCAGTGACGAGGAGGAAGACTTGCCACGCCGTTTCCAGAGCAGATTCGCAGATTCATCTGAAGATGAGGACTTTGAACTGCCACCAGTCCGAGGCATTCCAAAGCGCGCCGGCAAAGATGACGGCGATTCTACCGATTTGGAGGAGGAGCTGAGCGACAATGAGCCTTCGCCAGCGCCAGTAACGAATGGCAACAGCAAGATCGACAGCGTGGCCAGTAATGGATCGACCAATACACAGGGTGCGACTCTTGCCGCTGGATCTCTACGAAAGCCCGGCGCGCTCCCCTCAATTGATGCTGGACAGAAGAAGGCAAAGCGAGGCTTCTTCGGATTCGGCAAGAAGAAGAACTCTCACAGCGCCGAAGCCGATATGCACGCCCAGAACGCCGCAGACCTGGACATCCCCATGCCTCCCACCCAGCAGAACCGCGACCGCAACCGCCCGCTCACTCCCATCGGCGAGGACCGCGACACCGATGCCGGCAACGCGACGACGCTACCTCCCAAGGCGGGCCGCCGCACACCACTCGAGCGCTCGACATCCGACTCGTGGCCACTGCCGTCATCCATCCCCGCATTCGCGGAGGATCAGCGGCCCCAGAGCGCTGATGGACCCCTGACGCGGCGCTTGTCGTCTGTCAGGCCGATGCTGGTGAAGAGGAATCCGTCCCAAATGAGCCAGATAAGTCAGGCGCGGACGGAGATTGATCCGAAGACGGGCAAGGATGTGAGCTTTGGAAGGACGGGGAAGAAGAAGAAGTTCCAGGGGCTGAGGCGGGTGTTGGGGCTCAATGATTGAGTTGTGGGGAGTGGTGCTGACGCTTGAGTAGAAGCTTAGAAGCAAGGCCAGGAAGAGAGCGAGAAAGACAACGTGGACGTAGACGCAGACGCAGCGCGAGTTCGACGTCGGCGGTGGAGTCTGCCGACTCGTTTGTGCGCGCGAGCGTCATCCTGCTGGGGTGCTACCGACCTAGTTCGCGGCAGGAAGATGAGTGATGTAGACGAGGACTTACATACAGACATACTGTCTACCATTTCCTTGGCACTGTTTCGTCTTTTGTTTGGATACCGAGGGCACAAAAAAGATACCAATTTGGCTGTTCGCGGACGCGTTTTCTCTTGTATATGCTAGATGTTTGATGTATGTATGATTGGTTTGGATATGGGGAAGGAAGGGTGCAGGGGGGATAGATAATTTCTAATATGTATGAACCTTGCATTGCAGCACCTTACCTGGCTTGGTTTCCTGTGATGTCCTTGCGCTGTAACGAAGGGGTATCTATGGGTGCGCGGAACGGGCGTACGTGTGCAAGGTGGAGACGATGCTCGGTGGTGGCTTGGGTGAAAGCGGTCGGGGTGTTGGGACTGGAGTGGCAGAGAGGGTACTGTGTCTGTGCTATCATGCGAGGGGAAACGCCTCTCCCTTGGCCGACATAGAGACGCGCGAGAACGGCCAAAGACGTGTGCTAAAGCGGAGCTATGGTGCTGCGCCGTGCGGGTTGTAAATTGTACGCGCAGCTGTCTGGCGTGCAGCTGTGCCATCCCCCCCATGCATTCGCAGCACCTCGTCGAGGTAACAGCCTCAGTCCAGAAATGCAAAACGAAGAGCTTGCCACCACAAATAACACACAACCTCGAAGTTGCGATCGCTCGCTCGATCGAGAATTTAAGTCCCACTCGACTAATAACATCTTAAAGATCCCTGCCTGGCGCACTGAATATTTTCCAAGCGTAAGCAATCGCTCTTCAATTGTGGCCCACTCGCTGCCGTAACGTGGCACCCCGGATCCGACCTTGCGCATCGTCTTGTTCGTCGATATCTGCAAGTGCCAGAAGTTGCTCCATTGTCAAGACGATGCGCGCATACTGCGCAAGTATGCCATATAGTAACTTGCTTCAAACACACAAGAGATGGCTGGGATAGGAGATGGTTGGGATGTAATCCCGCCCCTTTCTCGTAGAGGTAGATACTTTGTCATAGTCCATCTCCTAATCTTGCGATAGAACCTACACTTATCTCGAAGAGAAGTAGGTGCATTACTATAGCCGAAGCACATTGCCAGAAAATGACGATATAGTGTACAGCATCCAGAAGAAGGAGACGCGAAAGGATGAGCATGTTTTTGATAAAGCGAGGAAGACAGGGTACCGTAAGCAAGGACATACGAACCATTTCAAGCCTGAAGAATTAGAGTGAGGACTGGGTGGATTTAGCCATGCATCTTTAGGAGCCCATAGATGGGTGCAGCGCGTCGCTGGGAGAGGGCTGCGTCTTGTTTGAGATCCTAGAGCGCAAGCTGTACCTTAGCTTCATTTGACGCGTCTTACTGGCGTTGTCGGGTAAGCAATACTGTAGTGTAGTGGGTTCGTGGCAAAGGTGATTGGCTCGCCCGTTGGTCGACTCGCCCGTGAGGTATGTTATCATACTAAGCAACATTATGAAGCTTGTCTGTGAAGCTTTGGTGGCCTGAGCTCGTAGCGGTCCGAGGCGTCAAGGCTGAGGGCATCTCCGAACGCCGACATACAGGCAGAGCCTGTCACAGGTGCACACGAGCGTGTTCATATCCTCGGCCGAGGGACGGTCCGAGTATATACTGCCTTATCATACACCTAAAGTATCACTTGTTCTCCTGGAGAACAATCAAAATCAATTCTATCCTCAGACTTCCTCGTACCCAATTACTACCGCCACTCATCATGTCTCTCCTTGCTGTGGAATCTCACAATAACATTACGAGGTCTACATCGAATGTCTTCGCCTTTGTCTCCTCTCCCTCGAATTGGGCGGGTCTACACCCAGGCAGCAAAAAGATTATTGGCGAAGGCGTCACAGGCTCAGCAGCAGTCGGCACACGCTTCGTCGAAGTTATCGACGATGACAACGGAAACGTCTTCGACGCTAGCTGGATGATTATTCGCTCTATCAACGATGAACTTTTCCAGTTCCAGTTTCCCTCGGATTTCGCACGCGGACCGTTCCAGGAGATTGTCATTACGTATAACGTTACGCCGGAAGCGGATGGGTCTATGGCTTTTACGCGCAGAATGGCCAGTTGGATAAGGCCAGGGATAGATGCAGAGAAGCTCATAAGCTTTTCAAAGAACGATATGCATAATCAGTATATGGCAAATGTAAAGGCTAAGGTTGAGAGACGTTAAAGTTATAGTTACCTGTTAGACAGAAGATCTCAGGAGGGTTAACCTATTATAATTAAACATAACTTGATATTTATTTAACTCTAAATTAGTAGAGTACTATTATGTAGGCCTAAGGCTATTATAATTCCCTATACTTACTTTACATAGTTACTCTCTACTCGATAATAAAAAAGGATAGGTCAGAAGGAAGTGCGCACGTTCTATGTGACCATGAAGTTTATTGCATTAACCATTAGAGAATGTACTGTAGCTGGATCTGATGTCGAGTTAGGGAGATCGATCGCTTGCACGATCGAATCAGAATGCTAGAGGAGAAGCTGCGAGTGTTCCAGCTGTACGAGGCTGGAGATCGAGATGCCGCGATCGAGGTGACAAGCAACAAGCCGTGACATACGTCTAGCGTTGATTGATCTCGGAAAGTTGCGGTTCCTGCACATTTGGAACCACTTGCAGTGCTTGGCGTCAACAAGAAGTACGATAATTAGGACGTGGTCTCAACACCAAGATCGAAAACCAACCCGCAAACGTATAGCACATCAACTGCCTTCTAATAAGTCATCAGATAACCGTCTACATGGAGACGGTGCTCAAGGACAACCATACCATTACAATGTTCGGCACTTTCTGCAACATTCAAGACCCCAATCCTAATCGCGAGATGCATGACAATGTCTGCACCGAGAGTTCCTCGACGGCCGTCATTGAGGCTTGTGACTTATCAAGAGCGGCAAAGGAGGAAGACTGTTGTCAACTTTGGTAGATCTTCGACACTGGCGCCTTCATAATTGATCGAGAACGCTGGATCTTGCTCGTTCCTGCGTCAAACATGCCATTACCATCACCATTATTCTCAAACAAACATGCATTAAGTCTAATTGTTTGGTTGGTATATCTGAGGTGTGGCAATAGCAGTGGTCTACAGCTCTGTCGCTCGTCAGGTTTATCTTGGCGCACCCAAAGCATTCGTCACTGCTTCCGTACGCAACTCTGCCGATACCGCCATCATTGTGTTAAGCTCCCTCTCCAAGCACAATGAGGTCAAAATGATCCAGAATGTTGTCGCAAAAGCTGATAGCGCCAGAATTACACGGTTTTTAGTCAACAATTTGCAAGCAATACTTTGTGGGCGAGAAGGCTTGTACATAGAGCCGGACTTGGCCTGTGTTAAGCTTCTATCACAATGTGCCAATCTCTTCCAACCAATCTTTCACAATAGCCGCTTCAATCAAGAAAATGCGCGCTTGGATGCTTGACGGGCCGCAGGACTCTTCTTCCTTATATATCAAAGAGATGCCGATTCCGGACGTACAGCGGGGTTGGGTGCTGATACAGATGAAAGCCTTTGGGTTGAACCGAAGCGAGCATCATACGCTGATAGTTAATTGAGCCCCAAGGAACGGTCAGAGCTGCAAAACCTAATGATAATAGGCCTTGCGGAAGGGGTCACGTTTCCCAGAGTGCTGGGCATTGAAGTAACCGGGGTAGTAGTTTCAGCACCAGGCGCGGAATTCGAGCCGGGGCAACAGGTGTGTGCAACAATGGGTGGCATGGGCGGAAATTTTGATGGGGGATATGCAGGTAAGTATACGCCCTGCGGCTGTGCATACAACAGTTTATCTGATCCATGGATTATACAGAATACACGTGCGTACGTGCGAACCATGTTGTAGCATTCTAGTCTTCACTGGACTGGTCCATATTGGGAGCCGTACCCGAGATGCTTCACACCACATGGGGTGCCCTTGACGTTGGTATGGATGCCAAGAAAGGTCAATCAATTTTGATACGAGGCGGCACATCTTCAAGCAGGATGGCTACTGTTGTCCTAGCCAAACAACTTCAGATGACGGGTTTCTCAACAACTAGGAACAAGAAAAAGAGCGACACACTCAGGAATTTCGGAGTTGACCATGTCCTGATTGACAATGGTAATTTTTCTGCACAGGTTCGAGCTATTGCTCCTGAAGGAGTCGATTGTGCAATAGAGCTTTTCGGAACGGATGCATTACCGAATACGTTGAAAGCGTGTAAGGTCAAGGGCGTCACTTGTTTCGTGGGGATGTTATCCAATCAATGGACCGTCAAGGAACTTTACCCGATGTAAGTCGACAGACTTTGGCTCGCGTTCATGGTTCTGGATCTAACAGCATGCGTTTAGTGATTACCTTCCTCATGGTGTAAAGCTTTTTGGGTACGCTAGCGGAGTGGAAAAATTGCCTGAGCACGTGCTCCGGAATTTCCTGGATGCTGTCGAAACGGGAAATGCTTTCATGCCAATCGATAAGGTTTTCCAATTTGAGCAGCTGAGAGAAGCTCACGAGAGAACGAACGCGGGCTTGGCAGTGGGTAAGATGGTAGTCCTGACAGGTACGTGAGATAGGACACCTTCGTCGCTCAGTTGGCATAGGAAGAAATTGCATTATTTCTGAGATGAGTCCACGGCGTCTGATGGTGACATATGCATATGCCGCGTCAGACTGGCCCCCGTCTCTAGTATGTAGTCTAAGAATTGGGGTGTAGCGGCTCGCTTGGCTGGGCGATGGTCGGAGGCCCAAGAGACTTTGAATGTGCCGGTGAACGGTGAGGGAGTAGAGGTGTTGGTTCCGCAAAGGCACCGAAGGTCGGTTGAGGCTGGTCATCGAGGTCGCAAAAGTGTCGCCAATTGGAGGAATTCTACGGGCACAGAGCACACCATCCCGCACAGGCCGACAGGTGACCGAACGGCACTTCCAGGTATTCCAGACTCCCGGTAGAATCTTCGTCGCTATTATAACTTGATGGGCAGCAGAGCACGTAGGGTGCACGCGATGGGATGGCACACAAGCTCACATTGAAGTTGGGGCCAGTCGCTGACATACGGTACCGGTACTACTTACTTTTCTAGACTAGTGTTGAACCGTGCGTCATTCTAGCCTTGCGTATCTGCTCCATCACGACAAGTATCGTCAACCGAACGAATCCGGCTCCTCCCGCCCCTAGCTTGTACTATCGAACGTTGGACGATTACGCCCTGCCCTGGCCCACAAGGCGTTTTCTCTACCTTGGCTTACAGCCACTCATCGCCTCTGAGTAATACACCATACCTCGTGGAGCTTCGCTGTACTTGAAAACCAGCTCACTGACGCGCGAAATCCAATCTGACGCTTCAAAGCAGTTTGCGCTTCGTGATGCAGAGGCATGAATTCCCCCGAGAAGGTGTCATCCATGACATCTGGGTTCCAGCGCCCCCACACCTTTCAGCTACTGATGTGATGCCCCTGGCACTTCGGGCTTTTAGTCTTTATCCGGCCAATGAACACAAGCTTGCTCATGCGCGAACATCTTTCTCCCTCCGAGCGTTTATTTTCATCATCCTTGTTCATTTCCAGACTTTCCAATAAGCGCTCTCGCTCCCTTAGGTCGGTCCCGTGTTCCCAGCAAGCACCTGTGCATGGCGCTGTATCTTGATCCGAAAGCTCGTTCTGCTGACATCAGAAGCCTCCCTTAGGGCTTCTTGTGTGCCCTTGGCCAGCGTGGTCTCAGCCCTGTCCAACACTCGGAGAATATCCGCACCCTAGACCTAGGTTTGGCCCCTGGAAATCGACAGCGGCACTAGTGTGGACGGGTGTCTCCGTTCATCAATGGTGTAGACTAAATGTACCAGGATCATACCTATTCGCCGCTAACCTTGGCATAACAAAGACGTAAGTCTCGTAGATAAATATACATGGCCTCTTCGTCCGTTTCAACTGTCACGTTCACTTACTTCTTCAATTTTCTATTTGTGGTGTTTTCTTTTCTCGAGCATGTCCGAAGTAGAGGCGCAATTCGTCAAGCGAGGACTATGGGTAAACTGGAGCCAAGGACCCATCATGGGCCAAACACTGACTGTCGACTCTTCGGTCGCTAACGTAGTTGTTGCCCTCCTCGCAATCTGCACCTCTATCGGTACAGCGCAGCTGTTCAATCTCGCAATTTTCTTATATCATCAGCTCAGAGCCCACGGCCAACCGTCGGATGGACTTTATTGGCAACAGCAAGCTCTGCTTAGAACGCTGCCTACGCCCACAGCTTTCGTCGCGGATTACATGAAGTTGTGGTGGAGTTGGCGCACTAAGTCCAAGAAAGGTATGCAATCCCGCCTCCTCGCAGCGGCATCACTCCACACGTTCATGGTCGATCGAGTGTACTGACATTTCTCAGCGTTGATGCGATCTTGGATAGCAGCCGTCATTGTTCTCTGCTATGCTATCGCGAGCATCGCGGCCGGAATTTCGACTAGCTATGCCGTTGATACAACCAATCTCGAGGTACTCGTCGACAGTTCCCTTTGCCGCCTTGTCGACGTCCCTAAGCTCGCCGCGGATGCGAACGCATCTCTAGCATTCGCGACTGGTATGATCCCATACATACACACATATACACAGAACTGCTACCAAAACACCACCACTGCACCTGCAACTTGTCGAAATATGTACATACAACCAAAGGTCCCCTTGACTGTGGAGCAGGCCAGCTGCCCATGGCAGCCTTCCCTTTGTCTTGATGGTGAGCGTCCCGCTATATCCATGGACTCGGGATTATTGGATGTTAGTGCAACTTTCGGATGGAATCTGAAGGCCAGAGATAACCTATGGGTGCGACGTCGCACAACCTGCAACGTGCTACCGTTGGAGGGCCGTGAGAAGAAAGTCAACTTGTCTTCTCTAAGCGATACGTTAGGTTTCGAACCTCTTCCCAACGAACAAGGGTATGCGTACCTTTTCGGCAATTACACGGACATACCTCCAGAAATGCACCCGGAGTATCTATATAAAGCAAGCCTCTTGTTCGCGAACCGAACCAAGACATATGGCTCCATGTAAGTCAACCATGCAAACGTGGATTCATCGTCGACCTCTATTGACGCTCGTTGCAGAAGTACTATCACCCGAGCACACAGTAATTCGTTTATGTGGGGACTAAATTGGCGGACGCTTGACGAAATGAACCGGACCGACGCCGACGTAGCCCTTGCCTTTATAACCCTAAACAACGTGTTGTATCACAACCCTGTGAATGACCCTCTATTCTCGGCGCATCAAGAGGTTCCGTATGGCAATGGGCCTCTTTCACAAACAGAATACAAGTCAGACCATCTTGCTGGGGCGTTGGGATGTGCTGTCCAGGTATGTCGTGGCTCGATCGCAGTTTGTCAGACCGCTAACATACGCTTTCTCAGCACCAATTTTGCGCTTCGAAGTCCAGTTCCGATAAAAGCTGCACCTCATTGGGTGCTCTCCCAGCCGATGATTCGTCTCTTGCAGCGCAGTTCTCTGATCTCACAGGGCTACAGCAATCCCTCATGAAGCTTCTCTGGGCAGCCAGCTTCCTGAATGATGTGACTAACGGTGCATCATCAGATGAGCTGTTAGCTTATGGTACGTAAAGCCCTGATAGCAATAACATGGCCGAACTTGATCTCTATCGAGAATGAAGTGCTTGGGACACAGACAGGGGTACGCTGGCTCGATCCTCGCTGACGTGGGCAGGCCTCACTATGAACGGTCTTGTAACGGAACTACCCGACAACCAATGGGCCAAAGAAGTAGTGAACTGGGAGAACTACGCATGGGCCGGTTTTCAGATCATGATGTCAGATGCAGCCATTGGCCCAATCACGCGCACGGAGTTGGCTGATAGCTATACTAACGCACCGGCAACGGCTGCGGACAGTGCGCTATGTCAATCGATGAGGATGCGCAAAGCTGGTGGTTTCGCGTATGTATCGCCAACCTGCCATTGCAAAAAGATTACATTGCTGATCACTTTACAGGAATGTGAACGTCTTTGGTCTCGCATTCGTCTTGACCTTTTCCGCTATCATATCATTCATCAACTTCTTCATCCTTAGATTTTTCATTTTCCTCAAGCGATTCCGCAAGACTCTTGCGCCACGACTGGATCGTTGGGTCAACGACGGCATCTTTCAGTTGCAACGGAGAGCTTTTGAGGCCAACGAGAGTACCACATGGATAGACTCAGAGAAGGAGATTCCGACAACTACCTATGCAACGACGATGTCCGAGCTGCCCACGGTAAGGCGGACGATCAGGCGCTCTGCCACCGCGGCTACGCTGGTCGACAAGAGCGCGATACTGAAGTGGGAGTTGGAAGAACGACAGCCGACTATAACAGAATCGGAGCGCTCTTTGACCGCGCGATCCGATGAATCTTTCACGGATAGGGGGCATGTGTCGCAGGGGGAGATCAGCCTGGTGCAGCATTCGTCGCCCAGCGCGCATTCCCGATGACATGTTTCTTTTGCTCATTGTTCACTTTCTTTGAAATAGAGATCTTCCATGAATAGAATTCTTTGAGAACCTTGTCGATGTGCTGAATGTCTTTGTTCATGTATTCACAGGCTTGTATCACGCCGTGCACAACGTTGTTGGTCGCCATCAACTGAAAATATCGCAAAAATGACTAGATTTATCGCACTCAATGCTGATGATGACCGGGAGAGCCGACATAGGATTCCTGAACCTCCTTCTAAGATGATTCGTCACGCGCTAAGAAAACAAGAATGGGAGGCAGAACCCGTTCCTAATGTTTTCACTAAGAGAGTGACGAAGCGGAAGAAGCAGAAGTCGAATCTCAAGACAGTAAAGACGGTCCAGACGGGGAAAAAGGTCCTGGACGCCATTACATACGACTCGGAAGAGCTCCAATGCCTAGATTGCAAATACATATATATCGGCGCACCCATAGTCAATTGGCTAACGCTGAATAGGCCTCCTATACGGCGACGAACCAGGCTGTAAATTAAGCTGCTACACAAAGTTTACCAGGGACAATCTTAGGCTCATCACAAACAACATTGAGATCCGTGGACCCAGTGATCTTGGCTACTCTGCCCACACCACTGTCCCCATCGCAAAGAACGAGTGGATTGGCGAGTACATTGGTGAATTACGCCCGCTATCTCTGTCTAAAACTCAGCAATCACTCTACTGGTTACCTATACCAGGGCAATGTGCCATCGATGCTGAGCGCAAGGGCAACTGGACGCGCTTTATGAACAGTAGCTGTAAACCGAACGTTAAGGTTTGGGGAGAGACCTTAGGCAAGAGACACGTGGTTCTGTTTCAGACACTGAAGAGCATTGCAGCGGGAGATGAACTTACATTTCAGTATGGGAAAGCCTATTTTGAGAGGGCAGGGATTGAGTGTCTGTGTGATGCGCATGATGGGGAGCCATATATGCCTGGGCCTAGGACTCTAGAAAGCTTATGCGATTGAATTTTCATTCAACCCCGCAAAGAAGAATGCAGCAAAGCAAATGACAAATGCGTAGTCCCGAGCAGCACAACACGAGGGCTACTGCTCCGGGATGGTGAAGCTTATCTTTGCATGGGTGACCATGTCTGTTGCTAGATTAGAAGACCTTTGAAGGGGTCAGTCCAGCATTTGGCTATATTGGGCACATGAAGGCTGGGTGGTGGAAATTCCTTGGACTGGCGAGAGGCCGAGGGTACACAATGCGGTCTTTTCCTTTGTTCTTCTTTAGCCTGTAGCATCCATCTTTGTTTCCATTCAGTACGTGATCTCTTGAAGAATGGCTTGTCTACATGGGTAGCGTTCATGATGTGTAGTTGTACCAGTTCGATCTCCACGTCTCCTAGACATTTTACTTCTCTCAAGACTCTTAATGTCTCTGCTCACTCCTCCGCTTTACATACGTTTCTTGTTCTGTATCTCCATATCCCTCTTCCTCTCGGCTGCCTGTCCCAAAGAAACAGGCCCCGGCCCGAAATCAGGAGTTTCACCTATGCTCCCTAGTATGTTACTCACGTAATTTGTCGCATTATTCCTTCCGCGAAAGCATCATTCCAGTCATCCACAATCCCCTCGATAATCTTTATGCCAGCCAGGTAGAGATTTCTCAGCGCAGGTGGGTAGCCGTCTTGATTGCTCCACCACAAGTTCGTCGTTGCTGGCTCGCCAGGATATGGTCGGTCCATGTCGCTCGCCGTATGCATGATGATAATGCGTGAAAAGTCCACCAGACCGGCGATGTGACCACACAGCAAAGCTTCCGTGTCACATTATCTTCCTGTGCTGTTTTGCAGTAGATCCCAGTCCCGTTCGTAGACACTTCAGTATAGTTGCCGAACGTCTCGCCTAGCAATCTGCGACTGAACTAGTTGTCGCTTGTTGTAACGTCGCATGCGACCACACTTGGAGGCTGAGTCTCCGCCTTGTAGATTCTTTTCGGTGTATCATAGAGTGCTCGATACGCAACTGCTTCCGCGCTGTCGTTCAAAGCAGCGGTCCTGGCGAATCCTGCCGCAACCTTTCGCAGCGCGTCAAAAGCCTCCGTACCATAAATGTCCCCAGGGTAGACGTTTGGCTCGTAGCTTTCTTGGGACACATGTCCGGTTGAGAAGTTCGCCGGCAGCTCGCAGGACCAAAGTCATACTGCAATTGCGACCGCAGGGTTGATCCCTCCCACTCCGGCAATGAAGTAGGTTGATTTCAAGTCGAACAATGGTGATAAACAGAGCGATTTTATCGTAATTGCCGCGTTGATTCCGCCCATTGCAGTGACAATTTGGCAAATAGATCCATCTGCGGTACAATGAGCATCCGGGAATTTTGGCGAGAAGCCAGTAACAGTTATGTTCCGGGCCATGATATCGAATCCGGGAATGCGAAACCAGGCTTCTTCCACGCCATTCAACATACTTATTATTATGACCTTTGGTACCACTTTTGTTGTGGGATATTCGTTCCTTGCAATAACTGGCGCGGGATTTCGATGTGCGCCATTGATCGGTTCAGAGCTAACAAAGGGAATGATCAGCGCAGCAAGTGCTACCAGGGAACGAGTAAGCATGTTGCCGTACTTGAATATTGTCGTCGGACTATGCTTTGAACATTGGGAAGCAGATCGATTTATAGACCCAAATTCTAGTAAAGCTTGTAACAAAGGCGAACTCCGCAGGTAGTCTCCATGTTTTTGTGCCGCGTATTTAGTCGTGCGGTTTGGACTTCGATGATATAGCGCGATAAGCATGCATTGTGACGCACTTCGCCGTTGACGGTAACGGCCGCTGAATTTCCTACTATCATAAAATGCGCCGGTTACATGCAACCTTCAGAACTTTGTTAACGTCCAAGTCTCGATTTTCACCGCAAGTCCAGTACCCCATGCCTACAGTTGCTACGGGAAACGCAACTAAAGCATTCGCAGACGCGAGGGGTAGAATATGAGGTGGCTGGCACAAAAAGCTGGACTCCCGTGCACACGTCATCCTGTACGAACTCAGTGTACGATACGTTTATCAACCTGTCATCTCATAGTTTACCCTGAATTCTCGCAACTACAAAAGTCCAGGTTTTGTTGTCGGTCACGCCAACACTAGCCAAGTAATGCTGGCAACTGCTCATTGTTTCACTCTCGATAGAATTATGTCGAACGGCGGGTAATGCAGATCGATGCCATTTCCACTTTCGACAAACGCGATTTTTACCAGCGGCCAGGCGTTATTATCCAGATATCTGGCAAGCGCACGGCACAGTTAGCCTGTTTTCCACACCGATCCGTTGTGGAGTCACTTACCCATCAAAGTCAAACCAGTCGCAAAACTCCAGCCCCGGAATCATCATTCTCCACACTTGAGTACCTGGCCCGAATTCGTCATTCTCTGCCGCGCCCTCTGCCGGTGTTAATGCAACTCCAGCAGGGGTAGAGAAATATCGGACTTGGTAATCGTCCGTCCAGCCGAGGCGGTCGAGGCCTTCCAATGCGCTGGTACCATTCACGACGAGCTCGCGTAGGTACAAGACCTGGCCTTCCAGCTCAAGCTTCGCATAAGATGTGGCGTTTGTTTCGTTCTTCGCAACTTCTTCCGTGATCAGGCCGCCGTCTTCTCCGTCACCGTACCACCCGGCGAAACGTTTCTCCATTTGGCTTGTCAGTGCCTCTGCAAACGCTGGCATGAGGTGTTGGTGAGCTACGGACTTCAGAGCTGACGGAGAGATTGATACATAGTCCGCAGACCCGGAAACCTGCGTCAAAACAACCAACCCGTATCCTAGCTCAGGGATCACGTCTATCCAGGAGTGCCACCCTCCTCCATCACCAGCTTTTCCGTATGCTGAATACGTTTTGTTGAGCGCGGATGCATCAGCCGAGATAGGAACCTCAAAGAGATCTATCTCCCAGCCAGGACCTACTAATTGCTTGCCGTCTGGAAGCGCTACGTTGGGCTGTAATGCGCGTCGACGCTGCGAGAGACTAATGAGAGGGAGGGGATCTGGGCGAAGCCAAATGTTATATAGATATTTAGTGAGGTCGTTGGCTGAACTCTGTCGAGTGAGGAAATCAGCGCCCGGCTCTCGAGGGGTGAGTGAACATACGTACCCACATACCGGCTGCAGGATCATATCCAAGGCCGACTACAAGATCAGCCCAGTTAGGACCTCCCGGAACACCTACATCTGGAAGCAGCGAGTCTGGAATGGAACCAAAGAAGCTGTGTGTCATGTTCAACGGGGATAAGATTTGCTGCATGGTAAGCTGGCTCCAGTTTAGGTTTGATCCCGTGATCTTGTTGTAATAGTTCACGACCGAGCCTAAGAGTGTGCTTAGTATGGATGTGCAAGGGTGACGAGGGATTCCTACTCGCGAGGATGGACATGCCAAGATTCGAGTCTATCTCTCGTCAGCAGACAACATCCTCACATGATTTAGGTGACGAACATCCCGCTCGTTGCCCTGGTGCGAACATGAGGTTTGTCTTTGCAGCATATTCAATATTCCCTTCTGGTGTTGCGGCTGCCCACTTTGCCCCGATAGTCTCTGCATCTGCTTTGCCCGTAGCGAGTACCATATTGAAATCGGTACTATATCCTTCTCTTGATAGTCCAGAACTATGACTAGCAAGCATGCGTAGTGTGATATCGCGTCCGCCATCGATCCAGTCCTTATCAGGAAGACGGAACTGCGGTAGTAGTTGACGAACAGGCGAGTCTAGTGTAAGCTCGAAGGGGACATCGATTCGCGCTTTTGCTAGGTTTTCTACAGCCAAAGCTGAGAATGACGCAAAGTTCTTGGAGATCGAATTGATGCGGTATATCGAGTCGCTCGTCACTTTTTTCTGAGCGCCACAAGAAAGAGACTCATTCATTTTGAGCGTGCCATAATTGTATGCGAAGACGCTCTCCGGACTAGATGCATGAACCTGACTGCATCTTAGCACAGAAAATCAGACATTATACCGGACTTACGATAGCAAAGCTCAATGAATCCCGGGTCGTGTTATTGAACAGTTCATCTAAGCTTTGCTCAATCGCTCGAAATGCTGAGAGAACCTTCGGATGTTCCAAAAGGACTGCATCAGATAGTAGCTTTTGCGGAACCTCGGGTATGCATGCGGACCTGGCGACCGGAACAAAAAGCGTGATCACGAAAGCGCATACAAGAATTGTGCTCATATTGAACATGAGTGTGTGTTTCAGAGGCAGACGGGACGAGGATGCTCTTGCCGGCTGCCATGTACATCCGCGCTCACATTTGAGCGGTAAGTGAAGTTGGAGATCCTGGTCGACCCCGCGCAACACAAGACGTGCACTGTGCCAATCACACGCGAGGTGATACGTGCCTGAGTAAAATGAGAACTAATGCATGCGACCTTCCAATCTAAGGCATTTCACGATAAGACATCGGAGTAAGACTAACAAGATGCCAATCGAAATGCAGCTGTATGAGTTCGCCAAGCTACTTGGATAAATTCGGTTAGAGATTTAATCTTTCAGTGTGTACCACGGTTCTTCGCACGTTACCGTTGGGACTGGTATTTTGGAGGGACGCCGACTGATATCAGAGTCAGATTGAGAACCACATCAGAGCCACAAGTATATGCTAGCACGAATCAAGACGATATTTAGGTTGACTAGGGCCTGCTTCCGCTAGGGGCTCTGTGCCTTTCAACACGTCTAGCACTTAATAATCGTCTGGCAGGTGTCGAGTCATTCAATCTTGGTGTATAGGAGACATCCGAGGCTTGCGGTCCTGCGCAGCTCCAAGTAATGGTTACGGTCAGTACATCGGTCCGCTGAGATTGGCTTCCTCGATCGACGCATCCCACGTAGCCTACGTTCATGAGCATTTGCTTTTCGTTTATTGCAAGGAACATAGATCGTACCCAGTCGAAGCCTACGTCTGTGAAGCCAACATCGTATAGTGTCTCTCCACTGGGGTCCATGCATGTCCCAAGAAGCTCAGCATTGAGGCCTGAATGAAATTGTTCCGCATTTGGATTATCCGATGAGTCGCGAACCCATGTGCGGCATGCAGCGATCATCCTCACGAGCAAGTCGTATATGCTCCATGTTTCTTGACAAAGATGCATAGCCGCTGCCCAAGAGTTGACAGAAATCTCCAGCGTTTCTAGGATAATATGGCTTTCCGGTAAGGTGTTGTGCTTGGTGTCATCCTTCCTCAGCTCTACTTCGAGGAATAGGAGCATCGCTGCTAGTGCAAAGGTCTGCCTTGTTCGCGATATTTTGTAGTATTTTGGATCTAAATTTCTTTGAAAGCTTAACAACGATATCGAGCACGAGACGCAGCGCTCCCGGGATAAACTGAACCGGGCATCTTCTTTCGATTTTGCCATGAACCGTCTGTGCAAGACGCACATGCCAAGGTAGTATGCATGTAACAAACTAAACGCTGAGAAGTTTGCAGTGATTGAAGCGGGTTCATGATCACCGCAAAGCACAGCTTTCACATATGGTGGCGCATCCTCGAGTCCTTTTTGCAGCGCATGATCAATGTCGAGGACAGTGTCGTAGGAACCGAGCTGGAGACCACTGTTCAAGTCTGTAATGCGACCCAAAGTGTTATAGAGACGGCCTTTAGCAATCAAATACGTGACTGGAGTTAGCTCGGAAAGCGGTCTGGCTGGAGGCAGAGCTTCTGTGCGTTCCGACAATTCCCAATCATGGACGTTAAGAGGCTCTTTCGTGTTCGAGAACGATTTCGGCATTGTGCGTGGAAAGTCAAGCTGAAACGAAGCCATGTTATCCATACTGATAACGGACAGCCAGACACGTCTCCTGTATTCAGCGCTTAAGCTGCACATAGCATCGGAAGCAGGGTCGTGATGGTAGCCCATGTTCACGGCGGCGCGAACGATAACTCCGGTTGTCATCCATAATGCGCGGCGATTATCGTCCTTCCTGTGTAACTCAGCGGTAGCATTGAGACGTAGTGCTTCCACGGTGTACGGTAGACATTTAGAGATATCTCCGCGTTGTAAGCACTGGCCTGTGCGGGTACGGTAGAGCTGGAAGAGCGTTTCGGAACGGCCTTCATATTCGGGCGGCTCTCCATGCTGATGATATGCAAGCATAGTGATGCCGAGAATAGAGAAGACCAGACCGAGCCAGATCAGATCTGCTTGGAATGGGTCTTGCCAGTGACGGTCCAGCTCGCGTCTTAGGGTTGGTTCATGAATGATAGCTAACTAACCATGAGTAACTCCCAGGTTTCAAGAGAGTGGCTGAGGTACGTACGTGGAACAGGGATCGGGAAGCTCTGTACATCGAAGTACCATGCAACTAATCGATCGACTTCCGATCGAGGAGGTAACGAGGAAAGCATCTCCATTCGCTCAACCGGTGCGGCCTGGGTAAAGAGCAAGCCTGACCCATCAGGTGCAGATATATGTAAATTCTCGAACATATAATCGCTATCGCGGCGCTGTTCTCCATGGAGTCTACCTTTGAGGTCACCAATCTGACTTCGGATTAGTCCAATACGCTCAGTACTCAGGACAACATTAGCGTCGCACCTCCTGTAGCACGGTGTGCCAATCATTACTCCCATGATATATCGAATGAGAACGGCCAAGGACTGTTTTCCCGGCTGCAGCCGGAATAGCTCCCTCAGTTAATACGCCTGGGAAAGGTTCGCCATGACTATGTTCAACGTTCTCAATTGCACCGTTGCCACCGTCACTTGCCGAAACGAGGCCTCGATTGGAGAGCAATTGTCTCACCAAGCGCTCTAACTGGTCGACACGCTGTCGTATAGCAACTTCATCCCCCTTGCGTCGGCCGACAGGTATCGCAGGATCCTTATGTCCGCGGTAGTTACACGCATCCTGCTCGCCACGTGCCGTACAGTTCTGGCACGGGGTTTCGCGATTGCACTTCAACCTGTACGCGTCAATGACAGGCTGGGACTCATAATGTATCTGTTTACTTACTTTCGAGTCCTACAGAGCTCGCACGATAATGGAATACGGGTTCTGCGATGTGTTGCTTGCATGTCGGCTGAGAAACGGTCACCCTTGTCTGAATGAAGCCAAGACCGACCCACGTGATGAGTGAGCAGTGTGGTTATCGTGGGAGAAGACCGTGGCTAAAGTGTATGTCTCTAAACACATCAAACTTTACGCAACGCAGTGTGCGGGTAGAAACTCGGAATATTCCATGTGTGTAAATTATTCCTCGCACGACCCAAGCCCTGTGTCGGATCTGGCGTTCCTTCGAAGCGCTGCACGCTCAGCCACGTAAGCGACGCAGTGGCAAGTTAAGTCCGCGGACTTGCGGTGCTCGTCCGAAGTGCGCTTTGCTCGACTTCAAGTCCATGGCTTTGGTAGCTATGGAGCTATAGCGGCCACGTACCCGAGAAATATAAAGACGGCCGCTTTTGCTGAGATGATGGACAATATCATACTGAGAATCCGACTGAAGGATTGGTTCAATTAACCATGGTAAGCATAATAGGCGCATAGCATTGGCCCTTGGAACTAAAATACATGGCAGCCTTCACTAAGAAACTTCGTCTATACGCAATTTCTTGCCAAAATTTCAAGGCCTACCGCTTCTTTCGAGGAAAAGACTGTAATTGTTACAGGCGGCAATCGAGGACTGGGCAAGGAAACGGTGAAACATATTGTGAGCCTAGGCGCCAGCAAGGTCATTATAGGTTGTCGCAATGAGACACATGGCCTCGAGACGAAACAAGAGATCGAATCCATTACCAATTGCAGCCCGTCCACACTAGAAGTCTGGGATCTCGACATAGAGTCGCCTGCGTCTATCAGGCGCTTTGCGGAACGCGCCAACCAATTGTCCCGGTTGGATGTGTTGATAAACAACGCGGGAATATCGGCTTTCAACTTCAAGGTAGTCTACGACACAGAACGCACGCTCGCTGTCAACACTATCGGGACGTTCTTGCTTGCCTTGCAGCTCATCCCCAAGCTAAAAGAGACAGCTCGCAAGTACGAAGTGATCCCTGTCATGACTACAGTGGCATCTGCTCTATACGACAACGCAAAATATCCCGAGCAACACGGAGACGACATTTTTACGTGGTACAAGGATCCATCGCATGTGAAGAAGTTCAACCAGTGAGCATAATCCATGTCACCATCATATCAGGTAACGAAGTCTCATTATGATGACAGATACAATTTATCCAAGCTGCTGCAGATATATACTATCCAAAAACTTTCCGCTATTGTGGATCCACTCGCGATAGACAGTCCCCGACCGATCGTAATCAATGCCATGGATCCAATGTTCTGCAAATCCGACCTGGGTAGCGAGGTAACAGGAGCCGTCAAGGTCCTCGGTGGCATTTTTAGAAACATCACAGCTCGCACTACTGAGGAAGGATCGCGGCTTGTCGTTCAGGCTGCGTCATCAGGCCGGGAAACGCATGGCTTATACATGCGAACTGGTGCTGTGGAAGAATACGCTGCCATAGCGCAAGACGAGGAGAAGGCTACGTATGTCTGGGACGCGCTTTGCAAGAGACTTGAGAAGCTCCAGCCAGGTATTCTGGAGAACTTACAGTAGGCAATTATTCATCTTCTCGGTCGCTATCTTCGTACTATGAACGACAGTTTGTTCCGATGAGCCTCAGCCAAAAACGAGCCATTGCGCATAGATGAAGGGCGACTGGGATAGCCCACATATCAACTACTTGAGGCTAGTTTCTGACAATCAACTATCTCTAGCAGATGTACTGTAGCATGCATGCTCAAGTGCTTTGTGAGGAGACCGGCAGAATACTGTTGAGCAAGCAAATCACAGACCAGCGCAAGACTGATATGCACGCAACGGCGGGCCTGTACCGAATGACACAGAACATTAATCTTGATCTGCAATTAGCACAGTTGAAATGCGGGGTAAATCGTAGGTGTGGCCCTCTGCCTCGGCTGGGGTGCTTTTTGCTTAGGGACTTTTAAGCAATTCTACCGGAAAGGATGAAACCGTTCTTATACCGTGTAATTCAGCCTTAACATCCTCACTAGCGAGATCTAGAGATGAAGATCTAGATTGAAGCTGCTAAATCTCCAGGAACATATTTTCTCCGCCATTCCCATCCATTGAAACTGCATGTTCATACTTCACGAGGTGAGTGGCAAGTTCGCGACTACTGTATATAAGTCAGCATATCAGGCATGAATAGTTCTACCGTCAACTGCGCTCATAACAATGAAGCTGTACACTTGCCTCGTAGCGCTATGCCTCTGTAGCTTTGCACACGGCGCAGCGATCGACAAACTCCCAAACACTAGCGATGGAGCTCAAGCAGCCTTAAACGGCACATTCTCATGGGACAAGTCAACCTTCCAGGTCAATGGCAAGGCATACCAGATAGCTGGAGGCCAGATTGACCCGCAGCGCGTTCCCCGCGCCTACTGGGCTCAAAGGCTGCAGATGGCCAAGGCAATGGGACTCAACACTATCTTGTCATACGTCTACTGGCAAGATATCGAGAAGTATCCGGATCAGTTCGACTTCACCGACAGGAATGACCTCGCAGCATGGTTTCAAGAAGTCGACAAGGCTGGCATGAAAGCTATACTTCGCCCTGGACCGTATGTCTGCGCCGAGAGGGACTGGGGTGGTCTGCCTGGCTGGCTGGCGACAAGGTCTGGGATGAAGATTCGATCGAACAACCAACCGTTCTTGGATGCCTCGAACAAGTACTTGGCCAAAGTTGCTGCGCAGCTTCAGCCTCTGTTAATCACCAACGGTGGGCCGATCCTCATGGTCCAGATCGAGAATGAGTACGGCTGGTTGTACGTTTCGTCATTCGAAAGTACTTGAGCGTTACTGACATGTACAGTGGGTCGGATCATGCCTACACGAGTAATCTAGCCAACATTCTAAAGACCAATTTCCCTAATATGAAACTTTACACCAACGATGCGAACAATGCCGGCGCCCTCAAATCGGGCCAAGTCCCCGGTGCACTCACAGTCGTCGACGGCACAGACTCTAAAGGCGGCTTCAACACGCTCAAGCAAGCCATCACCGACCAGTCTAGCCTTGGGCCACTCATGAACGGTGAGTACTGGGTCCGTTGGTTTGATACTTGGAATCCTCGTTCCGGTCACAGCACCTACGATGGCGACACCAATGGCATGAACGGGCGCGCCAACGAGATCGACTGGATCCTCAGCAACGGGCACCACTTTAGCATCTTCATGTTCCACGGGGGCACGAGTTTCGAATTCGGTAGCGGCTCGGGCGATTCAACCCCACGTTCACCCTTCACTACCAGCTACGACTACGGCGCTGCGCTTGATGAAACGGGTCGTCCATCGCAAATCTATACCTACTTCCGCAATGCGATTGCAAAGCGCTTCCCCAACATCCCCACTGTTCCTTCTACACCTCCCCTCGCTTCGGTAGCGGACTTCGCGTTGACTCCAGTGTTGGGCATGTTCGACAGCCTTCCTACCAACCCACGCACCTCATCGACCCCGCTGCTTATGGAAACTACGGGTCAGGTGTTCGGATACATTCTCTATGAGACGACCGCCTCGACCGCCGCCTCTGGAAAGCTCCAACCGGGTAACGGCGCTGCACGCGACCGAGTCATTGTATACGTAAACGGTGTGAAGAAAGGCGTTATCGACTCCATCTACAAGACCCCTGCCACGGTCAATGTCGACGTCAAAAAAGGCGACAAACTCTGGCTTCTCGTGGAGAACCTCGGTCGTGCTGATAACGGTGCTTCTGACCAAATGAAAGGCATCTCAGGCGATGTCATTGTTGGCAGCACCAAGCTCACCGGCTGGAATCATTACAACTTCCCACTCGACAGTGCACCTGCGAACGCAACATCAGGAGGCTCAGCGAAGCCGGTGTCTGCCAACGGCCCGCCAATGTGGTATCAAGGGACCTTCCGCACCACGAACTCTGGGATCGCTGCTGATACCTTCCTTCAGCTTCCTGGCGGTGTCAAGGGCGTGGTATTTGTGAACGGGGAGAACCTGGGTCGGTACTGGACGATAGGACCGCAGCAGGAATTGTTCGTGCCAGGAGCGTACTTGAAGCAGAATGCGGACAATGTGGTGGCAGTACTGGAGCTCGAGCCGGGGACGAGCAGCAGAGTCGCGAGGGGTGTGGCCAAGAGGACATGGAAGAACAACCCGGATCCGGACTGCAACAACTGCACATGATGGAGTGTTATTGAAATGGAGGTTAATTACTGCTGCTTAATTTCCATGAACGCATATCAGAGGAGCGCTTTTGTAGTCATGTCGAGGACAAAAATATACCGCTTGAACCTAGATGCATGTTACCAAACAGACCAACTTCATAGCCGGGGTGCGTTTGCGCTCCAGCAGTCCCCGTCTCTCACTTCTTGTTTGTACAGTCTCGCTCACTTGGCCAACCTTGGTTCTCCGTGCCACGTAAATTTTCTCCACCTCGAGCTGTTTTTCCTCATTCAACCCACAATCCAAAAGAACTTTGACAACGCCATCTTCCTATTCTCCATGAACATGTCTGTTCCAACTTAATTCTCTTGGGGATCACGCACGGGCAACGGTCTCAGCTAAGGTATGTATGTGTAACAGCTTGTGGGCCATGGCAGCTAATCGAGCTAGTTTGTTCGAATCGGGCGCATTCTCGGACGTGACTCTGCAAATTGATGGTATGTCTAAGGGGCAGAACATCAAGGCTCATCTGCACTTCCTCGAATACACAAGTTTCTTAAACTCTTTGGTACGTCTTGACAGAATGCAAGGCTGCCATCGACAATGTCCGATATTCATGACAGCACTAGGGGATGCTTTCCCTCCACGATTCGAAGCCTATATGTATCGAAAACGGTGGAAGAGTATTGATATCTTGGCAGGATACAATTCTTACGATTCTTTCTCTTCCATCTCCTCTGCAATCCGCAGATTTGAGAAACTCCTGCTATCACTCAAATAGTTCCTTGCTGTGGATATCACAGCTTCTCGGTAAAACTAATAGCTCAATTTCCGAAGTATCCCAAATCTCAACTTTCAGGATCTTCGTATATTTTAAGAAAATTCTGTAATCGAATCATTCTGAGCACTGGCTTTTCTTCTCTCACTTTCGCTTCGCGTAGAGCCCCGCTTAGTATCTCCACTCCAGAACTTTTCGGCCTTCGCCCATAGATCCTCAAGCTCTTCCTTCGATCTTTCTTGACCAGCAGCTTATAGTCCGACCGATGGTCCTCACGCTGTGACAGGAGACTGCGACCATGTCTTCCGACGACCTGAAGGTGCATTCGGCTGTGCTCGCTCCCATGTCCACGCGTATTGCGAAGCAGATTGCCAATCTTGAAGAGGCAAGAAACTCACGTTAAGAAAAAGAAAGGCGTGTATATGAGCAGTAAGCTGATACCGTGAGTGAAGACGGGACCTAGTATCGGTTTTGCCGCTGAAGCACAACCATCATCGGTGTCCTGCCACTGGACGTCGCCAAAAACATTTTGAAATTCTGCTATACTGGAGCATACATCATAGACTCTGCCGACCAATTGAATGAAGGTGCCACGAATGCACATGAACGTGTTCCTGCACAGGATCGTACAGGAGATTCCAAGACTTGTTGCATATTCGCTCCGCGAATTCTCTACTACCGCGGCCCGAGGTCTTCGATGTCCTGAGACAAAGTATTCTATTCGAACTACTATCAGAGTTTGCATGGGTCTCAGCTCAATAGACTCAAGCGCAGGCCCCGTACAAAAAGAATTTCAAATTCCGCAAGGAATCGCCGAGCTCCTGGCCTTCATCTACTTCGATGATTCTTCGACTTTGGGGAAGATCAAGAAGTCTATCCAAATATATTTGGCCCAAAACTTCTAGCAATATGTTCTTCAATAGCGAGAACAACATTCGCCGCCTCTCGCCATGGAAATGTTCACGCTGTAACATCCTAGTCCACGTTGATAGTCCATTCTGTCTTCTGCCGTCCTCTCTGCCTAGCAAGGCTATTATAGAGGAGACCTAAGTGAGGGCTGCGGTTTCTGGGCCATGGCCGAGACTGGGATGACTTGAGGATTTGGCATTGTTTTCACAGAATGGGCTCGGGAAATTGTAGCTCGGTGCATACGGCATCTGAGATTATGATGGTGAAAACCGGGGGTTAATGGAGTAAAATGCAGCCGATAGTGTTATATTTGTATCTTATAGCAACAAGAGTGATTCTTATGCAGTTTGTATTCATCTCCAGTTCAGAATTCATATAAATGACATTCATTCCAAGGTGCCAGCGCCACAAGGCTCACCTGCTTTTTGAGGGTTAATGCTTCGTACCAGGTTATGGCCGCGCACCAGTAGTACTTCGGCCAAGATAAGACTGCTACCCGCATCTTTCGCTAATGACCAACGGCTCTCACTAGCATCCCTTAAGACAACAGTGCAAACCTCATAGATATGGTGGCTGCTTTCAAATGGGCTTAGCAGAGACATCTTCCTTGGATATTCGACCCGCCAAACTCACCAGAGTCTCATTTGCCAGCTGTCTTCACTTGCACAAGCACGAAGGTGAAGGAGCCAAGCTTGTCGGTTCCCGTCCTTCACCTGGTAAGAGCCTGTCATCCTCATCTTTATAAATTATTCTCGCCGTCTTCCACAATTCTAACCCCTCAAAGCCTCTTGCACTTGAGAAATCACTGCCCATCATGGCGCCAACGCAGCAGCAAAGCGACAAAGCCCCCCCGAAGGACTTCAACAAGCAGTAAGTATTGCTTTGGAACTTGGGCTTCGCTTTATGGCCGTCTTGTGGAGCGATAGCGGCTCTTCATTTGATAGGATTTTCGTGTGAGAGTGAGAGACTGACTGTGCAATCAGTCTCTTCAATACTGGCATGTTCTCTGACATCACGCTCAAGTACGGACATGGACATACGTTCAAAGCGCATTCAGTGATCTTAAAGACGAAGTCCGCATGGTTTGCTGAAAAATGCAGAGGACCGAAGGAGATTCGGGAAGACGGATCGCCGCAGAAAGCTCTTAATTTGTTGGAATGCGACATGGCGTCGCCCTGCAAGGAATATCACCAGGACGAAAAAGGAGACTGCTCGGTTTGGAAATTGCACCTCCAGATGCTCAAGTTCTGTTACACAGGAGACTACACGGGAGACTACCGATCTAGTCCACCAGGACGTAGGCTTGATCAAAAGGCAACCATTAGAGCATCGAGAAGACATACGTACCTATACCTGTTGGGAAGGAGATATGGCATCATGGATCTGCTCCCACTAGCCATAGAAGGTTACGCGAATACAGTAACAGAGCTTTTGCAACACGGATTGGACGCAGCCCTTCCTCGGGTGAATAACGCATACGAACTTTTTGGTGCCGACAAAGACGACGCACTTGTCAGAGAAGCAAGGAAGTTTGCAGAGCGTATTGCCGACAGCATGGATGTCGAGTTCAGTTCTGAACTCCTGCTCGAAGCAAAAAAGACCCAGATCAACGCGAAGATGCCCGAAGCCGGTCCAGACCTGCTACTCCGGGGTTACAAACCCAAAGTCCCATCCTTCAGTCACCTCGCTGCTGAGGGGTCCATCAACTCCCGACTTCCGACTGACGATAAGACAATGTGCTTCCGATGCCGCAGAGCTGCCCCGGTCAAAGACACCCGTCTCTGCACAGAATGCACCTACACGCCCATCCTTCGTCAAAATCCCGGACACAGTTCCCAACGCACGGACGAGTTCTGGGGTAGAGCCGCTTGCACAAATACCCAGCTCCAGACCGGCATCACATGCACATTTTGGGCATGCCAATTTTGCGACAAGATCTGGCAAGGACAAGGGCTCCGACTGAGCGAAAATGAGCTAAAGGGCTGCCCTGCTTGCGTGCCAAAAAGCACGAGTGTGAAGTTCGATGCACGTGGACACGGGGTTGTGCAATATGGCAATCGTTTGCAACCTTACCGTATGGAACCTCCGACGCCGCGGAGAGTGGAGTGGCAGTGCCGGGGTTGCTTGACGAGCTGGGAGGCGTGGGTGGTACAGCAGCAGAAGTTGGAGGACATGGAGAAATGTGTCTGCTGCCCTGAGAAGGAGGCATGAAGACGTACCTTCGCTTGGACAACAAGAATTACAATGAAGAACACGCTGCAAACTTTCAAGGGTCCCTCTTCACGATGTTGAAGCGCGAAGCCACCAAGACTTCCTACCCTGGGATACAAGTTCCACAGCACCCAACCAGCACCTGGATATTCCAACATCCAGTGCCCATACTTAAAATCATTTTCACGCCCTGAGCAGCAGGGCGCTACTCCAACATTCACCTGGAAACTTAAAACGAAATTTGCAAACACGGTGGCGCTGTACCAGCTCAGCGCCCTCGAGAAAAGCTGGTTTTGAAGCTGTACACGATCACCAAACACTCTAATCTTCCTTTTCCAATCCTCCTTGCTTCCTACCTCTCGATGAAATTATTGAGAATGTTTCATCCGATAATGCGACTCTGCTACACGAGAGGACTGTATCTAGTCTTCATCAACAGATATATCTAGCCGGTAAAGACCAAAAACGACCCACGTTCTCCCTCCTCGTTTGCACTGCTCTGTAGTACGCCCCCTCGATAACAGACCCGCCGTGGCACCACTCACCACCACATCATAAAATATGCCTCAACCCACATGCCCTCTCTTTCTCCCCACCACGCTCATCAGATCGTACCCTCTAAACTGCGCACTCTTGCCTTACGCAACTACACCTCACCTTTCCACTTATCGCAGTGACGTTAGCATCCCCAGCCTTCAGATTCTCACAGCACACAAGCACATAATACGCAACTTCTTATAAGACCCATTCTAACATCAAGCTTCAAAAAATGTCGCATTCATCGCTAAGATCTTCCTATTTCTTCCCCTTCCCCCTCGCATTGAATGTCTTCAAAGGATCAATCTTGCCATTCCTGCCCTTGACCACCTTCTTCCCCGCTTTGCCCTTAACGAACCTCCGCTTAGGCTTATCCAGCGCCACGAAGCCAATATCTTGTGGTTTCCTTCCACCCGGAAGAAGATAATCCGGCACTATTTCGATTAGCATCTGCAGAGAGCTGAAGATGCAAAGGGGGTGTACATACCATGCTTAAGATGCGGCTGTATGCGCGCGGGGTGGTTCAGCGTCTGATCATGTCTCAAATGCTCCAGCTCCTCGGGATTCTCCTCAAAATACCGCGACAGCTTCTGACTCTTGGTCAACTCCATCCTGATCTCTTTAATTCGCGCCTCGCGCACAGCGATCCTCGTAACCGCCCTCAGCGCATCGGCAAAACGGTACCGGAACGGCTCGAGACGCTTCATGTCGAAGGACCAGTCTTCGATCTTTTGGCCCGGCTGTTGGTGCTTCTCGATCTTCTTGAGGACCTCCTCGTCGTGCTCGGAGCCCGCGAAGGTGGTCGGCTTGTGCTTGCGGTACTGGTCTTTCGGGATCATGAAGGAGATTGCGGTGCCGGACTTGCCGGCGCGCGCGGTACGGCCGATGCGGTGGAAATAGGCTTTTTGGCCGGCGGGAAGGTCGAAGTTGACAACGCAGCTGACATCGCGGAAATCGATGCCGCGGGAGACGCCCGAGTCGGATTTGCCGTCGTCTTTCTTGGCCTTCTTGCGTGGGCGGGATTCTTCGGTGTCCTTTGTCATTGAGCCGAGGAGCTCGGTCTCGTCGGAGGCGATGAGGATGTTGTAGACGTTCTTGTTGAACTGCTCCACGATATCGAGGCGGGAGGCGAGGGGGAGCTCGCTGTTGAGGACGCAGCTTTTGATGGCAAACTGCTCCAGGAAGAGCTTCAACCGGTAACTGCGGTCCACGTCTCCCACGAAAACGATGGTTTTCCCGCGAATAAGCTGCAGTTTGAAGAGAGAATAGGCGAGTAGGAATTTGTCGGGTTCTGAACAAGGGATGACGTATTGCTTTACCAGCTTCGCATCCTTCTCGAGATCGTCCAGCTTGAGTATGACCGGGTCCCGACAGAAGAGTGCTTGGACAGCCTCGACATCGGTGCTGAGGGTTGCGCTCATGAGAAAGATCTGGACACCCTTGGGCATATTCTGTGAGACAGTCTCCAGGTCGTCCTTGAAACCGTATCCCAAGATCAAGTCACCCTCGTCGATGACTAGCGTGGCCAGCGTTTTGAGTGACAGCGCTCCAATGTTCGCAGCCGCTCGCGCAGGCGTCGCGACCACAATGTCGGGAAGCTCAGCGAGCTTGGCTTTTTGAACGACATCCGATTCCTTGCCCGCAAGGTTCTGGATCCGCACGTCCTGGCCACAGAATGCGGCCAGTCTCCCAGCCAGCCTTGACACCTGGAGTGCGAGCTCTTTCGTTGGGACGAGTATGAGCGACGACGTGACGCGCTTCTCGGTACGGCGAAGTATCTTGTCCAGAATCGGGAGCAGGTACGCAGCCGTTTTGCCGGTGCCGGTGCCTGACCTAGCCAGTATGTCCTTGCCCTCCAGCGCCAACGGGATGACCTTCTCTTGCACCGTCGTCGGCGTAGACCATTTCTGTTTTTGGATGCCTTGTAGCAGGCGGGGTTCTAGGCCGAAGGACGAGAATGTGGAGTTTTCAGCGGGCTTTGCGCTCTGTCGTTTGGGTTCCTCATGCTCAGCGGGCGCGGACGGGGACGAAGGCTCCGATGCCTCTGGGACGTCGTGCGCATTGAGCTTGCGCTTGGACATGGTGTGCGGTGTTTCGGTTCGAAGGTTCGAAGGTTCTCAGCGAATGGTGTCGACGTTCGAAGCGTGGCTCGAGTGGAGGCTTGCTGCTGCCAAAAAAGTTCACGAGCTTTTCTGGTTATCGATAGGCTAGCGCCGACAAGCGCCTTGGCACTGCCATCCCACCAGTACCAGCACCTCCCCCTCACCACAGTCCCACGTCTCGCGAACGGGTCACTCCCAGTTCTCGATAATGCCGTCGCCGATCCAGAATGTACCGCCGATCTGGCCTCATCTCATCTCTAAACGAAACGAATCCTACACACTGCGACTCATCGCACGAGCAAACACATACAGCTAAGGCCTTGTCCCTTGCCAATCAAAGAAGACCGTCCACAAGCAAATTACATCCTGTGCCCATGCTGCTTCCTCAGCATTGCTGTTTCTCAAATTTCTCAGAGCCTCCTCACAATGTTGAAAGGACTCCGGAACATGGCCTGGACAGACAAGAGATTGTAACGAGTGCAATTCAACTCACACGGCATGAAAGACAGCACATCCGCACAATGCTTCCTTTGTCATCGTGTACAATGCTACATCAGTCTTTCGTAAGTCTTCTTATAGTAGAGACGGTAAGTCTAGTTTCAAGAAACTTATATATTGCGCATGAAAAGCTTGGTATGATAACCTGGATTACTGCTAGGTAGACATATGGCGTATTATCCAGTCTAGTAGTGCTCAGCTCTTAGAATTAATTAAATCCCTGTTCTACTAGTACTTGAATGCATAAAAATGCCATGTCTACCTTTTAGATATATGAAACTGCACAAAGAATAATAGCGACTCGTTCCAGAGATAGAGGCCAGCCTTTCGGCGGAGCAGGTGGTTCACTAGAGGCTGGATACTCTAGGAACTAGTCGGCCCTCAATTGGTGAAGTTCTTTTTCAAGCAAGAGGTTTTCATTGGAAGTGGACAAACTGCTCATTCATTATTATAGTTATAGGGACCCCTTTTAAGATTCCTCGAGGAGAAATGTAGCCTAACCACTATGGCGTGGCTGACTGCTTCTCGTGGGTGGCAAACCGTTAAATAACGCGCGCTAAAGATGAATCGTACTATACATTTAATATATTTGGCATCCATATCCTAGCCATCTATAGGGAAGGTCGTATTAGTGCAATCATGGGATTGCTTACTGAAGTCAAAGGTTCCCTAATGTAAGATCTAATATCAGAATTCTAAGGTAAAATCTCCAACTTCCCTAAGTGAATATATAAATATGATCAGGGATAGCACGAAATAGATTAAAACATAGATTCCTACCATGTAGGAGGGCGAAGTAATAAAGAAGTATAAGAAGATTATACACTAGATCTCGTATACGGACTACCTAGCCCAGCACTTGGACAGTATAGGTTGTAGGCACAAGGGTACTAGCTAATGCTTTATAGATGTATCTGAGTTTACAAGGTGGCTTCGCGAGCCAGGAGGCACTCTCTTCTATCCTGGAATTCCTGGCGCGGGAAAGATAATACTGGCGGCAATCGCGATTGATAATGTCCTGGAGTTAGTACGAGGCCGCCCTTTAGTTGGGGTTGCGTACGTGTACTGCAAGAATAAAGACTAGCAAAAACAGGATGTTTCTAGGTTGCTAATAGCTCTCCTTAAGCAGTTAGTGCAGGCCTACCATCTGTTAAGATTGAAGCCTGTGGAGCGAATGTACGATCCATATAGTCGTTAAGCCACAAGACCATCACTTAACGAGGTTTGCAAGATTTTCAAAGAACTCGTGGCGAGTTATTTAAGCATTTATATAGTGATCTATACTTTGGATGAATGCCGATAGAGTGACAGCACTTACCGCCAGTTTCTAGCCCAGCTCCAGGAAGTATAGATAGGACATGATCTTCATCTTATGGTTACAGCCCGTTCTATACCTGAAATGGAGGATGCATTTAAAGAATGTGCGAGACTAGAAGTATAAATGAGCAATGAAGATATAAAGCGATTCGTTACCGGCCAAATAAATGTACTAACTGCCTAGATGTACTTAACGCGACCCTGCTCTGCAGGAGAGAGGCATATGTAAAATATTGTGGGACGTCGTGAAGCCACAACGCTCATTGCACAAGAAATAAATGGCAAATTTCTAGAACGAGAGTGCACTGCTTGTGACATATGCGTACTGCTGCGGTGATGCATCCTGCGTATACTATGGCCTGTGGGCATTACGTCATCCAGCTCAGAAAGGGAATGGGTCAAGTGGAAGTTCTAAAGGCACGTTGGACGCCTAGTATTACCATATGTTAACGTTTGTATTGGTGTTCCTCTGCTGTTCACTGAGAGTGTGGGTGTCGCGTCGTGATGTGTGACGGGTACCGGTAGGTACGGTATTCGCTTCGTTTGGCGAGATTGTGTTTGCTGCGGTGCGCCTCCCAAAACTTTGCGACGTGTGCAGCCACAACCCTCCACTTCCTAACCAATCCACGAAAACCGTGCAACATGTCTGCATCTTCAGGAATGATCGACCCCGCAATCTTCGAGGACCTGCAGACGAAGGTCGACGAGGATACGGCCGTTCGCGACGTGAGTGCACAGCTTTCCCGCCAAGCCAGACGCACGTGACAGCGTACTGACAGCGCGATAGGAGCTCAAGGATATCATCCAGGCGCTGGAAAAGCAGAGTACGCATATTGAGGCGTAGTTGGATGTTGCTCATACAGTGTAGACCGCAATATCTCTTTCGTGCTTTCAAGGGCGCACTCGACACCTTATGCGGACCGTATGTATCTACATTTGCCTACAACAGACGCGTCGCTAACTCCCTGGCAGTTCCCAGCGTGCTCAAAGCCTCCGAGGAGCACATCCGGAATGCCATTGAGACTGTCTCGAAGCTCGCGCAGGCCGCATCGAAGCAGCCGTACTACAAGTTCAACGGCATGTGGTCCCGACAGGTGCAGGATGCAGTGAGTTCATCTTGTCGATAATCACTGGACATTTACTAATGGTGCCATAGCTACAAGGCATACTCTTCTGGGCCTGGCTTGGCGGCAAAGATTACAGTGGTAGCGAGGCAAAGTGCGGACGCCTGCTGACACTTGAGGAGCTCGGCGAAGTGCTAAAGGGTACATATTGCCCTTTCACAGTTGGACCTGTTCTCTGACAAATATACAGTGCCTACCAACTTGAAGGACAAAGACGAGTTCCACATCACCATCGAGGAATACCTCATCGCCCTGACTTCACTTGTCGAGGAGCTGGTATGTTCCTTACTTGTCACCCACATTCAAACCATCACTCATATTCGAATAGACTCGCCTTGCACGCAATGCCGTTACACTCGGCGACTACGAGCGCCCGCTTCTCATCAATCAGTTTGTCAAGGATGTGTTTGCAGGCTTCCAGATTCTCAACCTGAAGAACGACATCCTGAGGAGGAAGAGCGACGGGCTCAAGTATAGGGTCAAGGATGTGGAGGATGTGGTCTACGACTTATCGCTGAGGAACCTGGTCCCGAAGAAGGGCGTCAAGGAGAAGCAGTAGGAGAGAAAAGTTGTGGCGCAGGGATTGTGGCGCAAGTCAGATCATCATCATTCTACTCTCAACATGTTGAGATCCTCCATCTAGGTAATTACCTGAAGACAAAGCCTAGCAGCTGCGGGATTGTAGCGAATACAACAAAAGCATCTCTTATTTATTATATTTGGATTGACAGAATGGCACCCTACTAGCCGCCGCGCACCGCCACACGCCGCAAGCACGGCCGCGAAACTTCCGAAACCCGCGACGTCGACGCGCCTCAAGCACACAATTGAACCATCACACAGTGCTCCAATGCCCCCACAATTGAGAACCCTAAATCAAGACTTCGCGTAGTCCATTTGGACTTCTATCCTCCCTCACAATGGCCACTACAGTCCTAAACTCGCACCCAAAACCGCGCGCCCCCGCAACCCCCACCGACGTCCTCCCCACCGACGCAGCGCAGCTCTACACACACATCCACCCGATCCTTGTTCTCTCACTATACGCGCTGCAATTCCCCTCCATCGTCGCCGATCCCGTCCCCGCGCTCGCAACAGCCCTTGTCCCGCTTGGTATCCTCCAAATTGCGTACGTAGCTATATGTCTCCCGCCGACGGGCGGGACCGCGACGCCGGTCGTGGATAAGAAGAAACCTGGGAGCGGGGCGGGAGAGAAGGGGAAGAAGGGTGGCATGAGGGGGACGATCATAGTACGTTTGCTCTTCTTCGTCTACGCTGGATGCGAAAAAAAATAGGTTGAGGATGTGCATGACAGGAACAGTTGTGCTAATAAGTGCTTGTGATATAGCCGGGCTTCCTCTCCCTCATTGTAGTGAGCATCGTCATTGCGCCGCTGCTTGCGGCTATCCTCGTCCTCTTCGGCGCGCCGCTGACTACGCACCACGCGCACACGCTCCTCGCTGCCGCGCACATCTCGTTTCTGGCGACGCTCCCGCTCGTATACGTGCACGGCGTGGACGGCGCCGCCTGGCGCGATATCATTGCGCTGCTGCGCCCGGTGGACGAGGTATATGGCGGGATGATAGGCGGTGTTGTGGGCGCGTGGCTGGGCGCGGTGCCGATTCCGCTGGATTGGGATCGGGAGTGGCAGAAGTGGCCGGTTACGATTGTTAGCGGGGCGTATGTGGGGTGGGCGGTTGGGAAGATGGTGGGTGGGTTCCTGAAAGGGAGGAAGATTGGGTTCGAGTAGAGATGGGGCAATGGATTTGGCTTGGGACGGGTAGATGCAGGCTACATGCCGGGCACTGTGTATGTTTCTTGTATACTATGGAAACTATTACATTCAAATCAGGGCGCCTGTGAGCGTTCGTATGAAGACTGGAGACAACTATTACCGAATTTTACGATTCCTTCTTTACACAGCACACAAATTCGGAAGGCTTTCCACAAACACAGCCACAAAGCATTACCCTTCCTCACCTGCTGACCTTGCCTAGATGTATATCAACCTGACTCGACCCAGATTCCTGCGGTGCTTCCACGGCTTCTGGATCTAGTGCCTGCGGTCGCCGCGAAGAATCCACAACGACCGCAGGAATTTGGTTTGAAGAGGCTGGGTGTATCTTTTGCGGTTGTTGCGGGGAGTTTGGCCCCAGTTCCTGTGTAGAGTTTGGCCCTATCTCCTGCGGATGTTGAGAGGCCTCTGGCTCCAGCTCCTGCGGGTGTTCCGAGGTGTCGAGCTCAACCGGAGTTTGATTCACCACATGAATTACCTTGTGGTCGAGTTCTTGCCGCTGATTCTCGGTAGGTAGCTCGTTGCTCCATCTACCGAAGAGATACCACTTCTTGCTTGATAGCACCTCATCGCGGTCCTCCATTTCTGGGATCCCATCGTCCCCATGATCCTCATCGGTCCCGCGAGAATTCTTTCTTCTTTCTGCTTCTGAAGGGGACCAGTGCCGCAATGGCTGCAATGGCGATGGCAATTATGGTCACGCCGACTCCTATGCCTGTTGTCGCCCCAGTGCTAAGGCCAGTGCTGTTCGAAGGCGCTGGCGAATTGGATTCAGTGGGAAGGCGGGGACTGCCCCCTGCAGTAGGCGCGGCCGATGGATTCGACGTCGTCCTAGTACGATCAACCTCCTGTCATACTGTTTTGCCAAGGATAAGACATAGTCCACGGGAAATGATAACAAGTCTGATCCCTAGAAGCCAACCACGATGGCATCTGCTCTTATGAACCCAGATGATGCTGTGGAAATGCTGGAAAAAGTGCTAGAAGAAAAGTCGTCCGTTCCGTACCCATCAGAGATGAACGCTCGAGCAACGTAATCGTATGTTGTGATGAACTCGCCATCCACACTGGTGGTGAAAGGGGCGAAGACCTGGAGAGGTGAAGAGATGTTACTGATGCACTCACTTTCGAATTGAACACCAAAAGTCATACCACTGAATGGTCATTATGTCAGCTAAGTAGTGAAGAGGTGAGATGCGACCTACCTCTGGCAACAGCTGGCCTCGTAAATTGTCATCTATTTCCTGACGTAGCAGAGTAGTGGTACTTGGAAATTTCTGCAACAGTCTGACCGTTGGGACATTCCTGGACTATAATGCACTGGGAAGCTGAAGGGCTGACACTTAAAATGAGAACTGTCGTATATTGCCCCAGAGGTTTTGTCGCGTGGGTAAGTACTGAAGGCTACGAACAGGTCTAAAAACGTCGGATGAGGTCTTCCCGTCTCAGTTGTAGAAATCAGGACAAAGCCTGGATCTGGTGTTGCCCGTCGCAGTAGTGCAGTGGTAGTAATCGAGACCGTGGACTGAAGTGAGTGAACGGTCCGCTTAGCAATCGGCGTGACGGTAGACTGAAGCGCAATAAGCGCACTAGATATTGCCGAAATTGGAGCTACATCCTGGACGACGGGGCCAATACTTGTAGCGTTCCGTACGACCGTAAGCTCGGTTGGCATACAAATGTTCGAACATGCAGCCGAAGGCGTCCAAAGTGAGGCGAGGGCTGGTCCATCCTCTCTCGAATATGTGGTCAAATCTTTAGAGAAAATCGTACTGTGTGATCAATCAGATTCATTTCTGATGGCCACTGGGGACCAATAAGAGGCATTATATACGCGCTCAAAGCTCACAGGAAGCGGCGGGTGACAATACGGGAGCGAAAGAGGGCTGGCTGGGCATTATACGGGGTGCCAGGGCTCGCAAGGCGTTCGCTACGGTCTATCCTATCTGTGGTCTCCAGTAGCTCGTCAAATGCAAAGGGCATCATGAAACTTCCTGGCAAAAAAATGATGGAACTTTTGGTACACACTTTTTCTGCATTGCCGGATATCGAGACTCTCAATCAGAGTTATTCTCTGCTCACTCCTCCGCTGATAATTTCCAGCTTGTTACACCTCTATGAGCGGGAATCTGAAGTCACGCAAGGCTGAAATATAACTCTATTGCTTGTCGTTGAGCTTCAGGTAGGCTCTGTGCTGCGAGTACTCCTTTCGAAGACAGGAAGTCAGAGCGGATCAGCATTAAGTTACAGGGCAGTCTCTAAGTGTAATATCGACTGAGTTTGCTTGGAATACTCGTTGTTGCCGTTCGGTTCGGGCTAGATCGAGCGTCAACAAGGTTGAGAAGAGGGTCCAACATGATCGTAGCTAATCAGGACGACCAGGGGCTCAAGGCCTCGGTAAAACAATATCGCATCCTTCCATTCGCCAAGTATTAGCGAATGCTCGCAGTCTTTACCTAGTCTGTTGGAGAGTCAAGATACATGACATGACGACTAGGCTTGGAGACGGCACGAGGCTGAAATACGGTGATGCCAGAATAGGGCACCATGAAATTCGCATCGGAGCTCAGTAAATACTTTGAGACTCACAGGGTCCATCTCGTGCAGCCGAACATTCAAGATAGCATGTACGCGTTCTGCTGTCATTAGAAAGCTCGAATTCAGATATGGCCGTGGTACAAAAATCGAAATGTATCACTGCATGAGAATAGATGCAGGGAGGGAGTTACAGAGCAACGAAGTGTGCGAGAAAAGAATGGGTGTGGCAAGCGCGCACTTTCCCTGTTTCCGGGTTCCAGGGTCTCGGTCCACGGGTCTCCACGGTTCACGTGTTCACTCTTGGCATTCCTGACATGGTTCTCCAGTTTCTCCAGCTACTCCATCTCGATCACCGCAGGGGCATTTTGTCCGACGACTCTACAGCGTCAACATTTTCCAGGATCCTGGATTTTGCCTGTCGCAATGCCGCGCCATGCGCCTCAGCGCTGTGCACGGGATGCTTCCATTGAGCCTTCTAGAATCGGTTTGTGCGCGGCGTCCAATCTTGGAGCGGACCTCGTCGGACCAGCCTTGGAGTGTGCCCCAGAGAAGCTAGGGCACTCCCTTTTCGTCGACTCCATTCTATCTCCAACAACGCGTTTATACAATACGAGAGGCACGGTCGGTTAGGCGCACCGACAGCCATGTGCGTGCGGCGCCGCAATACGCAATATCTACCATGACGATTCGTTGAGAGTCGTCTGACTCGTCAATGACCATGTGTTGCCGCCTATTGGCGCATTTCAGAGGCTCACTCATAACAATAGACAGCCACTAGAGTTTACCCGGTCCGCTTGACCGTAAGGCTGGAGGCATAGCTACGCCGCACGCGTTTACTCCAAACACGCAGGTCATGTCTAGAAGGAACACCATTGACACTTTCTGTGAGGTTAGCGTGCCGCAACGCTGCACGGATCTTGTGGTCAGCTTACAGTAGTGTATATACAGCGTGGTCCTGGATGTTGGATCATCAGCATCAGATCCTTCCTTGATTCCACGCATCTGCCTATTAATAGTATACTCCCATCATGGTCACGAAGGTCCTGGACCTGGGAAAAGCTAATGCGCCGTCGATGTACATCGATGAGCCTCATCTGCGTTACGTGGACTGGAAAAGGGATCCCGGGCTGAGGAAGCTCTACTTCTGGGCGTTTATTCTCTGCATTGCATCTGCTACCACGGGATATGACGCGTATGTCTACTACTTGAATTCGAGGAGCCATCGCTAATTCTCTAGCTCAATGCTGAACAATCTACGAATGCTTCATCGTTTCAATGACTACTTCGGCAATCCAACAGGGTCTACGCTCGGCCTCTTAACTGCGCTCTACTCGATAGGATCGATTATCTCATTACCAGTCGTCCCTTTCGTGGCTGACCACATGGGGCGGAAAGCTGCGATTGCTCTCGGGTGTACGGTCATGATCACAGGCGCTATCGTCCAGGGCACAGCAACAACCCTCACAAACTTCATGGCTGGACGTTCGTTGATGGGATTCGGTAATTCTCTGGCACAATTGTCGTCTCCGTTACTACTCACGGAGCTTTGTCATCCACAGCATAGAGCTCGCGTTACTGCCACGTACAACTGCTTGTGGTATTCAGGGGCCATCGTTTGCACCTGGCTTACATTTGGCACCAAGAGACTGGACAGCAACTGGTCGTGGCGAGTACCAGCTCTCGGTCAAGCCCTTCCCTCCATTGTACAACTCCTTTTCATATTCTTTATACCAGAATCACCCCGTTGGCTTGTCGCTAGAGGTCGCAATCAGGAAGCTCTCAACATCCTCGGCAAGTACCACGCGAATGGCGATATTAACGATCCCGCCGTCCAATATGAATTTCATGAAATTCGAGAGACCCTACAGATCGAGTTTCAGTATCAGACAAGCTCATCATACCTGGACTTCTTCAGAACACCCGGCAACAGATACAGGCTTCTTCTGTTGGCATCTTTGGGCCTCTTTTCACAGTGGTCAGGCAATGGATTAGTGAGGTAAGTTATGCAACTGGTCTCCCTTACATGAAAGCAATAAGAGTCCTCGTTTCTTTCCATTGATATTCGAGAATAACACTACATTCGGCATGGCTAAGTAACTGGCGAATTACTCCCTTCACATTCAGAAGACACGTACTGACTTTCTACTCGCTGATATAACAGCTACTACGCTACCGATGTATACAACAGCATAGGAATAAGGGATGCGGATATGCAGCTCGGAATGAATGGCGGTATTACCGTCATGTCGCTCATTGTTTCCGTTTCCTGTTCGCTGCTTGTTGACCGCGTCGGACGCCGGCCCCTCTTCATCGCCGCCACAGCTTCAATGTGTACTTGCTTCATCGTATGGACAGTAGCATCCTCAATACAAGAGGAGAAGCACAGTATTCCGGCTGGTCGTGCAGTTATTGCATTCATCTGGATCTTCCAGTTTTGTTACTCCGTTGCCTGGACGGGTCTACTGGTTGCGTACACCGTCGAGATTCTTCCTTTCAAGATCCGTGCCAAAGGCCTGATGATCATGAACGTCTTCATACAAGTGGCTTTAACGATTAATCAATATGTCAATCCGCTCGGCTTCTTACATTTAAAGCCCGCATGGAAGCTGTATACCATCTACGCTGTACGTATTCACTGGCAATGGTGTCTTCGTTCCAACTAACCCAAATAGGTATGGGTCTTCCTCGAGCTTATCTTCGTATGTTTTATGTATATCGAGACGCGCGGGCCGACACTGGAGGAGATTGCGAAGATCATTGACGGCGACGAAGCGAAGATCGTACCAGCTGATATCGTACATCTTCATCAACGCGTCAGCTTTCCGGGCCTAGATAAGGACCATACTGTTCGCTATGAGGACATCAAGCTCCAGCAGCTTCAGAGTTCTACTTCCGGATAGCCTCTCTATTTCCTCGGCCCGAACGACTTGCACACGACTTCTTCTCACGGGCCGTAGTGGAAGTAAAGGTGACTCATCCCGAGGGGACTGGGTTCGCACCAGTGATCCTTCGAGAGGCTAGATCGAATACGACCACGCGATTCCACCAATCATACCACGGAATCACCCAAGGCCTTATTCTATAAGCTGGCTCCTTGAATACAAGCTCCACAACCAAAGATGAGATACCGGCACGTCCGCTCCTCTCCGTCACGTCTGGTCGGCTCCGTCGCTTACATGTCCGCTTAGACCGTAAGCAGTCGGACCAACGCACCAATTAGATTCGCTTCTCTGCTGGACTGTTGCACTCGAATTTGTGCGATACACCTCTGCTGTCCCCATAATGTCTAGTAATTCACAGATAGGCTTACAAACCTTCTAATATCCCCACTCGGAGTTGCCGTAGCCCTTGGTGCAGATCCACTCACTCATCGTGCTACTGTGCTTTCGGCAAGAAGATGTACCCTGAAGCATCTATCCATCACCAGAGTTGATTCGGGACTACGCGTTTTCGTCAAATAGCCGCTTTATTCAGTATTGTCTACAGAGAAGCCAGAACCTTGCTGAGCCATGAGGTATAAAGGCCGCTGCCTCTGCAACACAGGGCATTCCATATCACACAGGCATCTTTCTCTATCCTTCATCAACAGTTGATAATTTCAACAAAGCAAATCAAAATGTCTCCGCCCCGCCGCGCCCTCATCGCCGTTACTTCTGCGAACGCCTCTCTTTTCGCCCCCAACGGCCACACGACCGGTGTCTTCATCGGCGAAGCCCTACACCCCTACAATGTGCTCAAGGCAGCAGGATTCGAAGTCGACATCGCATCTGAGAAGGGCAAGTGGACCGAGGACTGGCTTTCGTTGCAGCCAGGGTTTCTGAGCGAGGAGGAGCGGAAGCAGTATGACGATAAGAAGAGCGACTTCAGGGCTGAGATAGACAAGAACCGCAAGGCTGAGGATCTAGACGCTAGTCAGGCAAGTTAACGGCATCCGGGTACAGGATACGTACTAACACGATGCAGTACGGCGTGTTCTTCGCGAGTGCCGGCCATGCCGCACTGATCGACTACCCTCATGCCACGCATCTCCAGGCCATCGCATCAAAGGTCTGGGCAAATGGCGGTGTAGTATCGGCAGTCTGTCACGGGCCTGCTATCTTCCCCGGCATCGTCGACACCGATGGTCAGCCAATCATCAAGGGAAGGAAGATCACTGGCTTCACGACACAGGCCGAGTATGACATGAAGATCATGGACGCGTTGAAGAGCTGGGGCGAGCCATTGGTGGATGAGCACGCGAGAGCTCTGGGAGCTGAATGTAAGCCATTGTTGTGCCTCGGATTGACATGAAGGCGGCTAACCCGTGATGAAGATGTACGCGCGGACGGGGTATGGGATGATTTCCATGTTGTTGATGGAAGGGTCGTCACGGGTATGAATCCGCAGAGTGCAAAGAGTACGACGGAGGCGGTAGTGAAAGTTTTTAATGGATTATAATGGTCGTAAGAAAATGCTACATCTCTCATCTAAGAGTTTCGAATAGGCGCTAGGTAATCTCGGAAGCCCTGGGTGGCTTCAATGGTAAAGGTGTCCAAGTCTACCTTGCATCTCCTGTGCTTGCTGTGCTCTCGTTCTTCCTACATCCTAGACGCGCATCTGTGTTACCTGCAGATTGTACGTATCATGATGCATCAACATTTCCCGTCGCCGGCGTGTCGTTCTCTGCATGAGAGCCAAGCAAGCGTTCAACACCGAAAAGTCTATAATTTACCAGCTAGCAGACGCCACCCCGAATGATTGTTAGCGGGAATTCTTTCCAGGTAAGGTAACTCCAATGGTCCTCGTGGTGTTTTGGTGTTAAAAAATTACCCGAAAGCTAAGCTGCACGAGTCAGATACCCAACCTCCAGAACTGACACACCAAGGCTCTTCCAACCTTCTTGCGCTTTGTAACTCGACATGGCTTCTTTTTGGCACTTTATGTTCCGGGATCAGTGAATTCTCGCTTTTCACGATAATCAATCGCTTTGGAGGCATGTTCCGCCTCCACAAACAACCAGTGCACGGCATTGGAGCACATCAACGCCGCCGCACCTTCAAGCCTAGGAGCTCATCAAGCATTCCAGCAAGCTTCTGTCCCTCTATACCCATAACGGCAGGCCCACCATCGATACCGGCAGTTTCCTACCACTACTCCTCGCCGGAGCCATCCCCGACGTCCCTCATCCGATGCCACGCTGGCGGGATACGGTCCGCACATGCTCCATGGCTGGACGCCGCTGCCGCGGGGCTTGACCATGTGATCTTCTAGATCTCCACACACGCCGCACGTTTCCCCAGATTTGTTGACGTATGCTTGGGGTTAGCCCTTGATGCTGATCTTCGCTGCTAAACCATCCGGACATGTCCCGATTAGGGAACCCGCGCTGATATACCAGCTTCATATGAGTGTATAAAGAGACACATATGTAACCCAACACTTCTCCCTACAAAGGCGCACATCATCCGCTGTCTTTACAGATTTCACGTCGCAGGGTTCGACCATATCTATCTCATCATGCGCTCCTGCTACGGCCGTGGCGCCCCCCTCCGCGCAGCTATCTACGCCTGCTGCCTCTCCGCCTTCCTCTTCTTCGGCTACGACCAGGGTGTCTTCGGTGGCCTCCTCCAAAACAAAGACTGGCTCAACCAATTCCACCACCCGCGCGATACCATCACCGGCATCATCGTTGCTTCCTACTGTCTCGGCGCGCTCTTCGGCTGCATCCTCACCGTCTTCATCGGCGACATCCTCGGCCGGCGTCGCATGATATGGCTTGCTATGTGCTTTATCATTGTGGGCGCAACGCTGCAGACGAGTGCGTTCCACATCGGGCATCTCATTGTCGGACGGGTGATTACAGGGCTGGGGACGGGTATTGATTCCAGCACCGTGCCAATGTACCAGAGTGAGCTGTGCAAGCGCGAGTGGCGAGGCCGCGTGGTGTCGTGGGAGATCTGGTTCATCGGGATAGGCATCTGTCTCGCGTACTGGATCGACTACGGGTTCTCGTACTTGCCGGGCAGCGTGGCGTGGCGGTGTCCAATTGCCATCCAGCTGGTTTTCGCCATCATGGTTGTCTTCCTGGTTTGGGGCCTCCCCGAGTCCCCGAGATGGCTGTGTAAGAGGGGCAGGAGTCAGGAGGCGCGAGAGGTGCTGTGCGCGGTCTTCGATCTGGACGAGAACGATCCATATGTGTGCAGCGAGATGGACGCTATCGGCGCGGCTATCGCCATCGAGACTGGTGAGGGCGCACAGAAAGTCACGGGGCTTTTCAAGAAGGACATTTTGCAGACGAGGAGGCGAGTGCTGCTGGCGTGGTTTGGACTCTTCATGAACCAGTGGTCTGGCATCAATCTCGTTGTGTAAGCCGAGCCCCCTTCCACTCCCATTACCCTACTGACTGGATGGGAACAGGTACTATATGCCCACCGTCCTCGTCGAGAACGTCGGCATGACCTCTCAGCGCGCCATCCTCATTGCCGGCTTCGTCGAGCTCATGTTTCCCGTCGGCAACACACTCCCTGCGCTCGCACTGGACCGCATGGGCCGGCGTCCCACGATGATGGTTGGCTGCGGGCTCCTCTCCTTCTGCATGATGATGATCAGCATCCTGCTATCCATCGGCACCGAAGCCTGCTCCGCGGCCTCGATCGCTTTCTTCTTTCTCTACATGCTCATCTTCGGCGCGACTGTCAACGTCGTTCCGTGGGTCTGGGGCCCCGAGATCTTACCTCTGGAGGCCCGCGCTCGCGGTACGGCCATCTCCGTCAGTTCGCACTGGATGTGGAATTTCGTCATTGTGATGATCACGCCTGTGCTGATCAATCGTATTGGCTGGAAGACGTATCTGATCTTCATGTGTCTACTCGCGGCTTTTGTGCCGATTGTGTACTTCTGCTACCCGGAGACGAGTAATCTTTCTCTTGAGGAGGTGGATAATTTGTTTTTGCCCGAGGGACACAAGCTGGACGGTGAGATCCAGGAGATCAGGAGGCGGAGAAGCTCGGTGATTGCGGGAGATGGCGACAAGAATGTTTCCGAGACGGTGGAGAAGGTCTAAACGGCTGAGAGCTGAATATCTCTGTAACAGTCGAACAATGTAGTCAGGACTCAGTCTCTCAGGCGTATCGACCGAGGACAATGTTGCTGAATCAATGATCCAACGCCCTCCATTCCTCACAGAATACTCTCCTTTCCCTTCCATTAAACCCTACAAAGTCGTCCATTCTGTGTCTGCACGCCCTGCTCTCCATCCCTCACCTCCCACCGCTCGCTCCCCACTGCCGTGGTAGCATAGAAAACATCATAAGGATCCCACTTTCGCTTAATCTCACTCAACCTCCCATAATACCCCCCATAAAAGCTCTCCTGCCAGTCCACCTCCATAACACTCGCCTCGTTGAGATACGTGCCTCCGCCCTCCTCGACAGGCGCAACATCGCGCCACGGCTGGAGAATATTCTCTTGGAGATCTTTGTTGGCTATTGCCAAGGCTTCGGGGGTAGAATGGTCGAGAGACTTGTTCGACGAAGTGACGAAGAAGAGCGCACACGTACGCCAGGCGGGGTTTACGGCGTTATCGGTATTACCGTGCGCGATGGGAGCTTTGTGGTATCCGAGGAAGTGTTTTCCGGAGGAGACGTGCTGTTTGATGAGGTCGAAAGTTTCGTTGTACCTTTTCTCGAAGTTGGCGCGCGGGACGATGCGGTTCGCGGGGAGTGAGTTGTCGAGGCCGATGGGGAAGGAGTTCGCGCCCCAGGTTGCCTGATAGGCGGAGTAGAAGGAATCGTGTGCGGTGTGAGTGTGCGGGGTGGTGAGCGAAATATTGTGTGCTTCGAGGTAGGCGAAGAAGGGCGAGATGAGCTTGGTGTAGGATTCCATGGTGTGATTTGGTGCGAAGAGGTATCGCATGTTGAGGAATGGGGCGGGGGTGTTACCCATGATGAAGAAGGAATAGATCCCAGCGTCTGCCCACTCGAGGAATACATCGTAGAACTTCTTTGTGCCGGCCCAGAAGGCGTCAACACTATTTTTGGAGGCATCTAACACCCAGTTTGCAGTGACGACGTTAAGCTTCGGATGCGCTCGAATGATGACCGAAACAACAACAGCAAAGGTGCCGCCTCCGCCCCCGCGAAGCGCCCAGAAAAGGTCGGGATTCGAATCTTCAGAGGCTGTTACGAAGCGTCCATCAGCTGTGACGACTTGGAAAGCCACGACATGATCTGCTGCCATGCCGTAGATTCCCGCTATCCGACCGATTAGCTGCAATCTGAGCACTAGATGAGACATGGAATGACCTACCCAAAGGATTCTGACCCCCTCCGGTAATCATACCGCCTGCATATCCCACGCTCTAAAATCCTTGGTCAGCGCTTTTGCAAGACACAACAGCTGGCCGCATTACCCAAGATACCGCACCAGTGACAGTCACATCGTGCCGATCCGCAGCCTCATAAACCTCTCTCACAGTCACACCCGCCGCAAGCTTAAGCGCAGGGCCCTTATACCCTGGGCCCTCATACTGGGGCAGAAAGTCGATATCCTTTATGTTATGCATCCACAGGCTAAGCGCTCCCGCGCCAGAAGATTTCCCCAGATAGCAATGCCCCGTATTCTTAATCACCAATCGCAAATTCGCATTGCGTGCAAAGTTAATGGCTAGTTGTATCTGAGCCACATTTCTCACTTTAACAGCATATTGGGGATAGCCGCCTTTGATGCACTGTTTCCCGACGGTACTGTTCGACGGCATGCAGGTTCGCCCCTGGAAGATGGGCCACATGATGGACGTTGGATCGCTCTCGTGGAAGAGCGGGTTGGTAAAGTTTGCGAGGACGTTTGCGCACTGTACACTATTTTTCTCGCCCCATTCGCTGTCGTAGCAGGCCGATGCAATAGGAACAGTAGGTATCAAACCACCGCCCAGAAGCGCATCGAATGTGTCCCAGACTGGTTTGGTCGGCCAGCTAGGGTCGCCTGGAAATGTCTTGCAGGACACGACTTTCCTTTGATTGGAGAAAGTTGCGTTGGCGATCGTGCTGTTGTCGAAGGAAAAGTAGCTGACGAATTCTTTGGTGGCTTCATTGTTGGCGATGCGCGTGATGACCGCGTCGCTCAGTTGTAGAGTTTCCTCTAACTGTAGAGGCGCTCCGGCAACTACGGTAGGTGGGACATAAATGGCCGCAGGCTCGATGGAGAGGGAGGCGGACTGCGCAGTGGCTGTGGCTGTGGCTGTGGTTGTTGGCCAGAAAAGGAATGACCATACGATGACCCGCAGCGTAGCGATCTCACTAAAGGCCATACCGACAGAATGTGCTGTGATAGTTTGCTGCGAGTAGAACATTTAGGGTACCAGGTTCTTGTCTTAAAGCTTCACGAATGAAATCTACTCCTGCTGGAAAAGTAAGTTCCCACTGGTAGTCAACTACCGAGTCGGGCGTTCGCCCAATGAGAGAGTCGCTTCTTATAGTTTGCTGGTGCCCCCGGATGCCATGGATTACTTGCATAGATGTTCTTACGTGATCATACCTGGATACAGCGCCGCCAAGATGCATCTTGACCTTGGCAATGCGCCTACAGGCGGTCAAAGCTAGACGCTACATACTCGCAAGATAGCGTCGTAGGAGTTCTCCGTATATCAAGTCTTATGTACACTAATTATTACTTGATGGGGTGCGAGACCTGATGTTGTTCTAGTAGTTGTTGGCATAGGTCACATGCAGGTGGCCCGTATTGAATGGCCCACAAGGGTGGCCGTGCAGTAGCTGTTGGACATAGTGGCCCAGTCCGAGGTATGCGCGACATCGAGCTGACCATCGTAGTAGTCCTTGCCGTGGTCGATATCAGAGGAAACATGGACATGGTCGGCTCAGACGTTGGTGGATGCTTGGATGCGGATCGCGTCACCGTTCTCAGCCAGCACTTTGGAGATCTTCAAGTTATGGACAATGAAGTTCTTGGACTTGTCGATATAGAGAAGGATGCTGGTGAGAAGGGCGCTGGAATCGAGACCAACAATGGACTTGTTGGAGCCGACGTTGACCTTTGCAGAGCCATTAATAGCACCTTTGATTGAGATCAACGTAGCAGTCGTGTCCGTCTTCTTCCCTACGGCGGCACTGAACTCAGGCGGGGACGAGACAGTGGTAGTAGCACCACCCTTGCTACCTGTGGTTCCGCCATTTTGAGAAGCATAGCCAATGAGACTACCTTGCTGATCAGCAGTGAGAGATGCGAGAAGTGCGAGCCCTGCAGCGAAGGATGTCTTTAGTCAGTTGTGAAATATTTTGTGAGTCGAGGGTCGGCGAGCAGTCCGGGAAGCATTGCTAGGCGGCTCATGTGCACTAAATACGTCAGTGTGGCAGGCATGAATGGTTTCGGTTGCAGGTTCTCACAAGTAATAAATTGTACGTCTGTCTCTGGGATGTAAATGTCGTACCATTAGGTGTTGGAAACTATCGTACGTTCGTTGATCGTCGGCGTTTGCTTCCCACAAATGCGGGGAAAAGTTTCCACCCAGCAAACCAATCGAGACCGGACCGACATCAACCGGCATCGGCATTGTCGCCGACCGTAGACGCTACGTCGACATGATAAGGAATCTTGCGCCTCTACAAGAAAGCAATCCCATTTACCCATACTCCTGTAAAGTCTGGACAATCGATTTCCTCCCAAACTCATCTAGCGACCATGACACGATCCGCCCTCCTTATCGGCGCCCTGACACACACGCGAAAAGAGTGGGAACAACTCGGAGGCGTCGCCGACAAGCTATACGAGTACCCCTCCGGCACGCGCGAAGAGTTTCTCTCTAAATCCAAGGCCGGCGCATTCGAGGGCATCTACGCACTATACCGGTCCAACGACTCAAATAAGTACACCGGAAACTTTGACGAAGAGCTCCTTGATGCGCTGCCTGAGTCGCTGAAATTCATCTGTCACAATGGCGCAGGTTACGACAATATTGATGTGCCGGCGTGTACGAAGCGCGGGATTGCTGTGAGCAGCACGCCGATTGCGGTGGATGATGCGACGGCGGATGTGGCGATGTTCTTGATGCTGGGCGCGTTGAGGAATATCACGCCGTCCTTTCAGGCTGTCAGGCAAGGTGCGACGAGAAGCGGTACGGTCACTGAGAAGTAGCTGACCTTGGTGTAGGCAAATGGCGCGGCAACTTTGCGCTTGGGCACGACCCGAAGAACAAGGTGCTGGGGATCCTGGGTATGGGCGGAATCGGTTCCGCGGTGGCACAGCGCGCAAAGGCGTTTGGCATGAAGATACAGTATCACAACCGGAAACAGCTGTCATCGGAGAAAGAGGAAGGTGCAAAGTATGTGACTTTCGACGAGCTGCTGGCGACCTCAGACGTGCTCAGTCTGAATCTGTCGCTCAACCCTTCCACGAGACATATCATCGGAAAGCAAGAATTCGAGAAGATGAAAGATGGGATTATCATCGTCAACACTGCGCGTGGACCTCTGATCGATGAGGCAGCTTTGGTGGATGCGTTAAAGAACGGGAAGGTCTGGAGTGCAGGGCTCGACGTCTTTGAGGAGGAGCCCAAGATCCATTCTGGACTGCTCGAGGCGGAGAATGTCGTTCTTTTACCCCACATGGGTACTGCGACGTACGAAACGCAGCGTGACATGGAGCTTCTGGTTCTGGACAACCTGAAATCGGCGATACAAAGCGATAAGTTGTTAACACAGGTACCGGAGCAGAAGAAAGATGCTGCCAAGATTTGAAGGCATCGAAAAATGCTGTATTTGACCAGCGATTTGATAGAATCAGAATATGAATAGAGCCTGGTTGTTGAATTTACCCTGTCACTAACGGGCGTCTGATAATGCGAACCCGCATGTCACCTTGGATGCCGACTACCTGGTTGCCAGCGAAGCCAGGTTTGATTGTTGGAAAGTCATCTGTGCCCCCTTCAGTCAGCCCCCCCTTTGTGTGCTTCATGAATCTTGTGAACGTAATGTCGAAATTGAGTAACAGCACCGCAATAATGCCAAGGACTTCTTGTTTGGCGAAAACTCTCCCAGGGCACATGTAGTGGCCGCCTCCAAAAGGGAAGTAGTTGGTACCCAGGCCTGTTGCGCTGTAGCTTAATTCTCCTGTCACCGAGTTTGTCGTCGTAAAGCGCTCCGGGTTGAAAACTTCGGGCCGAGCAAAGAACACTGGATTCCGATGAGTCATCCAGGTAGGCGCCATGATCTGCTCGCCTTTCCTCACGTGGTGTGTCCCGAGTGCTACCGAACTGTCAACCTGCCGCACGACAAGCAGATCGACGTATAGCCGGAGCACTTCGTGGAAGGCGGAATTAAGGAGCGGCAACCGGGTCAAAGCCGGGATGTCAATGTAACCATCGGAACGCTTACACGACTCCAACTCCTGCATAATACGTTGGCGGAAGTCGGGTGCACTTGTGGGCGAAAGTATATGTAGCAGCAGCCAGCCAGCGGCCGGGGTGGCATTGGACAAGATGCCAGCCAGAAAAATGAGATCCCATCCAGCCTGGCTGTGTATACTCAGCTCACGCTGCTTGTAGAGGTCGTGCCGTCGATGCATAATCCGAGCGCCGGTGTCGGGTGTCCAGGAGGGGTCTTCCCCTTCTCTCACGGGGTGTTGGTATCCCGCTTGCAACCACCTCTCCATCTTCTCCACGCATGCATCCCGAGCACGGTACGCCTGTCGTGCGAACAGTCGCGGTGTACCAAAGAGGAGGCCCAGCAGGTTGTCTTCCCAAATACGATAATCTACATCGAAATCGGGGTACATCTCAAGCAGTGTACTTCCACAAAGTGCTGTTGTCGAAGCACGAAAGACAAGCTGCCACAGCCAATCATACAGATTGATGTCCAGGCCATCTGTGAGACTGGCGTCCGCGTCAAGCTGCGCCTGGAATGTTTCTATAAACTTTTCAGTCAGTGTGTTCACCGCAGCAGAGCTCAGCAAGTGGTCTGAATGGAGTCGTTCGGTTGTTATCTTCTCTTTCTCATTCGTGCGATCCGGGAACGCTTTGAAAGAATCTTCTTTTGACATGCCGAGCACGTTCACGGCAAGCTGTCGGTCCAGCACTGCACGCGAAAGATGTCGGCTTCTAAACACCGCGGCGAGACCATCTTCGGAATAGATAAGGTGTGTTCGCTGTCCGGCAAGTACGATGGAGAAGGCGCCCTGGCCGTAGCGCTCTGCTTGAACCCTGAGCCAAGTCCAGAATTTCCCGACTGTCTGATTACTGAAGCCGATGGTGGAACCAAGCTTTGGGATAGCGTACGGTATCAGTGGTGGACTCCGGGCGGTTGGATACTCCCCTTCACCATCCGGTTCCCTGCGGACATCGCAGTGATAGCGGTAGAGCGTTGTGCAGTACGTGAATGTGCAGATAAGACCTAAAGGTACCAGCAAACCAACAGCCAGTGTACGAATTGCAGGCAGCAAAGTAGGACCGTCCATGTCCGTATGTATCTGTGATTCGAGGAGGTCAACTGATCAGATTTGCTGTTTTGCGATAAGTGAACGGATACACAGGCTCCATGAAGAATCCGATATGGCAGGCACCTATCGCATGTATGACGTAATGAAACGTTGCGCTCTCCATCTGTGTGATATCATTGGGACACGTTCTGTGCGACGAGAATGCACGAACTGGTACGTCAACTCGCAATTGCTTCGATGCTGTACTCACCTGAAAGTGTAAACGAGACAAAGGGCGATCGCCGCGTCGGGCTTTGAAACACGCGCTGCAGGCGTCGGCAATCGAGTCAATTGCCGAACGGCTGTGGCTGGGCTGGACGATCCGATCACCACCATAAGCCGCCGCCGTCACCGCTCCCCGCACCCCACGATTTTCTCGCGCTTAAATACCCCGGACTTCCTCAGTGGCCATCACTATCAACACCTTGTTGCAACCTGCATCGCCCTTGTGATACCGAAGGCGACAAATTGAATCACTGGCAACTCTTGCGACTTGATTGATGCACGTTGCAATTTTGCAAGATGGCAAAATTCGATATGAAGACTGTGTGGTCGGATATTGTGCAGTATCGGAGAGCATATATCTTGACAGCGGTCGCCTCATTTGGCGGCATGCTCTTCGGGTGGGATACTGGTTTGATTGGTTGGTAGCCATCGACTTCATCTTGCGGCTGCTTCTAACCAAAACAGGCGGTGTGCTCACAATGGACGCGTTCCAGCACTCATTCAATCTGGATAGGGAAAGCCCCGACTTCGCCAATCTACAGGGCAACATTGTGTCCGTTCTTCAAGTACGACCAACCTGGTAACATGCTCTGAGCCACTGATGCTGACATCGAAACAGGCAGGTTGCTTCTTCGGAGCAATGTCCTCGTTCTACATCAGTGATACGTTCGGGCGCAAGAAGGCTCTGATCATTGCGGACATCATCTTCATCATCGGGTCGCTAGTGCAGACACTATGCGCCATCAACACGACCAGCCTGGCTCAACTCTACGTCGGCCGCGTCATTGGCGGATTTGGCGTCGGACTTGTCTCTGCAGTCGTCCCTACGTACATTGGAGAGAACGCCAACAAAGAGATCCGCGGTCGCTGCATTGGATGCATGCAGCTGTTCAACGTGACGGGCATCTGTCTGTCGTTCTTCGTCAACTACGGCATCAGTCTGCAGATCAAGACTCTGAGTAGTGCAAAGTGGAGGATTCCTTTCGCGCTCCAGATGCTGCCGGGGGCTCTCCTTCTGATTGGTATCGTCTTCCAGAACGAGTCGCCACGTTGGTTGGTGGAGAAGAACCGCCTGGCAGACGCTGCGAAGGCATTGGCCACTGTACGCGCGAAACCTATCGACGATGCCGACGTCTTGCAAGAACTCGATGAGATTGTGAAGGACTTCCAGGGCCATGAGAAGCTTCCGCTCCGCGCTCAGCTTCGATCAGCATGCTCGAGCAAGCGCATGTTCTATCAGAGTTCCTTCGCCGTCATACTCATGTTCTGGTACGCCTCTCCTTGATCGTCCATGAGACGCACCTGTCACTAACTTCCCACCCCAATTTGCAGGCAGCAGTGGACGGGCACGAATTCGTAAGCAACGTCATACAAAAGATCAGCTGAGCAGTCTGCTGATGTGTGGATACAGAATCAACTACTACGCGCCTCAGATCTTCCAAACGATTGGCCTGAAGGGCCCCTCGGCCGGGCTGTTCGCTACTGGCGTCTACGGCATCGTGAAGATTGTGGTGACAGCGATTGGCTTGATGGCATTCACGGAGCAGATGGGGCGGAAGGTATGTGACGTTCTGGCGTCTCGTCTACATGTGGCTTGCATGTCTTCACCGGCCTCTCCCAGCTGGCATTTACTTGCATACCCTCACCGGCTTCCCAAGGCGATGTGTATCCGGCATGGGTATCCATTCTAACTCGGTTTCTAGTGGTCGCTCCTTATTGGCTCGCTCGGGCAAGCATTTGCTATGTGTACGAGGCCACCGGGTACCAAGTGGATATGTCATTGCGGCGCGGAAAGGCTCTATCTTTGCCCGTCTGGCACGAGGCTAGAGGAAGCCTTTCCAAGCAGAGGCAAGGCGAATTTATACACGAGGAACCAATCCCTGCTTCCAGAACCTGCACTGACGATGCTTAGTCTACATCGGGGTCAATTCAGCCGTCAATCCGGTAAAAGAGGGCGACGCCCTTTCCGGTAACAGCATCTTCGCCATCGTATGCGTGTACCTCTTTGTAGTGTTTTACTCGTTCGGTAAGTTTCTGGAACCAGCTCTTGACGGGTGTTGCTAACGGGAAGATAAGGATGGGGACCGATTCCTTTCGTCTTGAGTTCGGAGTGCTCTCCCAACCACGGTAAGTCTAGCCGCGCACGTTGACGCGGCGCAATTGCCGAGTTGCACGTCCTGACTGACACGGTGCAGTTCGGTCTCTCATCATGGCGGCAGCGCTGATGACACAATGGCTCTTCAACTTTGTGATTGCCAAGATCACTCCGCTGATGCTGAGCGGCATCACGTATGGGACGTTCTTGCTGTTTGGATCCTGCTGCATCATCATGGGCATTTACACAATCTTCTGCGTGCCCGAGACGAAGAATGTGCCGTTGGAGTCGATCCACCACCTCTTTGAGGGGCGCATCATCGCCGGATGTATCAAAGACACGATCCCGCGGCACTCGCGCGCAAAGCAGCTGCAGCATCACCACGTTACCAACGACGATTCGTCCGAGACGGGCAAACCAGCATCGAAGGGAATCCGCGCAGACGTGCAGCATGTCGAGGAGGCCTGAGGCAGGCGCCGCGTGCGGACGGGGGACTGTGGGTGGTGATGGGCGAGACGTGGAGGAGGCGATTTGTATACGTGTCACTGTAGGAATGAAGATCTTTCTTGCTATCGGGCCGCATTCGACGGGAAAGGAGTGAGGCCATTCCCAAGCTGCTGTCTGGCGAGGATGGGCGGAGCACTAGTTGGGCAGCGACAGGGAGATGGCCGCAAAGTGAGGCAGGGCGGGGCAGACGTTGTCCCGACGTGGCAGCGGCAAGCAGCCGGTGTCTCGTTGCGGAAGGGGCAGTAGACGGGTGCCAGCCAGGCCGCCGTGGGCTGTTGCGGTGCTCAGGGCCCCACTGCTGCTGGAAACCGGTGCTGTGCAGTGGTAAGCCGCAGCGGCACGAGACATGTGCATGTATCGAAGCGACGGGCGGGCGGCGACTGGCGACCCTTTGTGCGCCCCCGCCAATCACATCCATGCGCGTCGGCGTCATCGCCTGCGATCTACACGCTCCCAACTTGCCCGGAGCCCTATGCCCACAGGACCACGACCACCTCACACGATATCCCTATTTCTCGCTGCTTGTTGCTCGCGTCCACACGCGCCGCCCCAGTGCCGCGCCCGCAGCCGCCCTTCGCTCACACCGGCCCACGGCGCCGCCCCTCGTGCAGCCTCACAACTTTCACTTCCACACCCCACTTGCTGCCGTGGCCGCCTGCCCATCGGCCCCGGGGCCACCCCAGCACCATCTGCAAACCTCAGGTTGATTCTTTGTGCGCCGCACCCCCGCCCCTGTTCTCTCGCTGCGCCCGTCCCGCACACACGCTCGGGCAGCGATTGCACATTCGTCGCGATTCGGGCTGCTGCCGACCGCCGCCTCGATCCTGCTGCTCTGCGCGCCTACGCCAGATCAAGACGCTGCCGCGAGTCGCCATATATCGACTAAATGTACGTCCAAGTGCGCTGCTTTTCGTCTTCGTCGCTGGAGCTGGTTGTTGAGTCTCTCGCCTCTGTCCTCGTGTGCTCCCTCGCTCCTTCCCTCCCATGCTGACCACCATGACGGGCAGTGTCGTCGTCCCCGCCCAGACCGTACTGGGAGCACCCCGTGTTAGGAGGCTCTCGTACACCTGCGAGCAGCCGCCGCCGCCTCTGCCCCCGCGCCGCAATACCCTCGCCGTCGCCCCGGGTCAGCAACCGCAGCTGGGCAAGAAGCTGCAGTTGATCGCAAAGAAGCAGCTGCTGTCGGTCGGCCGCTCTGCGCCCACAACACCCACCCAACCCCAAGCCCAGTCCCAGAAGATGGACTCGCGGTACCACCGCCCGTCCTCGCCCCGGGGCCGCATGAGCAACCCTGCGAGGTCGTCTACGGGCACCTTCGACCCCTACTACGACTCCAATTACTACGCACGCCCCAGCTCTCCGAGAACAAGCGCCGACAGGCTCGGGGGGTCGCTCTACCCGCGAGACAGCTACATCACAAGTAGTTCCTCGTCAGGCTCCCGCTCGTCCAAGCCCAAGTACGACTCGTACACGGGGAGGCCACGGCGCAACACCCTCAACGAGTCAGACGATCGCTTGGTCCGGCCCCACTCGATGCTCACCCCCTCTGCTGCGCTTCCACTCCGCACGCACGTAGCCCATGTCAGCGACCGGCCATCCAGTCCGTTGGCGCGATCTTGGGATAACAGGGCAGATCCCTACGTCTCCCAGGCATCTCCACGGACGACAGCCCACAAGAGAATATACAGCGTGGACGACGGTAGCCATTCGGCAAAGCTGATTGCAGAGAAGGACATCATCAAGTCCAGCCACCGAGACTCTCGTGACTACAGCGTCACCAGTGGTAGGCAGTCCTACCACCAGCACAAGCCCTTGGTCAAGGCCACGGATTTTGGGGCCGATGGCTTCTCCTATACCGACCCCGAAGCCATGTATCGCGAAACCGAGCCAGCGTGGCGTCGGCCCCGCGCCAACAGCATTGAACGCGGTGCGCGTCCATCGAGCGTCGTGCTAGATCGCGGTCCTCGCACCTCCACTCGAGAACTCGGACCACCTCCATCTACCCGTGGATTCGACAAGATCAACGGCGTCACCAGTCGTCACCACGGCAGGTCATCCTCTATCGAGCGCTCTCGGGACATTCCCAAGTACGACTCCTATCCAGATGCTGCACCTTCTCGAACCTCGTCTACTCGGCACCATGCTCCCGCCATCCATCAAGAGCCACGCGAACACCGGCGCGAACCGTACCGCGATGAGTACGACGACCATCCCCGGGATAGGGATCTTGAGAACCGCCGCTACGCGGACCGGTTCGAGGACCGCGATGTTCCCACCCGCGGCTTCGGCATTGCGCCCGCTGCTCATGTACGCGAGCCCTCTCTTGATCGCCAGCCAATCTACAACACGAACCCTCCGGAGGTCAGTCGAGGACGAGCTGAGGGATACGGGAGTCAGTATTACGCTCCGGATCGCGCCGACGCGAGAATGCCGGATCCTAGGATTCCGGATGCGAGGATTCCGGATGCCAGAATCGCCGACGCCCGTCCACGCGAACGCGATATTGCCCCGACTTACGAGGAGCGCCCGCGCGAAAGGGCACCTCGAGATAGCAACCAGCCCGTTCCTAGCGCTGCCCCCATCGTGGCAGGCGCTGCTGCAGGTGCCGCTGCTACGTTCGGTGCTGCTCATGTTCTGAAATCCCGGGATAAGGAGCGAGAGCGAGAACCAGAGCGTGATCGCGACCGCGAACGAGACCGAGATCGAGAAAGGGAGCGAGATCGGGAACGGGATCGTGAGAGGGAAAGGGAACGCGAGAGGGAAAGAGAGCGTGAACAGCGCAAGGAGTACGACGAACGCGATCGGAGGGGGAGAGGCTCCGATGAGCGAGAGCGTCGTACGGACAGGCGCGAGGCTGTTCCAGAAGAACGCCAGGACCGACCGTCCCAAGAACGCGTGCCGCCGCCACCTCCTCCCCCTGGTGCTTATCCCTCCAACCCACCAGAACCCGATCGCATTCCTCGGGACCGCGTCTATGAAGACGAGGAGCGCGATAGGCGTGAGAGGCGAGCCCGGAAGGCACCATCGTCTGAGGGCAGTGGTGATGAGCGGCCCCGTCACTATGTCGACCGCCAGCGTAAGCCGGAGGCACCTGTGAAGGAGGCTGCACTCGACCCGGATGAGGAGTACAGGCGCCGCATCCAGGCTGAGGCTGAACGAAGCGGCCGCGACAGGGATAGTGGCGATTCTGACAGAGAGCGAGAGCGCCGACGACGAAGAGAGGAGAGGGAGAAGTCCCGCGAACGCGGAGAGGACTACCGCCCTCGCGAGACGAGATCGAACGCAGACGAGCCGCTACACCCACGCTACGATGAGCGCTCTGCTAGCGTTCTTGACAAAGATATTGTGCAGGAGCCCAGCTCCATGGCAGACCATGACCCACCAAGCAAAGGTGTACAGATCGTAACGCCACCCAAGGAGGCGGCACCCGCCCCCAAAGGTATCCTCCGCAAACCGACCGAGAAGTTCCCCGAAGACCCCGAGCCCATCCGGGAGGGTGTTGCTCCTCACAAGAGCCAACTGAAAGGCAAAGACATCCCTCCCAATGCGCGCTGGACCAAGATCGACCGGCGCCTCGTGAACCCGCAGGCACTCGAGGAAGCCAAGGAGCGGTTTGAAGAGCGTCTCGACTGCGTTATTGTGCTGCGCGTCCTGACCAAGGAAGACATCCAGAAGCTGGCCGATCGCACCAAGAAGATTCGCGAGGCTAGAGGTACGATTGTCCCTTGTAGCAGTCCAGATGTTTGTTGAAGTCGAACTAACGGTAAAACAGAGGATGAGTACGAGCGCGATGAGCCGAGGGATCGGGACCACGATCGCCACAGCCACCATGGACATCGGGAGGATGATAGGGAGAGGAGACGCGAGTATGATGATTATGACAGGGAGTACGATGGTAATGAAAGGGATAGCGATCGTGAGCGGGAGCGGGAGAGGAGGCCGAGGGCCATTGAGGCAGGGAGGTGAATTGAATCCTGACGGGAAGGATTTTGTACGACAAGGATGTGGACGAGGATGTCGTTAAGGAAGGCCAAGGGGGCAGATGAGGCACCGCCAAGGCGGATGCTGGGTTTTTTGAGCGTGTAAGAGGAGCATGGGAGGCGTTCTTGTTTGTCTAACGGTTGGCATGGGATGGCATCGGCAGCACGGCATGGTGTTATTAAAGTGGAGTGGAGCGTTAAGCATAGCGGAGTGGCATTACACAGCGAGCGAGCGGGATTGCAAATCGTACAGGTAGCCTGCGCTAAACAGCCTGCTTGCCCCCTCACCCTACCCCCTGACGTGCGTACCACACATACCCTTCCCATTCCGTGCCAGTTCTTCTTCCACGCTACTTCACACCCCACTCGCGCCACCATTCGTACACCGCAATCCCCCCAGCCGTTTGGACGTTGAGACTACGCGTCACGCCTACAGTCCTTATCTCCACGCACCGGTCCAGCACGGCCAGCACCTCGGCTGTGATCCCGCTGCGCTCGGCACCCAGCACGAGAACGCACTTCCTGGGAAGCTCACCCACGCCCGCGTCCCCGAGTATGCCGCTTCGGTCTGTCTGCTCGATGCCCACGACTTGATACCCCTCTCTTTTCTTCTGTCGCAGGAAGTCCGGGATGCGCGGCACGGGCAGCTCGTGGATGGGGAGGTGCTTCTCGCTGGTGACCGAGGTTGCGAGGAAGTCTTTGTGGGTGGTGGCGCGCAGGGAGGAGATGTAGAGGGAGTGGAGGCCGAAGGACTCGGAGATGCCTGTTTGCCGAGACGTGGGTGTTAGCGAAGCAGCTTGGCAGGGAAACGGCAGAGGGGGTACGTACGGCTCAGACCACCGAGGTTCGTCGGATTGTCGATCAGCGAGGCGACGAGGATGACGGATGCGGGGCGGGTGTTTTGTGCCGAGGGGGGACCGGGGGTGGGGAGGAGGGATGCCATGTCGAAGCCGGATTTCGTTTGATGGAATGTCGACGTCGATGAGGTCTCTGCGGGAGTTGATGAGGGTTCGGGCGTTGCGCCTGGCTTCTTCCAGACTGGGATTGTGGGTGCGAGGTCGGCGGTTGAGAGTGGCTGGCCGAGGGGCACGCGCGGAGGCGCGGCATGGTGCTCAGATGGAAGAAGAGAGTCGGACTCGGCGAGCGCAAGGAAGTCTTCGTGGGCGACATACTCCATGTCCGGGGTCTCGATTTTCAGATACCGCCCTTGGAAGATGTTGGTGAGCGTGAAGTCTTTCACAGCATCTAGCTTGAGCGTGCGGATTGTCGACGGCGGAGCGCTGAACTTGTCGAGGCCGCGAACATGCCGGTCCAGCGCGACGAAGGCCGGGTTGTCGGTGATGGACGTCCAGTCCCTTTCCCTGGCGAGATCGAACAGAGTGGGAAAACACCAGTGTGCCTCGTGCCTGATGTGCACCTTTGGGCTCGCGGAGAAGGGGATGAGCTGGACCATCAGCTTCAGCGCGAAGGCGTCGGAGTCCAGGAAAGGGGCTGCAAGTAGAGCCAGTTTCATGAGACTTGCGATGTGGACGGGGCTGTTTTCGTCGAGGCGCGCGAGGTTATCGAGGATACGATGGGCTTTCGATGGGAAGCGGTAGTAGATGCGTGTGATGGTCCATTCTAGTAGATATCGGTACCGTGGCCAGGGTTCCACCACCAGGGCATGCATGAAAGATTCCAGGTACCAGTCGGCATCCTCTTCGCTTACGCACGATTCCGTCAAAAGTAGCATGACCTGCAGCTGGAAGACATTCTTTGACTTGCTGATAATTGGAATGGGTGCTTTCTGCGTCCTCCAGGGTTCCAGAAGGCGCTTCATTACCCGCTTTGCAACGTCGAGTTGATCCTCCGGCATGCAGTTTAGTAGATCTATCAGCGCTGCGTACCCCGCCCATTCGCGTCGTCCGTAGTATGCTTCAAAATTGCGGTTGGAAACATGGTTTCCGTTATTCGGCAGTGGTAAATGTTCTTGTAATTTGTCCGCAGCAATCACTTCGAACAGAAATTCCTTCTTCGGAACTGGGGGATTCTCAATGAACCGAACAAAAAGGTCATCGAAAGGCAGTAGATTTAGCATTTCTGGATGCAGGAAGGAAGCCTTGCGGAGAGAGGTTGCTAGGCCTGACACCAGATATGTTCTGCCTTCTGCAAATCGGTGCAAAGTGGTCAACACTTTTGTGAGTACTGCCGTCAGATCGTCCACAGTCATAGAGACATCTCGCCTCCACTGAAGACAAGTGAGTATGCAGACTGGGTGGAAGTAAAGAGGAGCTAGCCAGAGAGCGACAGGTCGGCAGTAGTCTTGTCTGTCTGCCTCTTCCCAAAATGCTTCCAGTATCTGGAGTAATTCCTCTGGCACGAGCAGTTCGGGTGGTCCCTTCTCCAGCAGGTTGATGATGTGGAGGCACTGAGGTGCAAATCTGTCATTCTGAATAATCTTATGACGAGAGCGGTTGACTTCCTCGAGGAAACCCTTCAAAGTGGTCAAAGCCGCGGTGCTGTTATTTGGCGTCTCTTGCATAGGCGAAGGCTCTATGCTGGATTTAGCCGTACACTGTTCAACTCCAATCTCTTTATCGAGGAAGGCCTGCGCGGGAACGAATTCGGCGTCCGATATCTTTGGACTTCGATATCCGCAGAGTTCCGCGCAGTATGTACGGGATAAGTTCGCAGCAATCTCTGGCAATGCGGGCATTCTAGATATTGCAAGGATATTTGCAATCTCTGCTGCATCCAGAAAAACACCTCCTTTGCGGATGCCTTTCAGTAGTCCTTCCAAGAGGTAGAGAACTGATGGTGAGAAAATTCTACCTCCAGTGTCCGAGATATATTGCAAAACACCCTTAATTATCGCATGTTTGTCTGGGATAAAAGGGTGTTGCTGCGAGTCCGAGCGACCGGCCCCGATCTCTGGTTGTGTTCCTGGCGCTGCTATGACAAGTCTAGCAAACGCTTCGGCAAGAGCTGTTCCATGGGAACACGTGGTCGAAGTTCGAGTTGAAACAAGAGATGCCGTGAAGAGGCTTCCCTGGGTCGCCCATGGAAGGAATCCCTCGGTGATGAAAGCAGTGTGAGAAGTACATGATTCCGGTTGCGCGGTAGCGTAGTCTAGATACCAGTTACCAACGAGCTTCCTAACACCTTCCTGAATCTTGGGGTTAAGCGCTGCGGCTAGAAGAGCGGTTGTCCAAGTTGAAGAAATTAACGATGCCGGGCCGAGAAGCGTCGTAAGCTCAGGGAGGCAAGCCTGCACCTGGTTGGGGTATCGATCTAAAACGATGATCTCGAATAATGCACAATACTTCTTGTACTGCTGTACGATAGATCCTTTCTTACTGACATCAAAGGCCATTCCGGGCGCCTCAAAGCTTCTTTGACAGATGAGCAACGATTGTTGTATGATGCCTAGACAATACTTCCGCTGGTCGGTCATACCAGTTACAAGTCCGGTACACAACACCGACCAGTACTTTGGGGTGTAGACCTCGTCAGTCCCAAGGGCATTTGCGTTCACATAGTTTATCCATTGGAACCAAGTCCGGAAAGCCTTGCTGGCATTTTCAGAAAAGTAGTCTAACGGAAGATGTCGGAGTCCACCAAAAAATGAGTCCGAGAGGGCACCTGGTAGAAGAAGGGTCCTATTCGAAGTATAATCTCGCTGGATCCATGAGTCTGGAAGCTCCACCGTGTTAAGCACGTTAACAGATTGTTTGCTCAACAAAGCAAGCAATGAAGAGAGTGTGTCATGGATGGCTTCATCTATCTCAACTTTGCCGACGTTTCCAATAAGTGTGGAGTACAGCGCGGGCGTGATGTAGTGGTACCGATCTTCAGGAAGCCAGTAAGAGCATTTGAGGAATGCGAGGCAAACTCGAACTCTCTGTAGGTGTTCTTCTTTGGGTAAGAATATCCCACAATAATCTATTGCCCCTTCCGAAGTGATGGGAACGTCGTCGTCTGCGGCGGCCGTTATGTAGCGGGCGACAGTGTCGAACACTGCGAAGCCAAGTTCAGCATTACTGAGGGATATTTCTGCAAGCAAGTAGAGGTGATCTTCATTGTGGGCCTTGGACGAGATGTATTCAAAAACAACATCGTGTAGTCTATTGAAAGACTCGTTGTTCTGTCCGGTGTTAGATGAGTGCCGGACCAATACGACAGGCTTCAGCTACCGTGGAGCAACTCGTTACGCAAGCTCGGAGAAACACGTAGCGGCTCAACAAGGCACCGGGCCGACCAAACTTACACGTGGAGAAGATGCTTTGAGAGGTAACAAGCGGACGCAAATTCCCAACGCTTCAAGATCAATCAGACCTGATGCGGAGCCTTCGACTCTGCGCCAATAATGGTCGAATGCTGCCTCCTTGACGGATACATCGGCGAATTGAATGATCGATTCAACGTCGCGATACGTATTCTCAGTCGGCATATCTTCTTGGTTCCTACTTGAACCCCGTCTGGTGGTTCACTGTGGCACGTCTGAGTAGATCTTAGATGCAGGCCACCCAAAACGTGATTGGCGGGGCAGTGGAATGCGCCCCAGCAACCGTTGCTGGGAATGAGCGGGAACAACTCCGCAAAACGACCCTGGGCTATCTCTTTGACCCTGCGCGCAATAGCCCTCGAACACGTCGTCTTTCGCTGCGTTGTCCGGTGGGTTCTTTCGTCGCGGTGTGCACGCACCAAAATTTCGCGAGTTTGGTGTGGGGCCGGACGTGACGTCGCCGCAGCTTCCCCAGCAACGGCTGTTGTGCTTTAGCTCGATTAGGCAACGCTAGCGCCCGCCTGTGCTGCAAGCACGACTCGAGACGCCTCGATGCACCTCTTTAACATCATCAGGTCGCGACAGCTCAGACAACATCTTCTTTGGTTGTTGGAGAACACCATGGACCGGCGCATGTATGGAAGTCTGACCACCGCTTCGGCGGTGTCGTTGAGAGCGAGCGAGCCCATGGCAATGCTGGCGCCGCCACCGATGCTTGACGATGCCGGCAACGTCAAGGTCGTCGTGCGCTGTAGGGCTTTCGTCCGGAGAGGTCAGTAACGGTGCCAATGCCATTCCATTGAAAGGCATACTGATTCGACGCAGAGAAAGAAAAGGGCACGCAATGCCTCATCCGAATGGACCCGGCCACAAACAAAACAACGCTCCTCGCCCCAGTCGAAGACACGGAGTCTAGCACGCGGCGAGCGTATGAAGATAAGGAGTTTGTATTCGACAAGTCGTTCTGGTCACACGATGAGGCCGATCCGTACTACGCGCACCAGGAGGATGTCTACCGATCGTTCGGAGAGGAGTTCCTAGACCACAACTTCAATGGATACCACACGTGCATCTTCGCGTATGGACAGACAGGCTCAGGCAAGAGTTATACGATGATGGGCTCGCCAGACAACCCTGGTCTGATCCCTCGAACCTGCGAGGAGCTGTTCGAGAGAATTCGGGACGAGCCGACACCAAACACCAGCTATCACGTTCAAGTGTCTTACTTTGAGGTGTACAACGAACACGTACGAGATCTGCTTGCAGCTCGCACAAGCCCTTCAATGTACCTGAAGATCCGCGAATCTCCCAAGGACGGAGTGTACGTCCAAGGCCTAACAGAGACCGAGGTCAAGTCCTATGCAGATGTGGAGCGATTGATGAGGATTGGAGACTCGGTGAGTACTATTAAAACATTCGCATGAGGCGGAGACTAATCTTGACAACAGAGCCGAACGACAGCATCAACAAAAATGAACGACACATCCTCGCGGTCGCACGCCGTTTTCACTATCCGTCTCAAGCAGATTACACATTCACTGCTGTCAGACGAAACCATTGAGCGGACTGCCCGAATGCGGCTCGTCGATCTCGCTGGGTCCGAGCGTGCAAAGTCAACAGAAGCGACAGGTCAACGACTCAAGGAAGGTGGTCAGATCAATAAGTCGCTGACAACGCTCGGACGAGTCATTGCTGCGCTCGCAGATCCAAAGAGACAGAACAGTAAGGGAAGAAGGCCGAAGGAAGTCGTCCCATTCCGAGACTCTGTTCTCACGTGGCTTCTCAAGGACAGTCTAGGCGGAAACAGCAAAACCGCCATGGTAGCCTGCATCGCGCCCTCGGACTACGACGAGACGCTGTCAACCCTCCGATACGCTGACCAGGCGAAGCGCATTCGCACACGCGCTTCAGTCAACCAAGACTGCATGTCGGCTGCGCAGCGTGATGCACAGATATCTGAGATGGCCGAGCAAATACGCTCGCTGCAGGTCAGCGTCAACGCGGCCACTATTCGAAAGAGGGAGGAAGCCACAGAACTGGAAGAATACCAACGTCAAGTCGCTATGATGCAACGTCTCGAGGAGGAGAATCGCATGGTCGCCGATTCCAGGATCAAGGCCCTTACCGCCGAGGTTGAAGAGCTGCGCCCCATGAACATCGCCTTACGCTCCGAAATCGATGCTCTGAGGCGCCACTTGGCCCTAGCCCTGGGCGAACTGAAGAACCCGATCGTCCTACCGCCTCCAATCCCTGGCTCACCTGAAATTGAACAGGACGGCTTCATCAGGGTTGACAAGCGGGGCGTGGACCTGGGTGAGGATGGTAAAGAGAACTCTATCCCCATCCACTCTGATGATGAGATGAGTGGTGATGACTCTGATTCAGGGTACGATGAAGGTGATCACGACGAACTTGCGCAGGAGCTGCAGATCGAGGCCCAGGACTTCCTGAAAGACCTGGGACTGTTCCGGAGGAAGGTCGGCGGCGATGTTGAACGTTTTGGAGTGCGCCAGGCGCTGCATGAGATCATCGGAAACTGAGCCTTGTGCTTGGATGCTTCGGCTGTTGTACGCTGGTACTCGCGTGCTGATTCACGTGGAAAATTGACTTGACGATGGATTAGGATTGGTTACGATGCATTGAGCGACGGCGTTTTGCTTACAGCGTTACATTTTCTGTCTTCAGTATATAGCGACTACCCAGATTCCAAATTGTTGAGTGGCAAAATGCCGAGCATTTCCAAGCTGATACTGTGCTGTGATGACAACACAAGACGGCATCTAAGGGAATACCTAAACTGTAACGCCAGTGTTTACGTCGTCGCGGGAGACTTGAGGTCATGGATGGTCTGTGCCCAAGCTCCATGGCAGGCCGCAGCTCCTCCGCAACCCGCGTCTATCTGCAGCACCACTCCAATGATAGCCACCACAACATTCGCATGACATGTCGAAGCCTACCGCGAGCTGGGAAAAGCTAGGCGACAAGTTTTACCGCAAGATCCAGCTCTACACAGCCGTATTCGACCAGGACCTCGAGCTTGAGAACTACAATGTGGTGGGGGCCCCGTACAGCGGCGCTGTAGGTACGACCCCGACCACCTCACTACCGAGGCGCATGCTGACTGGCTTGCTATAGCTATATACCGCGATGAGAACAAGATAACGACGTACCGGGGGGGCCAGGTCAGCAAGGCCAGCATCGACATTTACAGCTGCGCGGGGAAACTCATACGGCGCATCAACTGGGACAAAGGCACGATCAAGGGGCTTGGATGGTCAGAGGACGAAAAGCTACTTGTTGTCACCGCGGACGGCACGGTGCGCTGCTATTACGACCTTCAGGGCGATTTTATACCGTTTACCCTTGGCCACGGCGCAGACGAACACGGCGTGCAGTCCTGCAAGTTCTACGGCTCTGGCTTTGTCGCATTACTGGGCAACAACAACCTCATATCCGTGTCCTCGTACACGGAGCCACGCCCAAAGCTCCTCGCGATACCGCCAACAGAGCCCGTCATATCGTGGAGCATAATACCACCAGCGTACTCCCTGTCGCGTTCTGTGGAAGTAATTCTTGCCATTGGCGAGACACTTTATGTGGTGGACGCGACTGAAGCCGAGAACCGCAACTTCGATGCTGGACCATTCAGGCATATAAGCGTCAGCCCGCGCGGCGAGTTTCTCGCATTCTACACTGACGATGGGAAGGTGTGGGTGGTTAGTGGCGACTGGAGCGACAAGCTGAGCGAATACGACAGCAAAGTCAAGACTATGCCAAAAGACATGGAATGGTGCGGAAGCAACGCCGTTGCACTAGCCTGGGAAGACGAAGTCCATCTCATTGGTCCTGCCGGCGCTGTCACAAAGTTCTACTACGACGCTTGGATACATCTCCTGCCAGACGTCGACGGTCTCCGCCTTCTCACCAATGACGTCTGCGAGTACTTGCAGAAAGTGCCGGATGCTTCGGTAGAAGTGTTCCGGATAGGCTCTGATTCTCCTGCTGCGAATCTGCTAGAAGCATCATCTCTTCTTGACCAGAAGTCGCCAAAAGCAGACGACCTCATTCAGCTCATTCGACCTTCTCTCGCTGAAGCTGTAGACACGTGCATCAGGGCTGCAGCGAACGAGTACAACATACATTGGCAAAAGCAGCTACTCCGCGCAGCCTCCTTTGGCAAGTCTGTCCTTGACTTGTATTCCAGTGACGATTTTGTCGATACGTGCGACACCTTGCGCGTTCTCAACGCCGTGCGCTTCTACGAGGTGGGCCTGCCGATAAGCTACGAGCAGTACCGTCGGCTCACGCCTGAGAAACTTGTTGATCGCCTCACAAATCGCAATGAATACTTGCTTGCCCTGCGTGTAGCAGCCTATCTCCACCTGCCGACAAATCAAATCCATGGCCACTGGGCGCAACAAAAGGTGAGAGTGAGCCAAGACTCAGAAGAGCAGATCTGCGCACTCATCGTGAAGAAACTGCACGGTAAGCCTGGCATCTCTTTCGAAGAGATCGCCCGCGCAGCATACGATGAAGGTCGCGTCCGCCTCGCAACCGAGCTGCTGAACTACGAGCCCAGAGCCGGAAAACAAGTCCCCCTCCTGCTCGACATGAAAGAAGACAACATCGCCCTTGACAAAGCTATAGAGAGCGGCGACACCGACCTCGTCTACCATGTCCTACTATACCTTCGGAAAAAGCTCCCCCTCGCATCCTTCTTCCGCGTCATCAATAGCCGCCCCGTCGCCTCCGCCCTCGTCGAGTCCAGCGCCTCCGACCAGGACCACGAACTCCTCAAGGACCTTTACTACCAAGACGACCGCCGCCTTGACGGCTCGAATCTGCTCCTCGCACAGGCCCTCGCTGCACCCTCCGTTCCATCTGCTATCGATAAGCTCAAATCCGCATCCACGTACTTGAGGGATAGTCGTGACGCACCAGCCACCTTCCAGCGCCAGGCCCTTGAGGACGCGCAGAAACTGCTTCGTCTCCAAGAGCAGTTCGAAAAGGACCTCGGGCCCCGCGACGGCGCGGCGACGTCCCCCGGCGCCAGTGCTGCGAGCGCCTTCGTAGGGCTTTCCGCGCACGCCACCATCTCCGCGCTCCTGCGCCAAGGCCACACCAAGCGCGCACAAAAGGTCGTCTCTGAGTTCAAGATACCCGAGAAGACGTTCGCGTGGCTGCGGCTCCGCGCGCTCGTCGCGGAGCGGCACTGGAACGAGCTTGAAGAAATCTCTAAGCAGAAGAAGAGTCCGATTGGGTGGGAGCCGTACTTCAATGAGATACTAGGCGCTGGGAGTACGCGGGTGGCGAGCGTTTTCATTCCGAAGTGTACGGGATTGAGTGTGGCGGAGCGCGTCGAGATGTGGATGAAGTGCGGGCTTGTGGTAAGGGCCGGGGAGGAGGCGAGTAAGGCGAAGGATCGGGGGTTGTTGGAGGAGGTGAGTGCGCGGGCGAGCGGGAGTGCGAAGGTCGAGGTTGAGAGAATGTTGGGGATGATGGGGAAGCGGTAGGGAGATGCATAGATGTATAATGGATGGATCGATGGATGGGAGTCCTGAAGGGTTCCGAAGGCGCAGACGCGCAATGTTGTACAGGTCTATACACAACGTTTTTCTCTACATCTACCTTAACCGCTCCAGCGCCTCGGCCACCTTCTCTCGTACACCCTGCTTCCCTTCGTACTTCTCCAGCAGCGTTGCCACCACATCCTCGTGCGACTTGCCGCTCGCCTCGCTCCAGATCTCGTCGTCCTTGGGCAGGCCAATCCACGCATGCGGATATTGGTCGTAGTTCGCGTTGCTCAGCAGTGTGAGTCCCTGCTTGCCCTCAGGCCGCGTAAAGAACTTATGCACATCCGCCTCGGAAACATCTTCAAGCTTGTTCGGTTCCCAGTTCGGGCGCTCCTTCTTGCGCTCAATCAGGCGCGCGGTCACGCCCTCGACGAAGTCCGGGTGCGCCATGAAGTGCGTCGCGATATCGTGCTCGCGCTGGAAGGTCTCGGCGATGGACCAGCGGCGGCCGACGCGCATCTGCTGGAGGGCGACAGCAACGGCGATGGGGGACCGCGTGTGCAGCGTATCGATTGTCTTCTTAGCCCATGTCTTGAGGTCTTCGGTTGCGCCATTGTCGCGAACGTCGGCGAGGGACTCGAGAATAGATGCGATGCTGGGCTGGTCGCGGTGGAAAACCTTGTCGATTGTCTGGCGGAGGGCGCCTGATATGTGCGGGCGCGACGAGGGGAGACCAGTAGCGTACTCCTCGATGGTCGCATTGATGATCTTGAAGCGCGCCTGCAGGTCCATATAGTCTGGGAACTGGAGCTCCGCGAGACGCGCTTCGAGAGCCTGGAGAGTGGAGCTGTGCACGTAGTGCGTTGCGACACCGTGGTAGAAGGCGTCAGCGCCCTTGAGCTGCTCGCTCGTGAGCGCGAGGTAGGTGCCCAGACCGCCCTCCATGCGCGGGAGGAAGAAGGACGCGCCAACGTCTGGGAAGAAGCCGATGGTGGTTTCGGGCATGGCGAAGAGGGTGTTCTCGGTTGCGATGCGGAAGGGCGCGTGGATCGAGAGGCCTACGCCGCCGCCCATGGTGATGCCGTCCATGAAGGCGACGTAAGGCTTCGTGTAGGTTGCGATCATATGGTCGAGCTTGTACTCGAGGGCAAAGTAGTCGGCGCTTCGCTGCTGGCCTTCCTCGCCCGTCTTGTTCCACTTGGCGAGCAAGGCGACGTCGCCGCCGGCACAGAAGGCTCGGCCTGAACCCTTGATGACGACAACACCGGCCAATTCAGACTTTGCCCACTCTTGCAGCCGCGGAATGATTTTGCGGGCCATGGACCCATCGAGAGAGTTGAGCTTCTTAGGCCGGTTGAGCTCGATGGAGCGGACGCCGTAGTTGTTTGTGAAGATGACATCGTCCGGGTCGTCGCCTTTTTGCCGGGCTAGGAGGTCGTGTGGTTGCGCCGCTGGAGCGGCGTCTTCTGAGGGAGAAGAGTACTGCATTGTGGTTAGATGCGGCGAGGAGACCGCGAACAGCCGAACGGAGAAGCTGCGGGGAGCGTACCTGTCGACTTGCGCTCAGCATAGCAGGGTTTGTGATCTTTGCGCGCAAAGGCATGGTGCAGGTCGTCGTCCGTGAGGCCCAGTTCAGCGACGTGGCTGTCCGTCTGATCGATGTGCGGAGCGACATGGCGGGCGCTGGTTGTGAGAAGCTGTGCAGAGAGAGACTGCCGACAGACCTCGGGTGTCCGTTCGAATGCGATTCGAGATGTTGCAAGCTCAATTGGCTTACGATGGAAGGAGTGACTGCAAATAATGTACAATGGGACGCCGGACAGAGAGAGTGATCACCACGGGAAAGCTTTCCCGCCTCTTGCGATTTTCCAGAAGCTCTGTCGATGCGCGGCAGGGTGGAGCTCGTGCTCGGGCTGCACGTGACAGCGTACGACAAAATCTTGGACTCGCGCTAGCAAATGTCGAGTGCATTGCCATCCAACCGCCTCCCAAGGAGCACCTCTGCAACCTCGCGCCTCCCATCCCAATCGCGCCTTCTTTCATTTTCCTTGTCTTGGTACGGATACGCATTCTTTTAATTGGAGCCTGCAACCACAGCCATGTCGTCCTTCTCGCGCGCTTTCATGCGCACCTCGCGGTGTGCTCTGCGATACCAGAGGGGCGTAAACCCCGTTCAGCAAGCATGGAGCGGAAACCAGGTCAGGAACTATGCTGCGGCCTTCTCCCGTGACAAGCCGCACGTCAACATCGGTATGCCATCGCCGTGAAGCTCGCCGAAGCTTCCTGAACTTTTGCTGATTACCGCAGGTACTATTGGTCACGTCGATCACGGCAAGGCACGATTCCCGAGCTCGTCATTTACCCCGTCGCTGTACTAATTAGACGATAGACCACCCTCACAGCTGCCATCACCAAGCGCCAGGCTGAGAAGGGCTACGCAAAGTTCCTCGAATACGGCTCCATCGACAAGGCCCCTGAAGAGCGAAAGCGCGGTATCACCATCTCCACGGCACACATCGAGTACTCGACCGACAACAGGCATTATGCCCACGTCGACTGCCCCGGTCACGCCGATTACATCAAGAACATGATCACGGGTGCGGCCAACATGGACGGCGCCATCATCGTCGTTGCCGCCTCCGACGGACAGATGCCCCAGACCCGTGAGCACTTGCTGCTCGCCCGCCAGGTCGGTGTCCAGAAGATCGTCGTCTTCGTGAACAAGGTGGATGCTATCGAGGACAAGGAGATGTTGGAACTCGTCGAAATGGAGATGCGCGAGCTGCTCACCTCGTACGGCTTCGAGGGCGACGAGACGCCCATCGTCATGGGCTCGGCGCTATGCGCTCTTGAGGGCCGCGAGCCCGAGATCGGCGAGAAGAAGATCGACGAGCTCCTCGAGCAGGTCGACACCTGGATCCCCACACCCCAGCGTGAGACTGAGAAGCCGTTCCTCATGGCCGTCGAAGACGTTTTCTCCATTGCCGGTCGCGGAACCGTCTGCTCTGGCCGTGTCGAGCGCGGTATCCTGAAGAAGGACTCCGAAGTCGAGCTCGTCGGCAAGGGTGTCGCCCCCATCAAGACCAAGGTCACCGACATCGAGACCTTCAAGAAGTCCTGCGACGAGTCGCGCGCCGGTGACAACTCTGGTCTCCTCCTCCGTGGTGTCAAGCGCGAGGACGTCCGCCGCGGCATGGTCGTCGCCATCCCCGGAACCGTCAAGGCGCACAAGAAGTTCCTCGTCTCCATGTACGTGCTGAGCAAGGAGGAAGGTGGCCGTCACACCGGCTTCGGCGAGAACTACAGGCCCCAGATGTTCATCCGAACGGCCGACGAGAGCTGTGCGCTCACCTGGCCCGAGGGCGTCGAGAAGGACAAGCAAATCATGCCCGGCGACAACGTCGAGATGGTCTGCGAGCTGCACCAACCGCACGTGCTTGAGGCTGGCCAGCGCTTCAACATGCGCGAGGGTGGCCGCACCGTCGCCACCGGTCTTGTCACCCGTGTCCTGGAGTGATTATAATACCAAGGGAAGGGGCACTGTAAGATGTTTGAGATTACTTGTACACCATTTCCGGCGCTTTTGTTCATGGCTCATGTACTACCCCTACTCTCCTCTTCTGCCCATGTCTTTTCTCACATGTAACATCACATTGTCGCGAACGGGTCGGTAGGAAAATAGACTATGGATCGGCGTCGAGCGTACGCTTTGCATGTAGGAAGAGTAGGATGAGAGATTCGAGAAACATAATGACTATTTTTGCTGTGCCTCGATATTCAGTGTGTTGTGCAAGGTACCTGATCCCTGAGTATCGCCTTCGTTCATGAGCAGGGCAACGGTTCGAGGGCTCAGAAACCCCAACCCTAATCCTACTAGGGTTCCCCAAGCCCCAATTTCACTTCTCACCACCTATAACAATGTGGCTTCTACTCATGTGCTTTTCATATGTCTACATACTCTCTGATAGTATTACTTGACCTACTATTTTCTTACAGGGGCTAAGCTTATGCCAGGAGAGCCTTCTCTACACCGCGAGGAACCCCTAACCCTCGTAGGATTTGGGTTATCCACTGTTACATTTCGCAACAAGCATAACTAAGGAGCGGTCATATCCTTACCATGTCTCCTTCCGGGTCATTACGCTTTTCCTGACTTTTCTCTCCTAGAGAAATAAATGCTCACTTATCTATCCTCAAGATAACTACTCTTTTACATCCCTCAGACTCAACTTCTGGTCGCATCCTTCCAGTGCGGTATGCATTCTACGCTCGCTAGCGCCTGTCCCTCTTCTTATAGTAGCTTCAGCGCCTCCATCCTATCCGCAAGGTCACAATTTAGCGTTGATTTTCGCAGTAGGGTCTGCATTTAACTTTCCTATTTTTCAATCAGTACCTGCGCCCCCTTCAAAAATACTTGTTTTACTCATCTATTACGTCTATCACCTTTATTGCAACCTCATCCATCGCTCCTTGCGTGGCTATCCGTTCTAACTGCGTCCCTTTGAATACAGTGTGATCCCTCTCCCATCCGCCCTTCACCCACCGCACCCCCATCCTGACCAACTCCCGGCCCCTTCTCCTGGTCTCAGCATCGACATCCCCGCGCCCGGGCGGCCCGCGACTCCACCAGTTGACCACGAAGACCCCGGTCTGAATAAGAGTGCGCCATTTCATGTCCTCGCTGAAGGATCCATACCCGGCGAGGAAAGCGGTGAGTAGGGGTTCAATGGAAGTCAGCGGGGACGGAGAGATGTAGTAGATTTCGAGAAGAGAGCCAAGGAAGGAGGAGAGGTCGGTGGAGAGGGGTGCGAGGTGAGAGAATTCGAAGTCGATGACGTGGAGCTGTAGGCTTCTGGTTTCATCTGGGTTGGGGAGGGGAGTGGGCATTAGAATACTGCATGGTGTCAGCAAACTCTATTCGTTCCCGCAAAAAGGCGAAGGCTCGTCTCAAGAAAATCGCAGAATCAAGAAGAGTCAAGGAGCGATCATGCGACAAGACGGACACACGTACTTCCCCACCCAGAAATCCCCATGCACGACTCCCCTTTGTAACACGCCCGGGCTCTGCTTCTCTTGCCACACCCTGTCCCTCGCAGCATACCACGCCCCTCTCTCTTCTTCTCCCACTACATCTCCCAGCCTATCCAATACCCCCGTGCCCTGTACCCATGTCAGTTTCCACTTTAATTTAACCTCCTCCTCATTCCCACCCAACACTTCCTTCAGCCCAGCCTGCTCCTCACACCAGGTGTGAAACCGCTTCAACCACGTCCCCAGCGCACGGCCCATGCAGTCTGCCTCAGCGCTGCTTAGGGATTCGAGAGCCGTATGAAGCGGGGCCGCGGAGGGGATGTATTGGATGACGAGCATCCTAGCGCGATCATCATAGAAGTAGACTTCCGGCACTTGCACGTCAGCCCCTTCCCCCCTATTCTTGTCCTCGGGGAGTTTGACTCCGTGAAACCCACTCAGCGCACCCAGCATCGCAGCCTCGTACGCGACCCTCCCTGCATCCACGAGAAACTCGGTATGACACGATGCGAATGGCGCTGCGTGCTTTACGATGACGCGTTCCTCGGTTCTTTGGGCGCCGGAGGGGGGAGTGAGGACTAGAGGCGTGGCGAGCACGCCAAGGAAGACGAAGGAGGTTGTGCCGCCGGGAAGTTGGGTGAGGGAGGTGCAGGCGTAGGGCGTGGGGGCGAGAAGGGTACGCAGGTCGTCAGTGAGGATCGAAAGGGCGGGGCTGGGGAGAGGTGGCATTTGGGCGGTGCTAGTGGGGTGTGTCTATGCACGGCTGGAGTTGAAGTTGAAGTTGAAGTTGAAGTTGAAGTTGAAGTTGAAGTTGAAGTTGGGCTGGAAATCCCGAATCCAACGTTAGTCACGGTATCCATGTTCCCAGGCGTAGCTGCTGCGTGCGAGTTTGTGAAATGCAGCGAGTGACTTGGGTGAGTCACGGCTCTGGGCACATCGTTCACTGATGTAAGATCGCACGTGCAGCCTGCACACGTCGCAACCGAGAATTGCATTCCTCGGACATGTTGAGTCGGCGAGTCCGAGGAACCGGTGTGGGACGTGAGCCCATTGGGGGCTTGCCATACCGGACGTTAAGGTGCACGTTGCATGGCTCATAAGGCAGCGGATAAGAAGATACGTCCATTGCCTGTAAACCGGAGCATGGCATCTACTCACTGGCTTGGTGGAAGTCGCTCGACACATGATTGGGCGAAGGGAGGCGCGAAACAGGGCCCGTTTCTCAACGTCTGTCGACTACGTCCACCAATCAACGGCATGCGCGCACGGAGCATTGGCCAAACCTCCGACCGCGATGCGGGTGCACGACGCGCTTTGGTCGCGCCGCAGCCTCGCCCCTCTTCTCCGCCTGGAGCCATCCACAGCATGCAATCGTAACCCCGAGGCTCCAAAATGCCCGTTCCCGAGCTCGATGTGCTCCGACCGACCAACCCCGCCAGCGACTCGGAGGACTACTTCGTGCTGAGCAACGCATGCGTCGTCCACGAGAGCAATGGCAAGCCCGCCAGCCTGCTGTCTGCCTACGCAGATGTCCCGTTGCGCGTCGAAGGGAGGCTCGAGCCGCCGCACCGCAGTATGGCCAGATGCCGTGCGTACCCATCCGCTGCTCATCCATTGCTCCGCTCGGTCGCTTTCTTCCAGGACGGAGCTGTGCTGACTTGGCAACGCAGTGGTGAAGAGGCCCTACAAGCCCGTCGACATCGTGATCCGCAAGGTCTCGCGCTTCTCCTACGGCCTACAGGGCGACACAGTCGTAGTATGGGCCATGGGCGAGGCTGGATGGTTTGAGCTGCGACCGGCACGCCATTACAAGGCTATCTTCGACAGCATGACCCAGGCCGTGGAGCTGCTCTACTTCTTGGCGGATATATACAGCGAGCCGCGCAAGAGGGGCGGCGGGCCAAACGCACGATTGATATTCCAGGAGTACGCCGAAGACGAGCGGTTTGCGTGCAACGATGTTGCAAGCGCCGAGGAAATATTTCAAAAGCACCACCAGTTCCTCATGATGCGATTTTTGCACCGAGCAGAGGACATTGGGTGGAGCAACACGCCAATATACCAATACTTCAAGAGACAGTATCCCGTAGGTCGCACCTGCCTCAACCGTGCACCACATTATTGATTATCTGCAGAAAGTATTCGAGTCCGTAAAAGCGCGGAAAGAGGGTCGCTACGACAAAGTCCCGAAAGAGTCACATTCCACAAAGCCTACAGCAACACCAACAGCGCAGCCGTCCCGCTCTACTCGGAGCCGATCACACGCGGAGAAGCCTGCCGCGGCACCGAAAAAAGACGATAATTGGTGGGAATCGGCTGCCATATACGAATTTATACGGAGCGCCGTCAACAAGCGTGTGCTGCGACCAGGACGTGACCAGATCACCGTCGATCGCGTCGCAGAGCTCATGACGAAGCGTTATGAGATAGAGGAGGCAGACATAGCGCGTAACGTGCTTTTTGTGCATGCGAGGAACTTGTGCTATAAAATGGACCACCCACGGAGCAAAAGCGCCAGTTTTCTTGCGGATGAGCCCATCTATCGAGAACTCGACATGGGACATGATCTCCCAGCTGCAGACATCCGAAAAGCGCAAGCCGTGGAGCTCCGACCAAGGAAAGATCACGCACCGCTTGAAAGGGCGGACTCGGACACCTCATCAGATTCTGAGCCGATAGAAAATGTTGTGGTCACGCCACAGCGACGACCAGATGGCAGAAAGAAGAGAGGTCGGCTTTCTGTCTTGCGGCCAAAGAGCGGCAAGTTCTCCGGCAAAGGAAAGACCGTACAATCGAGGAAAGCACCAGGTTTGGAGGATAACTCGAGCGAAGTCGCAGACTCGAGTGCAGCGTCTGAAGATGAAGAAGCAGAGAGTGACAGCGAGGGCGTCGCGGATATAGAAATCGACACCCCAACACACGCATCATCATCCAGTCGCGAAAAGCGCAAATTACCCAGCAACGAAAATCATGAAGAAGGAGAAGACGGACCACGAAAACGCGCAGCTTCCTCATCCATCTCACCCGAATCGATCCCAACCACCTCAGACTCAGACACAGAAGCCGCAGCGGAGGCAGACAACGAAGCACCACTGCCCCTACGGAAACGCCCGAACCAAACCCTAACGAACGGCAAGCACCCCGAAACCCAGCTAAAATCAAACCTCATCGCCCCGATCGTTTCCACGCCCCTGCCCACCTATGAAGCAAATGGGCCTAGAGATTCCTGGATCTGCACATTCGACGGCTGCCATCAGAGGGTGTACGGCGCATCGAAACCAATTGGGCGGCAGTTGATTACTGAACATCTGGAAGACCATGCGAAAGGGCGCCAGCAGGTTGTTGGCGTTGTGTGGAGGGAGAATCAGAAGCTGGCGCTGCCTGTGAAGTGAGTTGTTTTTAGTTAGGTTGTGAATTGCATAGTGGCTGACGGACGCAGTAATCTCCTAAAGAAGATACGCGAAATGAGCGAGTCTCACGCTCCCCTGTTCCCTTCGCTGGGTCCGAGCAATTCGGCGATTTCCCCGGAGCCGATAAGGAGAATCTTGTAAGGCGTGGGCGCTTGTGCGGTCTGCTTTTTTTTTTTTTTTTTAAGCGGCCAGGCGTGATGTTGTGATGATTATGGCGTCCATTGCATACCCATTTCTTCTTTGTGATTTATTCATTGGACCATTGGTGACGGCTGTTACGGTCATATCGATTTGCCTGGACACAGACAGGACGGCATTCTTAGGTTGGAATGGTTCGCCGAGGCTTCGGCTGGATATGTCCACTATGCGAACGTCGAATGTCATCAATTTTGAAAGTTACCATTACCAGGACTCGAGGCCGCCATCTATTCTAAGGTATTTGGTAAATTGTTGGCCCTCCGCGCGCTCGACATTTGCCTAGTCTGTGAGGTAGTCGGCTAAACCCTATCGTAGCTGTCAGGGAAATGCGCTCAAGATGTGGCCGCAACATCATTTACGCTCAGGGTGAGTCACGGGGAGGATACCTGGCTAGCCAGTTGCGATAGATTATGTTGCGCGATGAAAATAGTTGGGATTACATTGCAGCCAAAGGGTAACAGTTGTCCAAGCCTCGCCTCCGCGGACGGAATTCAGGCTCGTGCAGCTAGCCTGACGAAGGCGCGCTGATGCGGCTCACCCCAAGACAGAAAGAAGCCCCGGGCTTTCTTGCGCAAGAGCTAGGAAAATGCTATATCTCTATTCCGGTCTATATTCTATGTTCTATGACAAGATCGGCCGCGTATCGGGGATCACTCGAAAGCCACCATCATCCCTCTCTGCCATGGCGCGCTGTTTGTCTCGATTAGTATCAACAAGACTCCTGTTGAGGGACATGGTGTGGTCGTACCTGCTCTGAAGCCTCCTTCGCGTCGGCCTTCCTTTTCTTTCTTCTCCATATGATAACTGCGACAGTAAAGAACATGGCCAGTCCGGCTGCACTGGAATTAGCAGACAGTTGATCTCGCCAACGGGCTACACTCACCAACAACACTGAAAGCAATCACCGGTATCTTCGCACCTGGAGGAAGAATACCAGCTCTTTGTGATTGTGGCTTTGGGGGTCCCAGCGTCTCAGCCGCTGGTGCTGGTAGAGCTGTTGATGTCGGCACGACTTGCGGTGCTGTGACGGTCACTATCTCGGGGGTAGCAGAGAGGAAGACCGTGCGAGTCGGTTTTGGCGTCTCTTCCTTCTCTTGAAACGACTTGGTCACGGTTATGAAGGTTGTCCTTGTCGGGGACACGCGTTTTGTGGTGGCTGATATTGGCTGAAGCGTAGTTGTCGGTTGCTGGATTGTCGTTCGGCGTGGGCTCGAACTTGAGAGCACAGAGATGCTTGAGGGTACCAATAGAGAAGTACCTCCGGCACGAGAAAGACTGCTCTGTTCAAGACCTGGTTGAGATGTGGGACGCGCAGCGTCCGTCGTCGTTAGAAGCGATGGGGGCTTTGGAGATGAGGTTGATCTGTTTCGACCGTCGTCATCGTCGTCTAGTCTTCTTTCGAGCTTTGGGATCTGAATGGGTGAAGGCCGACGCCTGCGGCTCAACGCGAAATCCATTGCGAACAAGGCTGACCGAGGAAAGCGGGAGTGCGGGAGAGGAGCTGAAGGCTAGAAGAAAGCAGGACAATTCAAAATGCAAAACCCTTGAAGACTGAGGTTTAACCGACTTGCATACGCAAACCTCTTCGCGCCTCAAACTACTAACCGAGTTAGCGGGTACATTCTAGACACCGCATTTGTTTTAGATACCTGTTTCAACCCCTGCGACCAATTGTATAAGTCTGATTACCATCCAAACCCATCAAGCTTTTTTGTTTCTGGTCTCGGCGGCCTGTTGCTCCGAAACAAGGAGGTACGCTAGAAGCGTTACACGTCTCGAGTGTCCACATTCGCTCCTAATACCCGTTTCGGAAGCAGGTGCGTGTACTCACTCATGGATAATATCGTTTGGTATTAATTTTAGCTGTAAAGCTTAATCCCATTCAGTGTCCTAAAAGCCTTTCTTGCGATCCCTCGTACCCTTTCCCATTATTGCTCAAACTTACATTCAATCATGTCATATCGAAATTCCTGGATAGATGTCCGTCGAAGAGCATCTCGCCGCTTCACCACTCTCGAAGGATGGCGCGAAATCGGCACAGGGCTCTACGTCGTGGGCGCTTCCCGTGTTCGCGTCTTCTCTATCCAGCACCAATTTGATGCCGACAATTACTATGATGATCGCACATCGTGGACACGACCGTCAGTCAGCCTCCAGTCCTGGAACAGTCCAGATCGTCCCGTTTCAATCGAGCAAAGCGAGTACAGTGAGCCTGGAGAAATGGAAAAGAGGGTCTCAGTAGTTCCGGAACCGCCCTATCACGTTTTCTCGAAGAAGGAAAAGTGGACATTGGTGATCATGATTGGAGTTGCGGGGCTCTTCTCGGGTCTTTCTTCGAATATCTATTTCCCGGCTCTTGATGCGATAGCACAGGTGAGAAAATCTTCGAGCAGGAGCCTGTTCGACATTCGTTGACCTTTGTAGGACCTGAAAGTCAGCCTCAACGCAGTCTCGCTGACCATCACATCGTATTTGATCATCCAAGGCATATCTCCGTTGTTTTGGGGCTCACTATCTGATACCTTGGGACGAAGACCGATATACATTTACTCGTTCTTGACGTATATCATCGCCAATATAGGGCTCAGCTTTTCTCCGAATTTTGCGTTGCTGTTGATTTTTAGAGGGTTGCAATCCGCAGGAAGTGCCTCGACTGTAAGCATCGGTAGGTCCGCGCTGACTCCACTTACTGGTCTGATATTGACAAAATACAGGAAACGGCGTTATTCAGGACATCACCCCACCCGCGGAGAGGGGGGGATTCATCAGTTTCTATCAAGCTAGTAAGGCTTTGTTCCTGCTCTTCCAAATGAGGTCAACCACTAACTGCAATAATCAAGTCCGAAACTTCAGCATAGCCGTAGGCCCAGTCCTAGGAGGCCTGCTAGCCACTTTCTTTGGATTCAGGTGCGTCGACCCGTTCCCCGATGGTGAATAGGGATCACATGTTGATAAGCCGCTTGGGCAGATCCATCTTTATATTCCTCCTAATCCTTTCGTCACTGGTCACTATCGCCATCATCATCTTCCTCCCCGAGACACTGCGTAGCATCGCTGGAAATGGCTCTCTTCGCCTCGCGGGCATTCACCAGCCACTTATTCGCCGCTTCACGAAAGACCCACCATATATCCGTGATCGCGATGACACATATTCGTCTCCTAAAGTGACACTGAAGACATTTATTGAGCCGCTGCTCCTCTTGAAGGAGAAAGATATCTTGCTGAGTCTGATTTTCGGCGGGACGATCTATGCCATATGGAGCATGGTAACTTCCAGTACTACGGGCCTTTTCAAACAAGTATTCCATCTCAACGAGCTCCAGCTCGGCCTCGCATTTCTTCCAAACGGTACGTCAACCTTCCTCTTTCATCTTGTAATTCGTCCCAACTGATTTGCCTTATCAAGGCCTAGGGACAATTGTCGGTTCCACTATCATTGGAAACCTCATGAACCAGGCGTATCGCGCCGCCGAGGAAGACTATCGAACTTCCCATGGCCTCCCAGCTTCCTACAGCCTGCCCAAGAAGGCACTGCCAGCAGACTTCCCCATCGAGCACGCCCGCCTCAAACACACAAAATGGATAACAGCCCTTTTTGTCATCAGTACTTCTCTCTATGGCTTCTCGCTGTCCGTCCCCGCTGTCACCTCCCTTCCTGGCTGGATCGTGGTGCCCTTGCTCCTTCAATTCTTCATTGCCGCTACATCAAACGCAGTTTTCGCAACAAATCAGACCTTGGTGTCAGATCTTTGTCCTGGCAAGGGTGCCTCGAGCACCGCAATTAATAACCTGGTCAGGTGTTCTATGGCAGCTGTCGCTGTAGCGATCGTCGAGCAGCTGATTGCGGGTATGGGGGCTGGTGGGGCCTTTTTGGTTCTTGGCTTGGTTACACTGGCCGTCGTGCCGCTGCTTGTGGTGCAGTGGTATTGGGGTCCGACCTGGAGGAGGGAGAGGATGGAGAGTAAGGCAAAGGGCGTCGGCGCCTAAAGCCCTGGGCATGCGCTCGGCTGCGTACAATCTAGGGTGCAACAAGCGGTCAGATACGTAAGGCAAAAAGCTAGTCATGTGAAATATCATAGGCTTGAACTCTAGACACAAATTCCTCTCACTTGCAGTTGGCCATGGGCGATATCCAATCCGGAAAGTGAAGGCTCCGGGCGCCTTAATTCTTCCCAATCTGGCGATCGTACACCCTCGCTTCCCTCTTAACTCGTCCCTGCGCATCCTCGCTCTCTCTCCCTGCACCTGCGCAGCCTCCAAACAGTATTCTCCTCCAGATGACCCCCTTCCGATAAGACGCTATTTACCTGCCACCAGCTTCCATAGTCTGAGATACTTGTTCCTTGCCCTCCATGTGCCGTGGCTAGCGACAATTCATACTCGTATGCGCGGACTGGTGCTTTCGACATTCCTTAGATTGTGATACGTGTGAGAATGAAATGCCGGAGTGATTTTAGGATGGAAGCGAGTAGAGCGAGGCTCACTGCTCGAGTCATATGCGGTTGACGGGTGAAATTGGACATCGGGGAAGTGTGGGGACACCAGATGCTGCCAGGCGAGCTTCTGGGCATGCGGAAAGAGAGTGGAGAGATTTCTGAAGATATAGCTATTTGTTCTGTAGCTGTGTAGAGGTTAACCCCGGCTGAAGTTCATCTGCTATCGCGACCAAGTGCGCCTAACGACGCAAAATATGGCTATGGAATGAGCAGCAACAATATACGATGATGATCAGTAGCCAGTTCAGGAAGAATTCGAGCCTAGAGTTACTATCAGGATAGAGGATGTGAAGATGGGCGAAATGATCTACCAGTAGCCCCAGTAGTTTTAGAAATAGCAGTTGTATAGAATGCCCCGCTTTTTAGCTGACAGTCGGAGGAAATAGACAGCCGACACCACGAGCCGTTAATCGCCCTGTATTGCAATGTCAGCTGGAAAAGAAATATTCAATCTCAGACCACCTACGAGGCATAGAGAAGCCCTGGTGGAAAGTGGCGAGTGATAGATGAGCGGCATCTGTGCACTGTACACACTCCATAATAGTCTATAAGAGTTTGCAAGCGTCAACCTGAACGAACCAAACGCGTCTTGTGACAACGTGGGCAACTGGATAGAGGAAGTAAAGTATGTGATCATTTTAGAGTATCTAATTACCATTAGCCACACCATGGATCACTGTAAATTCCAGCACTATGAAAGCAATATAAGCGATCAGCATCCCAAATCCAATCCACCGACAAAATCTTCCGCCAAACCAGACTGTCACGGTGAACGCAAGCGTTGAACACCACAATACCCCTAGTTCCGGGATGCTTACGTTGCCTCGTTCAAACTTCCCCGAGGTATCAAGCATGACGATTCCAGAGCACAGTGCGAGCAGGAATATATTACTGCCGGCTGTATTCGCGACGAGAATGCCAGCATGGCCTCGGTGCCCGCTCATCACAGCGACAAACTTTTCGGGAAGAGTTGTGGCGATTGCGAGAATGACGACACCAAAAAGCACATCCGAAATACCGAATTCATCGATAATGTTGATGGCGGCGTGAGAGAGTACGTAGCCAGCAAGACAGATAGCGAGGAAACCGAGGAACAGGTAGAATAGATGGTAACGTAAGGTGCGGCGCTTCCTGTGACTTGTCCCAGGCGGTCTTAGAGTTATTGAGCTGGCATCTGGATTCGTTTGTTCATTTGGCTCGACTCGAGCCGGTCCGCTCGTTTCATCTTCATATCGATCTGCGCCGGCGGGGATCCTCTCTGCGATATCAGTTGTGCTTTCCCCGTCACTGCTCTCATCGTCGCTGCTACCGTCGCTTTCGGAGTCCTCTGGAGCAGTCAGAGTCCCTTTACTGATTGCCCACCCCACGGACCCAATGTAGATGGCGAAGAATACGATTAAGATGGAGCCGCAAACTAGCCATATTGTCCTCGTTGAAAAATATGTGATGGGCGCTACGAAGGTGGTTAAGACGAGCAGGACGAGCGAATATATCCGCGAGCTTCGGTCGAAGTGAATCGGCTTGTGCTTGTCGTGGAACAAGAGGCCGAGGGAAAATGCGCCTAGGATGTTCGAGATAGCGGAGCCAACGATGTTGCCAATGGCTAGAGACGCGCGATTGCTTGCGAGTGATGCAATAACAACAGCGAGCTATGACGTCAAGGGAAATTAGAAGTGGACTGATGGTAATCGGCTGCAGGGGCGCGACTACAAACATACCTCTTCCCACTCTCCTCCAGCAGTAACCAGGCCAATAACGGTTTCAGGAATGTTAATGCGATAAGCAACAACAGCAGTATGGTCAATGAATTTATCTGCGCCAAATTCTAACAGAAAGAGGGTGGCAATAAAGGCGGCGATGTTATAAGCGACGACGTCAGCGTTGGCCATGGCTGGTTCGAGATTGTTAAGATCCCAGATTGATAGCTGCTCTTGATTTATACTATAGCTTGGCACGCTATCGTATGTGTAGCGTCGCGCTATACGCAACCCCAGTATAATCACTCCGCCACTAATATGAGGCTGTAGAGACAGCCATAGATAGTAATATTATAGAATCTTCTAGAGGTAAGGTCTCTAAGGCCTACGAATAACTACAAGTTATTTAGATTATTAATATCTAGGAAAGGTTTTACTGGTTTAACTCGTAAGCCACTAGCAGCTCCATTGGGTGTGGCGCGAAGATCTACGCATGGCTGTCACTTGGGGCAGTGTTAAATCCAGAAGGGTAGCTAGTCCTAAAGGGTTAAGGTTGGTTCTCGGGCAAGACAACTGAGGGGAAGGGAAGGGGTATGGTAGTATCTGGCGAAGTGTAACGAGTCAACAATATGGCCTAAGTGTAATCCAAACGATAGATTGATAAACAGGTTGAACACGAGTATGGAAGTCCATCCTCGGATTCCTATATAGTTGGGTTGCTCAGTTGCTCAGTCAAGCTGAGCAGCTGATCATATCACGTGATTGCCCTAGACCTCGTGGCTCGGCATCTGTCGTGATCTCAATCCCGGCCCTCCAGCTGCCTCAAGCGCCCATCCATCCATCTCACGTTCTGGTTCGTAACAGGCAGTACTTCTGAACCGAGTAGCTACTAATCTGGGCTCCTACGGCAAGACCTCGGCACGTCTAATATGGCTGATGCTGTATCGTAACACGTACTGACCTGCCCCCTGCGCGCCGATGGCGGCCATGAAATAGACATTGGACCTATAGCTGCGTGGCTGTGTGGCTGTGCGGCTGTGCGGCTGTGCGACATCTCCGGCTCGGATTGGGAGCAGGGAGCGTATAACTCATGCCAACGAACACACCCAGCACCCAAACCGCAATCAGCTCCGACATAGCGGAACTTCGAGACACTATACAATAGACGATCATAGCTAACGCTTCCATTCCATAGAGATAAACCATCGCGCCGCCCGCCGTTGATCTTTCGTCTGATCCACCACGTCGTCCTTCTCGTGCACATCGCAACCGATATATACACCAAGCAGTAGCCGAATATCGCTTCAGCTCGTTGGAAAGGAACACTATAAGTCGGCTGGCGTCTGAAGAGTAGGTGGGCAGGGCCGGGAACAGAGATCAACTGGCATGATACTCCGTGGTCGAAAACCTTGTATGATCGAACAAGAATTACCTAAACCTAATCGGAACTGCCTCTAAGAAAACAAAGCCACAAGTGAAAGGCAAATTACTCAACGATATCACAATTCTTAGTCTACCACGAGTCTGTCCGACGCGACAACGAGTTCCTCAACTCTTAGCCACTCAACGCACATGCAAGTCATCGCAGCTCAGTGACACAATTGGAAACAGAGCATATCGCCCCAATGACGGCACAAGAACGATAAAATTACGAGCCGCTTAAACCAGGTTACATTAGGATACTATACTTTGAAGGCGACAATGCGGAGAGTCAAATCAGAATTCGAATGAGTCCTGTTTGGCTCAGAGGTCTCGGCACCTCTTTCGCAGCACTGTCGTATGCCTGGGGTAACCGCGAAAAGTCGCGATTCGTCTCTGTTAATGGACTTGCTCTGGCCGTGACTGAGAGTCTTTACCTCGCCCTGCTTCACATGAAACGGCGGAAACGAAACTAAATAACTTGTACATGCGTCCGGCTCTTTGGGCTGACGCGATTTGTATAAATCAAGATGACGATCAGGAGAAAACTTTGCAAGTGGCGATGATGGTGGAAATATATCATGCAGCGTCGAAAGTCAGCATATGGCTCGAACCGGACGACAGAGGCAAAGCAAAAGCAGCAGTCAACACACCTTAGGCCGTCGATAAACTGCTTGCCACGCATATCAAAGGATATTGTTCTGTCGCAGCTTCGCCGAACGGACTAGGGCAATGCGACATATCTCACGAGGCCAGTGGGGCCATCTCTGACATAAACCTTCAACCTTTGTGGCCAATCTTCTGTCATAAATGGTTCTCAAGGTTATGGGTGGTTCAAGAGACTGTATGCAGCCGTAATCCGAGAGTCTGGTTTGGCACTTTCTCGACAGAATGGGAGCTGCTCGCCTGTGTCGCCGCTGCACTGGTATCTATGGACGTACTTCACGACTATCATGATCCACCCTGCTACGAGATCGACTACGTTATCGCTATAAATGCGATAAGGAGGAACCGTATCCTGCTCGTGTCCACTCCTTCCACTGCTGGTCTGCTCGAACTGATCAACACAACCACCGTTTTCGAGGTTGGTGATCCTAGAGACAAAGCCTTCACTCTTTGGAGTATGGTGTACCAGGATGGGCTTAAAATTTCGTACGAGCAGAGTATTAGGGATATGTTTATAAGTGTATCACGCTGGTGTCTACATTATGACCTTCAGCTGTTGTCGCTGGCTGGACTGCACCTCGGTCGCGTCAGTATCGGTGCATTGCGTCTTCCTTCGTGGTGTCTACCACCAAATTCGGGATACTTCCGCCGTTTTGAGTCAGCCAGTCACTTTAAAGCTATGTTTGTGGACGTGCTGTGGTCAATGTCGCCCCAAAATCGAAACCATTCGATGAATCGAGCAGCATCTATGTGGTAGATGCTCTGCTCGTAACGGAACTTGATGGGTCTGGTTGCACAAAAGTTTCATGGTCAGTGACTACGGCGCTGCAAGATCCACTACAAGTTCTCGACAGAGTTATACGTGGAGCCGAACCACGGGCTGAGAATCTTGGTCAGGCGGATAAATTGAGATTGTGTTCGGCACTGCTACCCGATCTCGACACGGCACAGCCATCAGCTCTAGAGCTCATAGATCATTCTTCCGCGATGATTTTCGAAGCTCTTGCGTGTCACAGTCGAGGTGGACCGTATCCAGAGAAACGCACACCGGAATATACTCAGCCAATGTCAGTCAGCATTCGCATTTCTAGCTTCACTGACGAACGAAAACTTTGTACTACGAAAAGCGGTCAATATGCATGGGTTCCAGGTTGTGCAACTGAAGGCGATATGATATTCTTTGTTCGGGGTGCAAAAGTACCTTTTATGCTGTGGCCTGTCCATGACCTCCTGGTAGGCTCGACACACATGAAGCAATATCAACTTGTGGGTGAAGCGTGGGTGGAAAACATCATGGAAGGTCAGGCTATTGTAGACCTTGACCCCGTCCCATGGATAAGAATTAACCTTGGTTAGACCACGCTCTCTAGTAGGTTACTTCATGGTAATAGACTTGTTACGATCACAGGAAACACAAGCAGGGAGTCGACAGGAAATGACGCGACTAGAGACGAAGCTAATAGTAAGTAATTACGATAATGACAGCGTCAGCAGCTATGACCAATGGGAAGAGGATTACGATTGTGGGTCCGATGCTGAGCACAATATGGCCACGTGATACGGTCACGTGACTGGATCTGTGGCTCTGTCGCGAGAGATCCTCAAAGCCAAACCAGATAAGCAGTATGTAGAGATGACGGATGACCACAGGGTAATCCTCATCGTCAATCTACGATACAGTTTACTGCATCCAGTTTCCTCACGGAAGATAACTTGTGACGTTTTGGCAACACATCCTCACTGTAGTGATTGATTGATTGACGCATCAACCCAACGCGACTATACGACGCCCTAGCCCTCATTACTCAACACACAGCTCCTTCGAGACTAGCTTAGTTCACACCACGCAAGTCTTGTTACAAATAGCTTAATCTATTAGAATTACTAAGGACTAATATTACGTAATTATTCTCCTACTAAGAGGATGTTCTCCCTAGAGAACCTAGCCTTAGTAGGAGAATAGAAAATCTCCCACTAAGAAGTAATTATCCTAGGATAGTAGAGTTAGCTTAGAAGAATGAAAGATAGGATAACTATTATATAGTTAAGGATATTCTCTAAATATTTCCTATTCCTTATAGTTAACTTTAAGAGCTTACTTTGGGATATCCTCCTCGTACCAGGCAGATAGGTGGTGCTGGCCCGCAAAGACGATGAACGGCGGGATAGCCAGCAGCGTTGATTCCCTGGATCACCGTCGCCCATTCACGATTGCCTGGCTGGATACTCTTTGGTCTGCCTCGTCTCATTGATCCTGTGACAACGAGATGTGCTGTTATCTTGCATATCATAGAGCCAGTCTCTTCGAAGTTGTACACGTCCTCATCACAGATGCCGTACTTGGCCTTCGTCTGCTCCGCAAGCCCCACCACAGTTAGGTCTTTCATACATGGACAATCATCGCTAGTGAGATGTAATAGTTTATCTTTTTATTACTTCGTAAAGTATATCTATAAGTTTCCTGTCAATCTCGTTTCTATGGTTGGCTTACGCATCCAAAAAGTGAGTATATGGACTACGAGCTCATCAAATCCCCCTTGCACACGAAATTCTCACATGGTAATAGGGCATCTGCAACCATTGGTGCGTAGAAACTATGCGTATTTGGTCATGTTCCTTTGTGACACTAGCACTTACCCTCGTTAGGATCAGCCCTAAAACAGTTAGTTACGCTTAATGAAGAGTTGTATAACGCGGGAACAAGGCAAAAGTACTTGCCTATAGCGCCAATTCCCGTAGGTTGTATCACCCCCCTTACTGCATTTGATGATCTCCTTCGTAAGGCCGTTGTAGCACTCGTCTCTACCAATTGTGCGCGTCGAACCAGCATTGGGGCCTGTAAGGCCGACGGTGAGCTTCACGTGCTTATTACTGCTGAGATTGTAGCATTTGACACGGGTTTCGCGCTTGTTGTATTTGCCCTTAAGGTAACCGTTGCAGGCTGTCCGGGCGGCGTTTAAGGCGGCGTTTTGATCGTTTCCGAAGTTCGCCCCACTGCTGAAGCAAGCTCGCTTTTCCATAGCGTGCATGCTGTCGTCGGGGTTGGTGATGGACGCAGCGGAGGCCAAGCCGAGGTAGTTGACGGCAAAGAAGAGGAATGTCGTAGGCTTCATTTTGAGCAATGGTGCAACTTTATAAATGATGAAACTGAATTCGAATAGTGAATACTCTTGCATGAGGAGTTGGAGTGCTTGTTAATGTTGATTACCTGGCGTCTAACGACATGAAGGGGAAACTCGAGCTCTTATATAGAAACGCTGATGCTGTGGTGTGTCATATAAAGAACACTCATTTACTTGCTCTGGCAGAACAAGTGGCCAAGGCGCTTGCTTGAGACCGGCGAGTACGATGCTCACTCGTGTGGGCTATTCCTTATCCTTTCGGCCCTGGTTTTGCCTTTGGGCCTTCTGTAAGACGAGAGAGGAAGGTCAACACGAGGCTGAAGAACAAAATGTAAGCCTTGTTGCGAGCTATGCGATATACTGGTAAGGTTTCGGCGAATACAAGTTGAATACGCGCAGGAATGCGAACCATCCATCACTCGAAGTCAAAGCTGAGCTGTCACCGAATAAAGTCCTGCTATATATGGCAGCCGCTTCCTCAGCACGATCGAGGATACGAGGAACGCGACCTTGGTCGCACGTCTACAGCCAAATGAACAAGTGCCTCGAAGAGTTCGCCACCAATACGAAGGAGCTCGTTTTATCGAATATTCACCCAGCCTCGGCATGTGTGGCCCCCAAACAAAGATGCGACTCCCTCGCAAAAATGTATGCAAAGTGCACAACGCTTCGGATTTTGGGCATTGTGATGCCGAATAATAAACTTTAAAGCTTAATTTGCAGGTATACAGACTTTTTCTAGTGTTAAGGCGTGCTGGCGGGCTTCATCCGTCATGGAAATCGTTATCCCCGCCATACTTGATGATACGGCGAACAACTTCGGCGACATGATCAATCCACTCCTTGATCTGGTCTTGAGACATTAGCTTTTAACCCCTAGAATTGGGAACCCGGTTTAAAGATTAATTTCACGAGTGGTCAAAGGATGCTAACCTGTGGCCCTGCCAGCATCTTCCCGAATTCCACAGCCTTCTGAAAGACATCTTCTACCTCAATATATTCTGCCGCATCGTAAACCTCATCCCTATACCGGCGATATTTACCCAGGGTGTATGCTTTGAAGAAGCGGCTCAATAGAATTATCTTGGCCAATACAGTTTTGTCCACGGCGCACGCTGAAGTAACCCGCTCCGGTGAGCCCTGCACATCGACACGTACTCATCACAGTTCCGTGCCCATAAAAGAGGCGATTTGGCTTCGACGATCGCTTGGTGGACTCTTAAGTATGAAGGAGCAGCCAGCAGCCACGGTCATCTTCGGAGACAACCAAGGGAAAATTCAGCTAGCCTGAAGCCACAGTTTCATGTCCGAAACAAGCATATCGACATCATCACCACTTTGTGAGAGAGGCAGGGGTGAACGGGACGGTGGATGTGCAATACACCCCAATGGAACGTCATATAGCGCAAAGACTGACGAAGGCACTACCAAAGGATGCCTTCGTAAAATTCATAAAGGCATTAAGGTTGGAATATTGATGAAATTGATGGATAGGAGCTTGATTGAGGTACTGAGGGGGAGTGTTAGAAGCCGTGCACGTGATCGGGTGCCTGGGAACTGTATAATCACCCCGGCTCCCAGAGGCTGATCTCAATCAAGCAATCACTTGCTCCTCGGGACTTTTAAAACGAGGGAGGGGGCGATTTCGCTACATACTGTAACCATCTTTGGACACCTATCTCAATATGTACAGTGCTCCTCGCCCGATAGGTGAGGGCTGAGGAATCAACGTGTATGTACCGCACGTTTCATGCATACACGCCACCATTCAAGTCACGAATAGGCGTTGAGGGCCTAAGACAAAGCACGCCAACATTTCTCCTACGATAAAATTCTCGTAAAATGTTCCACCTATCCATCTAGCAAGTATAACTCCAGGAATTCACGTTGTGGCCTAAACTGTGCTTCCAGTCCTCATACGACTACCCATTCAGGTCCTTGCACTTAGAGTCACTGTAGAGAGAGAGAGAGAGAGGTGACACACACCGGCGTGATCGACTTTGTCGTTGTAGAAGCTGGTGTTATTACCCTTTTTCAGGCTGATCCGCGGGCAAGGGACATTTCGCGCTTAGCGCGACAGCTCTAACGATGGTCTTTCCATGAGCGAAGAAGCTGAAGGCGTTTGTGATATCTTTCTCGTATTCGATAAATCAATTCGCTGAGAAACGGAACTATCACGACTTAGCCACTAATCCCACCCCACAAATCGGCCCGACCGTCATGCTTTTTTGGTAGCAAGACCGAGATACGAGCTTTAGTAAGCCACGAGCCGCAACACGAGGCTTCGCAAATGACCATGCTATATTAAGACATTATTTGCGTGCTATGGTCCACATGCTTAGATAGAAGTGAACAAGATCAACAGGGCCAGGATGTTGGGCAAGGGCTTTTGTCGTCAACAAGAGACCTTGGCGAGGAAGACTTTTGGAATGAAAGCGAGTGATTTTCATTAATATTACCGTTCCGGCCTCTAGCGTTGACGAACTCTCCAGAAATATTCTCGCTTGCAAACTTCTTGAAAACAACGGCCCCGAGCCTCAAGACAACAATAAGGCTCTTATCCCCATATTACTCTACAACGAGTGACCAATTCAATGTGTTTTAATATGCAATTGTCTAGCTTACATGAGCACAATCTAAATGACCCAAGGCTAAAACCGAGGAATGGAAGGTGGCACGCTTCGTTCGAAGGCTGATGGATTTCGGCGAGTTGATGCTTCGTTCCTCCTCGGCGCACCTCTTGTTTGAGCTGGGAGCGGCTCAAGAACGGACTGGTACGGCCTAGTGAATGAGCGTACCGACGGCTCATGCTCCCCTTGATAGCGCCAATAATCGTCGTAGAGATGATTCAGCCGTAGTATTGATCTAGCGATCATCACTTCTTGCAGGGTATGCCGGCATGGGAGGCCGTTTATTTTCTCCAAAAGACCCGAACAAGATTGTCCGCCGCGACGCTGTCTTTGCTCTTCTTGCGCAGCAGATCTTGTTGCCTGATGCGCTCAATGGCTGGTGGAGTGAGGATCACTTGGATGCCAGGCAGCAGGATTGACATTGACTGTGTTTAGAAGATGTGATTTCCATCATACAATTGCTGTATTAACTCTTGACCATCTGCTCGATCCTCCGATAACACGAAGCTGGTGGCCTATTGAGATCATGAGATAGTCCTTCAAGACCTTGTGCATTCCTTCAACAGGTGAACTTGTGATTGTGTTGTAGTGTCGACGATGAGAGGTCCATGCAGCTGCCCACTCTGAGCGTGTTAGGTATTAGTTTTCTTACAGGTACCTGCAAAGCTCCGGCTGGTGACTGTAGTGCTTGAGTACATCGTCCCACTTGAAATGGAACTCCAATGGCCTCTTTGCGTAGACGAGCTACCATGGTCTGCCTAAAGTATATCTAACTTGGAGAAGAGCTGCATTAAAGCACCCCTAGTCGTTAGGCCAGCATCCCTAGTTCTAAAGCTTCATGAATGAAGCCCATTGCTTAGCAATCCTCTACTTCTCCTCTTTTTCATCCCATTAGCATCTTACTAGGTATGTTGCGCTTGTGTCTACACGTTCTTGTTAATATGCTATACATATAAGAGAGATGGAACTTCTAGGAGTAGTAAGCGTATAGGCACCTTTAATGCTTCTTCCTAATCACTAATGAACACAAATAGTTTTTGCACGCCTATTTTAATGAGGAAGTCCGCGATCGCCTAATGGTACTCTCTATACGTCTCGTTGCTAAGGAAGTAGAAGCCTGTAGAGAAGAACGTCTATAGGTTAGTGCAGCCTATTATATGTAGTAAAGGAAGTTTGTACTTATTATTTTGATACATTCAGCCATTAGTAGGGCATTAGGGTTCGGCAGTAGAAGCTCCACCTACTTTTAGTGGGAGAAGAAGAGGTTTTGGACGTGATTGTTACTATCCCTCTTAACAGCAAACACCCAGTCTGGCGTAGATAGATCGTCTAGTAATACCTCTATTAGACTCCTCCCATCTAACTTTCTTTCTCTAAACTTCTTCCTCTTGCCTCGAATGTTAGTGGTAGAGACCAGCGTGTCATGGTCTTCACTTTAGGTTATAGTAAGGATCTGCATAGGTCGCGCCCCCGCATAAGTCATTAATTTGATTACTTCCTTCTATACCATTATACACTTGCGTTACACATTGCGCGCACTAGGATTGATCAATCAGGAGTAGTTGTGATGCTTGTCTAGAACGTCCGGCTTCCACTGCTCGCTGTAATTCACTTTAAAGATGGCTAGTTTGAAGGGACAACCAGTCGCACGTGTGCTTATGTAGTACTCCATTACTGACGCTTTTGGTCTGTGAATATCGTTAGCATTATCCTTGTTACTGTTCTGTTCAATAGAGTTTGAATCCTCCCTGTCTAGTTAGAACAAATGCTTGGTGCCGAGTCTGCTTCTTTATGATCTTGAGAATGGTCCGACCAATAATTCTGCGATTGCCACGTCAAACATTGGCACGTTCATGAAGTGCTTAGCTGAATGCCGAAATACCGTTTGCTTCGACGTGCTTGACGTTGTCAGCGACTGGCGCAGATCGGTAGTCTAGGAGTACAATAAGCCGATGCCCGCACCACGCGCGAGCGGATCCTAAAAGATCTTCTTAGCTCCATTGGAGGCCTAAACGCGCTTATGTCTTTGGGATAACGTGGTCCTATCCACGCTATAGGCAGCAGCTATATATCTATATGGATATTTTTCGCCTAGATCTAAAGCTTTAATCGCCTCTTCAATTGGTCCCATATTGATGGAGTTACGGCGTGTCAAGGTTAGGGAGTCATTTGGTGTTTTGGTGTTGGATAGCTCGTCACGCGAAGTGCAGCCCACCTTCTGGATTCGGCATGGAGGGTTAGTGAGATGGAACGCTTTCGAGTTGCAAGGCGGGGTGGAGACTGGAGACTTTTCGGCTAAGAGGTTCGCATTTGTTCCTTATCTCGCTGATTGACTGGGTGCGCGTTCTAGCTCGGTCGTCATACATCGCAGCGCCTCTCCAGAACAGCAGCCAGTCCTCAAAATTCACTGTTGCATGGTGTGCGAAGCCGTTGAGGGCGATTGCTGACTGGAACCACAGTCGGGCCACTTTTGTTGAAGTCTCAGTAGCGATATGTGTAGCCGCTAGGAGCTTCTTGCTTTGATCTGCGGCAACATCTTCATATAAACGGTATAATCAATATGGCCCTTTCCGTTATGATGTTGGTCATAACGGTAAGAATCTTGTGTGCTAGGCTTTTGCAAAAGAGTACAGCACGTTAACGCCTAGAGTTGTGCACGCTAAACCACAGTGCTGAGATGATCAGCGATCGCGAACTTTTAGCATGGATAGCCCTGCTCATCTTTGGAGACAGTGCGCTACCTAAATTTGGACGGGCGGGAAGAGCACGTGCTAGGTCCTAAATTAGCGCCAGCATTTTGCTGCGACGCTTCCCATCGATCCTTGTGAATTTCCCCGTGTTGAATCAAATTAAGCCGCAGGCTCCACGCCTGCTCGTGACGGTCGTCAATAGACTCGAACTCAAAATAATGTGAGCAATAAGCCTGATCCTTGACAAAGCGACTATAAGTTAATTTTTATATTATTCCTGAACTACTCGAACTTGAAAAGAGACTTGATATTGCAGAGAAAAGCAGCAATAATGGACTTGTTATTGATTAACCAGTGGCTTATGCGCCAAGCGGTTTCGTTTATTATAGTTTTAGCTACACCCCTAATTGTACCAGCATTGTCCTCCCCCTTCTTCCAGCCTATCAAATTCTCCCGAAGCTACCGCACCTTAAGCCCCTCCAGGAGTAACACGGCATTTAAACCACAGACATTTCCCCGACGCTCACGAGACTGAACCTCATTCTTGATCTTATTTCTGATTCCTACACGACTTGTACCTGCTCGCCCAGCATGCGCACTTTATTATTCTCCATCCTCGCAGTTGTGGCAATCCTATCGGGCTCGACGCTTGCCGTGAAGGGTGTGATTAGCGATACACTGACCTCAGATGAGGAAGGCTGTCTTTCCCTCTGTGGATTGAATGATGCTTGTCTCCTGGCATTGTATCAAACGGAATGTCGCGAATGCTGGCTGATGGATTGCTCACTCCAATTCATGCCAGTTGGCTTCACTGGCGGAGGAAAGGATACGATTAAAATCAAACCCACCTGCGATAGCGCCTTAGTACCCAAGCCACGAGAAGACGGATGCAAGGATGCGCCTGCGGCGACTACGAGCGCGGCCGCTGCCACGACCACGAGCGCGGCCACTGCCACTACCACGAGCGGCGCGGCTAGATCGAGTGAGACGGGCGTCAAGGGTTCTGCAACTTGGCGCACAAGCATTGATTGGTTGCCTCTCGGCGCTGTTGTTATGGCAAATATAGTGGTTGCTACATAAGGAGGGACCTTATACAGAGGGTTCACGTACCTATACAATATCTGGTTGAGGGCTGGAGGCGCAAAGGACTGTTAAGATCCAATCGGGGATCTCACAAGTATCATAGTAATGTTCAGTCAGGCGCCAACTGAGACGACCTCGGGGTCGGCGCCTAGAAGTCACGTGACCGACAGACGCGACAGATGCTGTCAAATCTGTCGCAGACCCGACAGCGTCTGTCAAGTCTGCCACGTGTCCTATATAGGAACTCGAGTATGAACCCTCATACTCGTGTTCAACCTGTTTATCAATCTATCGTTTGGATTACACTTAGGCCATATTGTTGACTCGTTATACTTCGCAGGATACTACCGTACCAACAAGACCCCTTCTCCTCCCCTCAGTTGTCTTGCCTGATAACCAACTTTAACCCTTTAGGACTAGCTACCCTTCTGGATTCAACAAGGACCTTGGCGGATATTTAGTGATCGAGTGCGAGGTGTACGCAACACAGGGTGAATGTTACTCGGCCCAAACAGTCGCGCTAGTGATCTCCTGCGGAGAGGCCGTATGTAGCACGGCCCCACATGCTCAATGGCAATACACGCTCAATGGCAATAATCCCCCAAAATGTGATTTGTATAGTAATTTATACTATAAAAACATTTATTGAGATTACTATACTGTCCAGTCGCATTCCTCACGAGTCAACGTACCAAATCCTGCATATATTAATGGTGGGCAGGGTGATGAGTAGCCCTCATTATCGCCGCCTACGCTGCTGCTACTCACAGGCTTAGGGGTAACAAAAGGAGAACCAATAGGGGTGAATTGAGTCTCTAGGACGTCACCCTGGCTGTTAGGGGCCTCTATAAACCCCTTATCATTATCTATACTGACCACTTTTTGGTGTAGAAGCCGTAAATAGGGCTCTATGGAGTTATAGTTAAGCTAGCGCATGGGGTACCGAGACACCCGGAGATATGAGACACCGCGCAGAAATCCTCCACCCTTCAAACAATCGCGATATCTCCACATCCACCCTGCCAAAATGGCCAACCGTGAGGCTGCATTTCTAGCAGCTATTAGTGATCTTAATGCTCCAGGACGGATTCCTTCAAAGTGCCAAAGTCATATACAATCGAGCGGACCGAATCGATGTCACGGCCATGGGAGGCTTCAGCCAGGATTCACCCAAGTCAGGCATGGAGCTCAGCATCCTAGGAAGTCTCCTCTATCATGCGAAACGGCATCCGTATCATATTTTGGCGGTGAAAACATTTCTTGAGCTTGTTGGGGCTCGAGACAGTCTCTTTAACAACGTAATGCGGCAAGGCCCAAACAACTACACCATGAACGCGCTACAGTTCACCATCCTGTACACCATGGACGCGGCAACCATTTCCACTGGCACCGAGCTATTGGCTGTACTCTTGCAGACATTCAACCATCCCAGGAACCACTTGGCCTGTCAAGATGGTCCTAGGAGACTTTCTCTGCTTCACCTCGCTGTCAAACACGGGAACTATGCCGCACTCGACATTCTCCTCGCGGAGCCAGGTATGAACGCCGACATGAGGAATGTCAAGAATCTGACTGCATTGGACTTGTGCTTGACTCGATGGCAAGATTCTATACGGGATGGTAGCGATGACTATCGGCTGGCGCTTAAAGCGGGTATCAGCGAAGCAGCGGCAAGAGCTGGATGGGAAGCAACCACCGAAGGCTTGATAGAATGCATGGAGAGAAGAGGAGCCTCTCGGTATGGGAATATCAAGACTGTTTTCAAGCGGCTGTCCCACTTCGAGATGATGTGGATCCGCATCTCAGGAGAAGGGAGGATCCAAAGGGATGGTTTCGGTAAGTATTAGCAGCTGGGACGTCAGTCAAATTACTAAAACATGCTAGATCCTACTGGAATTCAGTCAGATGTATTCTCCAGCGCTGAAAAGAATGACACTGCGAGAGCGATTGCGAATCTAGAGGTTGGAGACTGTTTGTTCTTTTCTAGATAGACGGAATAGCTTGAAGTTAAGTATGTGCCAATAATCGTGCTTACAAGCCGTCTAGATGTAGCCTTGGAAAAGTCCTAATGAGGAACACACCTAGTCAGGTTGTTTGGAATTGATAGCCTATCCCAGAGCTCTATCCCAGGGCTCTATCCTAGAGCTCTAAGATAGAGCTCTAAATAGAGTAAGATCTAACTCTATTACTTTGTTAAGGACAGAATATACATGTTTGCACGTTAAATTAGGCACGTAGGCCAACTCTATTAAACTTTCAGAGCTAACTCTATTTACTATCCTAAGATCAACGTCTTTGGCTATGCGAATCTTGTGTAACTACAGAACACGTCGCTACACACAATACAATCAATGAAGTGAGAAAGAAGCACCAAACCACCGACATGTGATCTACTTCTTCTCATAACCATCACACAGTATGCTTAACGTACCTTCCTCGCTAGAGATCCTGCATCACTACACTCACCAAGGGGGCGTTTTCGTGCTCCTAAATATGTGCGAAATCCAAGGAAGCTGTGCCATTCTCAACTAACTGCTCGATACTCTGAACTCCGTGCCTTAACATGGCCTGGGGCCTCCTGCAGGCCTCGTGCATATACTGTGCCAGCAATCCATGTACCATGCGTCGCTTGCTCATCAGCAAGTTTCTTATCTACACCATAGTCTCGCTTGAAACCGCCACATGACAAGTGTTGCCTAGAGATAGCGATAGCGAGGTGACGGTAGGTCAAGATGCCAAGCGACGTGTTAAGGTATAGACGAGCCTCTCATGAAATCACTTTCGTAAGCCAGCTTAGGTCCCAGGTCCCTTTATCTTTTGGCCATTGAAACGTCGAAGGGGGATCTTTCCGCTTATAAACAAGGATATCTAGCTGCTGCCAGAAAGGCAAGTCAAGCCACAGATAGTACACAAGCAACTCGCTCACCTCCCTAGGCAGGTATCGGTGGATAATCTTTATTGATCTAGTAATGTTATAGCCCTTATGGTAGGAGGTAACTGTGCTAATCAAACCTTCAACGAAAATTCCGCAGTACTGTCCCTGGGCGGTGTTACTGTGTTGTAGTCCTATAAACTCCATACCGCGCGGGGACTGGCCACCTGTCATGTGGATTAGGAGGAGCAGCCATTCAAGGAACTAATCTACCTTATCAAAATATGCTTGCACCACTTTATTCTTCCACTAAAGCTGGGATTCTAGGCTCATGAAAAGCATCTCATCCCTCAGCCAGTCGTTCTCAAGTACTCTATTAAGCAACCATCTATCACTACCTTATTGAAGCTGGTCCACGTTGCGCTGGTCTTGAAGGAAGTTCCAGCCTTTCTACCCGTGGCTGTGGTTGTCTTAAAGGCGATAAAGTAGGAGTTGTGGCACTATATCATCGCGAGCTTCGTTAGGATGTAGGAGAAGCAGGCGTTCTAGCTCCCGCTAGGCCTTATACACCTGGACGGCAATAAATTTACGCAGTGCGTCCATGCTGAAGCCTGTTTCCTTATACGTGACCGAGCTTCCATCCTCTGACCAGGCAATGTATCTAAGCGACATTGTGTTGCTTACCACCTTCTTTGCGTATGACCGCAGGCGGTACGCCCAGTCAAAGGCTGTACGAGACCCTCGCACCATGAATCGCTCCCTTATCTCGTCGAGCATGCCAGACGGGTTTTCAACTTCACCCTCTTCTACAGCCACTACTAATCGTTGTATAATAAGCATCTGCGCCATCTTAATAAATTTAGACAGAACAGGTGAGTAGTTTAGTGGGCCATAGAAGACGCCACTAGGGCTCTCATCAATACCGAGGACAGTAAGGAAGCTCAACACTACGCTCTCGAAATGGTCGCCTTGGAGCGTATGGTCGAGGAGAGCGATGTATAGGAGCAGACAGGCCCTATTAAGGTCGCGAAATACGTCTCCTACGCCTTCTTCTTCTTCTGTAGGCGATGCGTCGCTTCTAGCCAGGTGCTGGAGGGAAGTAAGTTCCTCCACAAGGCGAATGGCCTGATCAAGATAAGATAGCTGGGCATTAGTAAACCTGTGTGGCAAGAGGATGCTCTGAGTCGGCTGGCTTTTTCGATACATGAAGTAGAGAAGGCGCTTCCAGAGGCTCTTATAGGCGCGAAACGTGCTCTTAGCTAGTTTAACCATAAGTATACGATCGTGCTTGCCTAAACGGCCAGCAATGAAGCTGTTAATCTATGCCTGGTCAAAAACGCTAATCCTGTCCTCGCAGATAGATCGGTGCGCGTACTTAATAATTCGGTCAAAACTCTCTCTAGGAAGGACAAGACTACTCTCAGTGATTGGATTTACTGCGTATGACAACGGTGCGACATCGGCCATGTTTAGGCCGTGGAAGTAGCGGGCCACCGCGTCATCTCAAGCCAGGGTGAAACCTTAGTCTTCGAGACCTGGCTGCTATAGATTTGCGCTCTAGCATCCTGCTCGTGGTTCCCTGCTGTAAGCTGCTCATTAATGAGGGCTCGGAAGACGTCTACATGCCCTCTTGGTCTATTCTTCACTAGCTCCTGCACTTAATCTAGGATGTTGACTGTGAAGAAAAAGCTCTATGCACCAGAAATAAAGAAACGCTAGTAGTAGACTTCACTGAACACAGGTCTACTGTCCTGGGCTGCTATATTATGAACCTTGGCAGGACGGCCTGGTTTTGCGGGAACAAGCCAATGTGACCTATTGAAGTGCTGGCGTATAGAGTTTACAGCTTCTTTTACCTCTAAGCGTCTCACAAAGCTATAATAAGTGCACTAGTAGCCACGATGAACTCTTAATTCTGGGATTGGCGGGTCTATTGCCGGCGGGGTAGGAATAGTAGTAGTTGCCAGGTAGAGGAGTTAGTATCACTTAAGAAGATACTTCGTAAGCAGCTTTACTGGCTTTGTTAATTAAGAGGATGGTTGAGAACTAGTAGTGAAATTGGTGGCAGTGTAACGCGCATCGTCAATATGGTAAACTATAATATGGCTAGAAAGAGAGGTAGGCGGAACAGCGTAGCTGTATAATTTATAGATAAGCACGCTCAAGGAAGAATAGAATGCGAATAGGTCTATAGCGGCGGCGCTAGTAGCAGTAGTAGACATAAGATAGAGGGAAAGGGCTCGCAAATGGAAATAACTTGTGTTAGGTTTAAGACGCTTGGAAAATGAAATCTAAGTTTAGTATGATGATTTAATTAATTATTCTGTCTATTCTTGTTATTTTATGCTATTACACCCAAGCTCTATACTATATTGTCGCGCCTTATAACAGTACGATTTCACACTTACAGCACTTACAACGTATCTAACACCTTACAACGTAGCACGATTACGAAGGACGCGTTCCCATTACGCGCTTACGCGATGCGCTACTGCAAAGTAGTGGCTTTTATTTACTTTTACTCTCTACCTTCTTTTAACCTTAGATAATGTTTAGGTGAAGGTTGTAAGGGTAGGGGATAGTAAGGGAAGCTAAGTGTGAAAGGGGGAGTAGCGCAGCTGTAGCGCGTGATTGGTTCAACGCAGATAGGATAATATCTGGAAAGAGCGAGAGATCTTGATGAGGCGAGGCGCTAGGCGGGGATCCTTTGCTGCGTGGCTGTTAATTGGCTGTAAATCGGACGGAGCCCTCAGTTGGAATAGTTATATATCTTAGAATACCTGAGTCTTCGATACCGTAAACCAAAGGACTCGTATAGGTATTGAACATGTGACCATGTTCCATGCCCAGGAAAGTCGCATGACCCGTAGTCAGGGATGGCGTGCAGACGGCTACGACATGGGCGGCGCAAACGCCCGAGGAGCAGGATCCCATTGCGACGAACCCACCCCTATAAATAGAAACAATCTTTGGTATGTCGGTGCTGCGCAAGGCAGCATGCCCATGGGCTTTTACACGCGATTCCAGGTATGGGCTTGGACTCTTTTCAACACTGGCTACATGTCCACGCCCGGCATCTCGCCCATTTTATCGGGGGCAACGTTTCGACGGAATGGCGATATCGACTTAACGAATCAACCAGCGTTCCTGCAGTGGGGCGATGAGTCCTCTGAGTTTAGCGGTGCCAACCCATATTCCATCTCTTTTAGGATACGCAGGGATACAAACGATCGTAACGGCTACGCCTACGAATTTGGCATCCCAGATCCTGGGAACCCGAATTAAAGCCTCTTCATACTCCTGAGTAGAGACTTGATTTTAATATTAAGTAGAATGAATCAGTGTAGCTGGGAGTTTCCTAGCAATGAAATAGTATTGAATTATTCGAATAGGCTAAAAGAATTGCCATCTGCTATAGACTGAGCAGTATCAGAAAACTTCGCGACTGGGATATATTTGCGAGAAAAATTGGTAAAGGTTGCACTCGTGCCCCCTTGTGCACCTTCTAATATTAGTAACGTCCGCTCTGAAGGAGAAATCCCGCCCTTTCCTTACGTGAGAAGTCAGTGATCTGAGTAGCTATGCATTACGGCCAGGCGTACATGACATCAGACCTTGTACAATAAATTCTAGCCGTACAAATACTAATTTTGCACTACGTGATATCTCCATTTTGCTACCGCGTGGCACAGCACCCGAGCAGAGACCCTGTCGGTCACCTGACGAGGCTGGTGCCTGACCCCAAATATATAAACTAACTTTACCCAAATAAAACTCTTTCGCGACAACCTAATTCTTGAATCCTAATTACTCATCATTTCATCTTCTCAGGTGATGGCCGTATAGTACCCTCACACCGCAGCACACATTCTCGTACCTCCGCCACTTCAGCGTGCTACGGAAATGACGGAGACATATTATACACCCGACCGCGATTTCTTGATTCGCGAATTCCGAGACAACCCTGAATATACCTTACATACCGCTGTAGTCCACGGCAACCTCCCCCAGATCCGAGAGCTACTGACAGCCGACTACGACATTGACAAGCTCCACGATTACGAGGGAACATCTAAAGGCCGGGGCACACCACTACATGTAGCAATATGGAGCAACCAGCCCGCCGCCTTCGAGCTTCTCATCATCCGGGGCGCCGACATCGACCTCGTGGATGCTGGAGATGAAATGCGCTTTCCAGATACACCCATTCGTGTGGCCGTACGCCTTGGCCGTCGCGCCATGTTCAAGCGACTCTGGGACTTGGGCGCAGAACGCAACAAATATCCTTCCAATATGCGTACCCGCCACTCACTCGTCGAAGTTGCTGCGTGCGATGGGCAAGCACACGTCCTTCGAGATCTACTTCACTGGGACGAAAGCTGGACCGAGGACCAACGGATTCGAGCGTTGATGATGGCGTGCAATCAAGGCCATGTCCTCGTGATAACGACTCTACTTGGCGAATGCGCGTACAGCACGACCGTCTTGGAGAATGCAATAAGTGCCGCGATGGTCGCTGAATTTCCTTTGGATACCTGGTGCAAAGCCTCGGAGCATGAAAAAAAGCGTAAGCAGCAAGAACGCTCGATGCGCCGGGCGGCGACTGTAATGCACTTGCTAGATGAGCATAACCGCGTCGGAAGCGTAGATGGTACTCAGACATACGACTGTTCCGCACTCTTGAATCAACTGGTGTATAGAGGGGCCGCATCACAAGGCTATGTCGATGTGCTGAGGCTCGTGCTTGCTAAAGGGGCGGATCCGAATGTAGTGGGTAGAGAGGGAAATACCCCGCTACATAAGGCGATGACCCGAGGCGGTCATGGTATGGGGGATTACAATGAGAAAGGGGTTGTAGTGCTTTTGGAGCATGGTGCAAAGGTGGATGTACGGAATGAGAAGGGAGAGACGGTGGGAGATATCGCGAATAGAGAAAGGAAATATAAGGAAAGATGGGTCAGAGGTTGATGCAGAATGGGTAATCTGGGTCGACGATGGAGCTTTAGGCAGAGGGTCTGGTAAGCCGCCCGGGGCGTTAAATCCGCTGCTCCCCAGTGCAGAGGATATATATACCTAAGCTATTAGCCCTAATATCAATCTCAAACGGGCTAGCCACTCAGCTTCAACTATTGAAATCGACGTATCGTGATTTTCTTCCTTTGCTACCTTTATATCTTCGTTGTTATCTATTCCTATCTACTTACTAGATGATATGTTTTATACGAAGCGGATTGCAATTCCTCCAGGGTCCTAAAAGTGCCTTTTTGGAATGATAGAAATTTTATAAAAAATTGCTAGGAAGTTAAGAGTTTCGAGTCGAGAGTTAAGAGATAAGCTAATTGAGCTAAGAGCTGAACTAAGAAGTTCATCTACTCAGAGATTAGTATCAGTACTAATAGCTTAGCCACATATACCCTTGTACTAGGAAGCAGCGGAGAGAACGCCACCGCCCAGCAGACTCCCAGCAGCCTTATCTTACATTTGATCAATTAGCGGTCCACAAAAGAAGGATGACAACCACCACCTTTCACAAGATCCTCATGCAGACCTCACTGTGAAGATCCACAGGCTCCTCCCCGTCGGAACAGTCAATGTCCCTACATAGATCTTCTCCCCACAATTTCTAACCTCCAATCATTTCAGTTCAAGATAGCATACTTACAAGACACGCAGTCCAGTCAAAGCATGAACTACAGCAGTACAGCTAACAACGACAAAGTAGAGAACACTCTATTTCTTCGAAATAATCTTATAAGCCCACGAGCCAGTTACCTGTATCTGACGTAGATAGGTATATATATTTATATAATAAGTCTTTTTGCGTTTCCCTTAACTAGCATTAACTAGCAAATTATTAAGCCTATAAGAGCTTAAATATATCTACCACGATTAACTGTAGGCAATTATAAGGAGCTAATAAGACTAAATAGTCTACAAGACTGTGTGTTAACTTAGTTAAGTTAAACAACTTATTAACGTCCATCACTGCTGCTCGAGAAACACCCCATACCGAGAAATCTGAGGGGTACTTCAACTTCAAACGCATCAAATTCCGTGCACACGCTGATAGCTGTTCCAACGCAATACAAGTTATGTGCTATAGCTATTTCTAAACACCTAGGACCCCTTTAATCTTAAGATTACGTGCGCATCCTCGCCTTCGCGCCTAATTCGTAGAGAGCCTTATTCTTTATCGAATTGCGTGTTATGTCGTGCCTTGCGGTATCCCCTTCTGTTGTTATGCATTGATTCGTGATTTTGCATATTGGATTCCACCGCAGTGCCAGAGGCGTTGGCTCGATTCCCTGACATGATAGAAAAGTCCGGGATTTAACGTTCGACGAAGTTGATCGGTGTTGACTTAAGCGCATACCAAGGAGTAGAAGCTATCTGCGCTTACCTCGAGGTGCGATGCATGGAATTGGTGGGTTTAACGTCCTACTTTGTCAGGAAGCCTACGATACGAGTCCACCTTGAAATCACACTTTTCACCTCGTCTTCACAAAGACAGCGACTCGCCCACTACGAACTTGTAGCTGATTACCTGCGACAAGTCCTGGGAATTATTCCGGGCCAAGCTAATTTGGTCCTGCATCCAAAGCGAGTAAGGAACGATCATAGTCAATAACGAAGTCTGCGCCCCGCACATGCAGCTCAAAGGATTTTCCTTACACTAACTGGAATATAATGGAGGAAGAAAGGGAACTGTGCGCAGGAGGGTGTAGAGAAAATCGTGTAGTAAAGTGCGCTTCAAGACGTGGGAAAGACTATGCGGAAAATTACGCTATCAAATGAGGAGAATGTTCAGGAAGTAGCCACAAGAATAGCCCTCGCGTCGGCCATGTATATGCACTCAAGTAAAGCTCTTTAAAGCATCTCATGTTTCTACATCATTATTCAACGGAGGAAAAGTTTTTAAGGCCTTTTTATTTGTTCACGATATTTGATATTTGAACACTTCTGTTAAATCCAGAAGGGTCCTAAAGGGTTAGGGTTGGTTCTCGGGCAAGACAACTAAGGGAAGGGAAGGGGTCTTGTTGATACGATAGTATCAGAAGATAGTTAATGAGTCAATAATATGGCCTGAGTGTAATCCAAACGATAGATTAATAAATAGGTTGAACACGAGTACGGAGGTTTACACTTGAGTTCCTATATACTTAAGCTGTCCCATGAGTCCCAGAGTCCCACACGTCCCAGAGTCCCATGAGTCCCAGAATCCCATGAGTCTCAGAGTCCCGTGCGGTCCTTGGGACCTTGGTGTTGAAGCAAGTGATTGAGCAGAACTCTATTCTGTATTGTAGGGCGACGCCGTCTCTATATATATACGCACGAGCCTACTCCAGCCACACACGTGATTGTCTCAGCCACAGTGATATTCCACACTCCCACTCGATGGTAGCTCTTAGTGCACCAGCGACCTGATATCACGTCTATGGGACGCTCACTTAAGAAAGAGATAGAAAAGCGTATGACACCTAAAGGAGGGCTGGAAGGGCTTAGGCTTCATTCGATGCCCAGTCCTTTCTGAAATCACTCGAATCTGTCCCGTGCGAGCGGTTTCGTGAAACCATCAGCGACCTGTTCCGAAGTTGGGACGTACTTCATTTCGACAGTCCCAGCCTCCTAAACTTCTCCTTGCCATTTGCGCTATATGTCCATGTGCTTCGTGCATGAGTGATACTGCGGATTTAAGGATAATGTAATAGCGCCTTGATTGTCGCCGCAGATAATGGTCGCGCCTCTTCCTTAGCTAAGATTCAGTTCGTCGAGAAGCTTTCTTAGCCAGACTGCTTCTTTGGTCACCCGCATCTATCCCATAAACTCTGCTTCGCACGTTGAGAGTGCCACAACGCGTTGGCGCTTAGATTGCCAGCTAATTACCCCACTTCCAATACTAAATATATAACTAGTAGTTGATTACCGTATGCCATAACAACCAGCCCAATCTGCGTTAGTGAATATTTTTAGTATCTTAAGATTGCCTTTATACGTAAGTTAGAGATTCTTTGTGCCCTTAAGATACCGTAGGACGTAGTGTATGAGCTTCATGTGTTGAGGTCCAGGGTTGGTTAGATACTAACTTGCTACTGACACTACATATGCGATATCGCCTCTCATACCAAGTATAATGTATATGAGGGATCCTATAATGCGTTGATACTCGGTCTTCTAGTCTAGAGGGTAGTTGTAGCTTAGGCCATTCTCCTTAAGTGGTAATGTTGCGGTTGAGGATAAACTGCACCTTGGGTAGAAGAAATTGTTAGGCACTGAAGATTGATTGAATACTAGCTATTGTGGTATATATATGTGTGCGTGAAGCGATGTAGTATAGAGCATGGGTAAGCGATGCTGGACCGAGCCATGGTGTTGAGGTTAACAGGGTAAACCGCGACACACCCCCCAGGTCTGGTGTTGGTAATGAGCGTGGGTAGCGAAATTGAATCGCTAGAGCTGTTCAAGAGTGATGTTAGGTTATAGGGGAATAAGAATTTGTTCTAATTTAGTTAGTAAGAATTGGAGAAAAGGACCTCTGGTTCCTTGTTAGTGTTGACTAGATGTTTAAGGTCCTGAATGATTTTCTTGATATCCACAAGGCCACACTGTTTGGCAAATTCAGTGAACTTCTATTGGGGCAGAGCCTTGGTAAGGCCGTTAGTGGGCATATCCGTAGTGGCTATCCATGTGACGTTAAGGCGTTCGGTAGTAACCTCCTGTTGGACCTAGAGTTGATAGATATTAACGTGTTTAACCTTAGTATTAAGTCTATCCTCCTTTTTAGTGGCAATACTAATAGTCTATTTATTATTATAGAGGATAACTAGAGTAGAGTTAAGCTAGAGAGAGATGCTTTTAAAGAAGTACATCCACTTAATCATTTTTAAACTAGTAAGAGAGAGTGATAGGAGTTTAGACTCTATAGTTAACTTAGTAATAGTACGTTAGACTATTACTTTCTAGTCTATTATAAGACCTCCAAAGAAGAAGGTATAACCTTGAGAACTACGTTAGGTCTCAGGTTCATCAGCGTATGAGGCGTTAGAGGCGCCATAGAATAATGGATGAGTGATAGGCTCATTAGAGTGATACTCACGCAGCTCTAATTATGAATTATCTGTGGAGGCTTGGAGTGCGTAGGTCTTGGTACCTAGTAGGTATTTCCACACCTTTCGAACCTGGGAGAGATGGAGTTGACCTAGATTAATGAGGTGGCATGCCAGGATTACATGAGCACGAGCGACCTCTGGTCACCCACATATAGTGATGTATGTAAGACAGCCAATAAGCTATTGGTATAGTTTGGTACGTTTTCTGTCTGGTTCTTTAGTGGATGGTTCCAGCCAGTTCTTAGAGATGGGGACATTAGGAGCCTTTTTAGTGATGGTAATGTTAAAACGAGCATATACCTTCTCAATGTAGGTGTCTAGGAGGAGCCAGGTATAGTGGTTAACGCGGTTTTGGATTATATGAATACCGAGAAACTATGAGAGAGGGCCTATTATTTTGAGATTATAGATGTCGCTAAGCTGCTACTTAAAGCGCTTATAAAGCTGGCTGTTAGACTTATAGAAAGCCATCATAATATCGTCAATATAGATGAATAGGATGAGCTATTTATTAGTGTAAAGGGAGGGGAAGCCTTTAACTAGCTTAAGACTAAGCTTAATAAGCGTTTAGTAGCATTTATTATACCAGAGTAATAGAGACTCCTTAAGGCCGTAGAGCGCTTAGAGTACTTAAAGTATTTTACCTAGTCCTATTTTAAATTTATCTATGCCTTTAGGTATTTAAACGTAGAGTAATCTATTTATAGGAGCGTTAAGAAAGGTAACTAAAGCATTATACTATTCCATTTTAAGGTTAAAATAATTATAGATAGTAATAAGAGCTTAGAAGTTGCGTATAGCTAGTGTTACTGCGTAGGTATTATTAAGTGGTGTCTAGAGATCGCCTTAAACAACTAGTCGAGCCTTAAATCGTGTGATAAACCTATCTTTATTAGTCTTGTACGTGAAGACCCATATAAATAGGAGGACCTCTACGTTAGTAGTATCCTGGGTTTTATTTATATACTTAAAGCACCCTTTCATGTGAATATTGTACCATTTAATGGCCATATCTAATTTAAATTTAGATTAAAATATATGGCTGTTAAGCCCATTTATGTTCTTTGGTGGAGGGGGAACTTAATTAATATAGTATTAGGTTCCACTATCTCGTTGTTGCTTAAGAACCTGCGCTAAGAAGGCACTAAGGTAGTTATTTATTAAATCCTCATTAAGGTTTTAGACAAATGAGGCGAGTGTAAAGAATATGGTAGGAGGGTGCCTTACACGCTTGCCCTTAATAATGGTAGAAGTATTAATATTCTAATTAATATTCTAAGGGGCTGTAGTTCCTCTATATTAATATCCTTCTAGTGGAGTATTAGAGGGGTTCTATACATAGATACTTATGGGTCCTCTAAGTCCTCTTAATCCTCGTGGACGACCTCGTGCCGGTATAGAGAGGGTAGCTAATTATTATTTATCACTAGAGACGTCTTGAAGATCGAGCTTATTAATTAAATGGAGTTTAAGATAGAGTATCTATT